GCAGATGACGGCCTCATGTGTTACCAGGTAACGATTTCTCACCTCCCCTTAGAATCCACTTACAACTTCCGCGAGCTCCTCCGCCTCCTTTTCAAGTTTGAGGCGCTCCTCGTCGACGCAGATGACGGCCTCATGTGTTACCAGGTAACGATTTCTCACCTCCCCTTAGAATCCACTTACAACTTCCGCGAGCTCCTCCGCCTCCTTCTCGAGCTTGAGGCGCTCCTCGTCGACGCAGATGACGGCCTGCAGCGCGGACATGTCGGTGGCCTCGATCTCGTGCGACAGGAAGTAGATGTCCATGTGCTCCTGCACCGGCACCTCGCGGTTCCCGATCGCCTTCAGCAGCGTCGACTTGCCGCACCCGTTCAGCCCCAGTAGACCGTACCGCCTGCGCGCCGAGAAGGTAAACGCCCACAAGGTGAGGCACGAGAAATTGCCGAGGAAAAAGAGGCGGTAAGTGACAAAAAGTGACGGTTTGATAAGCTACGGAGGGGATGCGTCAAGTTTTATGGGTGATTGGGATGTGGATGAGCGATGTCGAGATGCAGCGGGCCGCTTACCTTCCATAATTGAGCTCGAGAGTTGTATCTGAGACAAGCTCGTGTCCGTGGAAGTTGAGCGAGAATCCAATGACCTGTTCAGACAGGATTCAACAAGGGTAAGGCAAGAACGACTACGGGCGTACACACGTTCGACATAGAAAAGACGAAGAACAAACAAACAATATAGGGAAGGGAAGTAAACGGGTTACCACTCACGTGTATATCTCGTGAAAGAGCGTGCGAGGCGAGAACTCCGGTGCACGTTCTGTCGTGATCGTCGAGGGACTTGAGATCTTTCTCCGAGTTGCTCGCACTGACAGAAGGCGATTTGCTCTTGGCGGCTTTCTTAGCGGCCGCAGCGGCCTTCTTCGCCGCAGCTCTCTCCTTCTTGGCGTCAGACGGCGCCATGCTAGCTTCCCTCCTTTTTCAACAGACGAAACGAACTTGTCTATGAACTAGAGTAACGAAACAGCTCTCGGATGACACCTTTGCAGTATGCAGACTTCAAGGGCTAGGACTTGTTGCGGAGGCGGAAGCGACTTCAACTAGCAAAAGGTATAGATCCGAGATCCGTGATCCAAGATCGGGAGATCGGAGAAAGGGAAAGAAATAGTAGCCTGCTGAGCTTATGTAAACGGAATGTTGCTTGCTGGTAGTGTTATTTCCAAGCAAGAGTGAGAGGAGAAAGCTTCGCCTGCGTAGGGCTGTGGGTGAGAGGGTGGTTGTGTTGAGACTCCTGAAATGTTGGTCAAACAAACACTCTGGAGCTGGTCAAGCTGTGCACTGGGAGTTGTTTCACCAAATCTGTATGATGGATCCACCAATAGCGTGCGTCCTGGAAGTTGACTTGTGGTGGTTTCGGGCCTGCCGATTGGGTTCGGGCAGCTGGCTGCCCCTCAGAAGCTCAAGGGCGGCTGACAACGCGCCGCCAAAACATTCTGGCTGTGGGGAGTCTCTTCCTGGAATGCGGGTTGTGAAGGCCTAAAACGGATCCACGTGTAAGGCTCCGATACCTTTTTGGCCAGGGACTGTCGCATGCTGCTGACATGGCCAAGATGCTCGTAAGGTTTGACACATATAACGGTAAAACAGAATTTCGACTTCGACCACATTACTCACTCCCCTCTACCATCGAATTTCTCAATAGCGAATGGTAATGGTGGCTTACCACGCATGTAATTGTGGATTTCTTACGTAGTGTAGATCCAGAATAGTTATCAACATTTTGCGACTTTACTGTTTGCCTTCCCCTCCCTTCTGTTCCCCTCTTCCTTCCCTCTTTGTCCCAGACCTGCCAACTCTCCCTCCCTCTTTTCGCTCGCCTTCTTTCCCGCGACCCAACTAGCCCTAATCTCGCGTGCCTTAGTTTCCCAATCCGCAGCCATGGCCAGCGAGCTCGCCTGCACATACGCTGCCCTTATCCTTCACGATGATGGCATTCCCATCACGGTGAGCACTTCTGATATTTGCCGCACAAATCCTTTCGTGCCGATGCTGCCCGTCTTATCAGGTTCCCTTCATGCGACGCTTTGGAACAATCTTCAATTAGAATCAATGCACGCGTGCATTTTCGTAGGTCACAGGCGAGGAACGCAACTTTGTAGATATACGAAGTTGATCAGGAGGGTGCCATGTTGTGTTTGCAGCTTGAGGAACTGCCACTGCTGCTAGCTGTTCTACTTCTGACGTTTGCTTAGTTCGGCGATGCGTAAAATCAGTCACTGCGAGTATTGTAGAGTTCCTCGCGCATTATTGATCGTGGACGAACGCTGCAGTAATTGGCGGGACAGGTCTGTCCATTAGGTTAACCCTAATGATAGTCGTTAGGGTCTTCCGCAACTGCCGGATTCTTAGCTCCTCGGTCTGACGGTACGATGTTTGCTCACTAAGTCAAAGGCAAATCTGGTAGTAGTCAGGGCTGGAGTGATTGGATCGAGGGGTTTGGTCCTAACATGGGAAGGATTTATGTTTGACTAGCCCTCTGTTCATGTCGTTACTGAAATTCCGATCCCATTTTTCTCGTTCCCACATGGCAGGCCGACAAGATATCGACGTTGGTGAAGGCCGCGAATGTGGACGTGGAGGCGTACTGGCCCACGCTCTTCGCCAAGCTGCTCGAGAAGCGCAGCGTGGAGGACCTCGTCTCAAACATCGGATCAGGTACGGTGCAGTCTGGTCACATGCGGTACGGTGCAGTATGGCCACATGCGGTGTGATCGTGTGAGGCGGTTCGTAGCTTGCAAAGTAGGCCGTGGCATGGTGCGTCAGGTATCTGTAGTTGCTGACGGCGGTGAATCTGCAATTGAATGAAATCAATCAATTGCACTTAAAAGCCCCCCCCTCCTTTACAGATCTTAGAACTGTCAGCTCAGAAGCATCTGCTGCCGAAGCTGAGAACTGAGAAGTTTTGGGTAGCTTCTGGAGGGTGTTTGGGAGGAGGCGAAGGGTTGTTAGCAAACCGAACGCTTTCGTATATCACGTTTGTTCCGGGGGGACTGAAAGCTGGGACTTTCATATCCACTGTTCCGTTACCCTGTGTTCAGCTGGGGCAATGATTTCTCATCGTCCTTATATTTCTCTGCTGTTCACCGTCCTACCCAGGTGGCGGCGGTGCCGTTGCCGCTCCTGCTGCTGCGGGCGGTGCTGCCGCACCAGCAGCTGAGGAGAAGAAGGAAGAGAAGAAGGAGGTGAGCATTTAGATATGAGTTATTGTTGTTTTGATGCCCTCGAAAGGTCCGTGGATAGCTCGCGTTAGAATAGTATTTAGTCGTGTTGGCTTCACAATTGTTGCTGGTCTGGTGTCTTGTGCTGACGATTTCTGCTCCTCTTCTGTCACACCTATCCACCCTGAACGATTATTGAATGCAACAGGAGGAGAAGGAGGAGAGCGATGACGACATGGGCTTCAGCTTGTTCGACTGAGCAACAAATACCATCTCTCCTCAGATCCCAGCCTTCACTTCCATTTTGACAGCTGTGATGCTTTCTAGGGCCGCTCAGCCTCCCTGTGTCTTAGCAAGGTCTTCCGCTATGTATCACATGCTATCAAATGATGGTTCTTGTTGCTGCTGGCGGTGGTCTGCCTTCAGTGTTGTGCAATGGTAGAATTTTATTAACTTCCACGGCTCATCAAAGAACGAGATTGGGAATAGGTAGTAATGAACATATTGAGCAATGGAGATTGAGTTGTGATTTAGGGTGTTAGGGTACGTTCCTGGCCCGTGTCAAAGCTTCGGGCCTTCCCGGGAAGGCCCGAAGCTTTGGGTCAAACTCCCTGTCCAACTTCAGGTCTTCCGGAAACAGGGGCAATTTTAGGCCGGAAGACCCGAAGTTGGTCTCGGATGGCCCAAAGTGGGTCCAACTTCCGGTCATCCGCGGATGACCGGAAGCTTGACACTCGCCAGGAACGCACCCTTACTAGCGTCACTACCCTGTATTTCGTTGAGCTTTCCCAGCTATCCATTGAAAGCTGTCGCCTCGATTTGTCCGTCTTCCTCAGGCGGATGAAACCAAGGTGGCTGGCATGCGTCGCGCACGGACACCCTGAAACAAGTCGCCCGCAACTGTATCTGTTCGCATCTTGTCGCAACGCATCCGCGCAAGCACAAGCAAGCAAATGCTTTTGTTTGCCTCCTGTCATTTCTCCCACCTCTTGCCTATTTACCAAGCCTGCTACCTGTTCGCCTTAGCTCGTCACTGCTGCCATTTCAACTTAGCTGGTAGCTCGCAACGGTACCTAAGCCGAGGCAGGGTGAAACACGTTTGAGCGGTCGGGGTTGGGTCATGCGGTGCTGCTGGTTCCCGAAGCCGTAGACACGATGTTCGTTGCGATGCTGATGGTGCCTTGAGCCGTGGAAAATGCTTGAATATTTTTATGCCATGGCTCTCGACAAATTCTCCAATGCCGAGGCAGCATCCGCGAGCTCGAGCTTTAGGTTAGAATGGATGATCACCCTGGCATTCCTAAGACCTAAGTAGACTCTTAGTCGACTGAAAGACAAGTCAGTTCCACCCGGCTACTCCGGCGATTACTCGACTTGTTTGATTGCCATTAGCTCTTGTGCTCTGGCTACGTTGTTGAGGTATTTCTGAAATGTTTATGTGACACAGTTAGCAGCCGAATGCAGCGGAGGAGATACCCTAGGTGAAGGTTACACCTTTACGCCTCGCGATTACAAACCCAACGGCTTGTGAATTAGGGTGCGGCGTGCATGACGAGAGCGGTATCGGTAACTTGTTAGCATCGTGAGGCAGCTCGCACGTTGATTGGGCTGCTCCGTGCGACTGATTGCGACTGAGGCGACTGACCGCGACTAATTAAGCACTTTAGGGATTCCTTTACGTCACAAACAATAGTCGAGCTAGCTGTCTGCGTTGACCGGAAATTTGGACCTTTAAGGACCTACGCTCTATCCCACTTCGTGTCGTATCCCGCTTCGCTCTTAATTAAGCACGATGTCTCGCCAACCGTCGCCAATGCGGGCTCCCCGCACAAAAATCCTGAACGAAAAATACGTGAGTGGCTCTATCTGCTCCTAGATTATCCTCCTTCGCGCAGAAAGTTTTAGTTTTTATTTTCTGTTGTTGAAAGGATACGTCTTGCCTGGTACTGCAGGGCATCATTCACAATTTATCGTTCTCTTGGTTAGTTTACGTAATCGCCACCATTTTCGCCTGTTTTTTTCTTTCAGCTAATCGTGATAGCATTTGCCGTCCTTTTCACGTACAGTGTTCGCGCACATGTCCGTGTGCGTGTGCATGGTCATGCGGGTGTGTGGGTGTGTGCCTGCATGTGCGTGTGCCTGTGTGCGTGTGTGCCTGCATGTGCGTGTGCCTGTGTGCGTGTGTGCCTGCATGTGTGTGTGCCTGTGTGCGTGTGTGCCTGCATGTGTGTGTGCCTGTGTGCGTGTGTGCCTGCATGTGTGTGTGCCTGTGTGCGTGTGTGCCTGCATGTGTGTGTGCCTGTGTGCGTGTGTGCCTGCATGTGTGTGTGCCTGTGTGCGTGTGTGCCTGCATGTGTGTGTGCCTGTGTGCGTGTGTGCCTGCATGTGTGTGTGCCTGCGTGCGTGTGTGTCTGCGTGCGTGCGTGCGCGAGCAGCTGCTGGGCGAGGAGCTGGGGAAGGGCGCGAACGGGCGCGTGTTCAAGGCGCTGGACCTGCAGAACGGCGACTTCGTGGCCATCAAGGAGGTGTCCCTCGAGAACATCGACCAGGACGACCTCGCCTCTGTCATGGTGGGTTGCCAGCAGTGGGGTGCTGTCTGGCTGTGGTGGAACTGAGGGTGGGCTGTAGTCGATGGGTTAGTGTGCGTAGCGTGCGAGTGTATGGCCATCAAGGAGGTGTCCCTCGAGAACATCGACCAGGATGATCTCGCCTCTGTCATGGTGGGTTGTCGTGAGTGGGTTGTCGTGGGTGGTATGCCGGGGGTGGGATGCCAGGGGTGCATGTTGGTAGTTGGATTGGAAGGACAGAGTTTGGGTGGGTTGCTTCAAGGATGTGTGGTCAAGGAGGTGTCCCTCGAGAGCATCGACCAGGACGACCTCTCAACCGTCATGGTGGGGTGGGCTGCCAGTAGTGGCGTGGGGTGGGCTGGGAGTGGTGCATGATGGTGCTCTGCGTTGATTGTGTCAAGTCAATCAACCCTACCACATGCATTGTACACAAACGTCCCTCTTGCTCTCTCCCTGCTTTTTCACGACCAATGCTGATTTTTTTTTCTTGCTTTTTGTCCCCTGCCTTTCCCGTGTGTGGCCCTGTGCTCCTTACTCGCGGGGGCTATGGTTGCCACTGCCACATGGAATGCAATCACCACAGCAAGAAATTGACCTTCTCAAGGTGGGCTGGGCTGTTCCCTGCTTCTCTGTGCTGTATTTCCTTTACTGTGCTGTACAGTGCTATTCATGCTGTACCATGCTGCATGAGTCTTTACTATTGTGCTGTGCCATGCGATGTGGTCTCATGAAGTCCGGCACGTTGCTTGATGTTTGCAAATTCAGATGTGCTAACTGTTCTTCATTCGCCCTTACCCTTCGTCCCCTCCTCCAAACACACCCCTCAGACGTTCAACCACAAGAACATAGCCAAGTACCTGGGTTCCATCAAGACCAAGCTGCTGGTGATGTATAACGAGGCCCCACACTTCCCTCCCACTATCCCACGTTTCTTCCTCTTCCACCCTCTTCCGCAGACGTTCAACCACAAGAACATAGTCAAGTACCTGGGTTCCATCAAGACCAAGACACACCTCTTCATTCTCCTCGAGTACGCCTGCCTGCCTGCCTGCCTGCCTGCCTGCCTGCCTGCCTGCCTGCCTGCCTGCCTGCCTGCCTGCCTGCCTGCCTGCCTGCCTGCCTGCCTGCCTGCCTGCCTGCCTGCCTGCCTGCCTGCCTGCCTGCCTGCCTGCCTGCCTGCCTGCCTGCCTGCCTGCCTGCCTGCCTGCCTGCCTGCTTGCCTGCCTGCCGCTCTATGCTCGCCTCATGCGTCCCTCCAAATGCTGTATCCCGCTGCGTCCTGTGCTGTGCCCTTAGAGTGCTCTGTCTCATCTGCACATTGCAACACCATTACCTTCTCACCCCACATCACCCATCCTCTCACCCCATCCTCTCACCCCATCCTCTGACCCCATCCTTCACCCGTTGATATCCCTATGGCTAGGTTTGTGGAGAACGGGTCACTCGCAGGCATCATCAAGCCCAATAAGTTCGGGCCTTTTCCAGAGTGCCTTGTCGCTGTCTACACTGCCCAGGTGGGGAGAGGCCAATATTCCTGCAATTTTTGGTAACAGACGTATGCATCCTGTGTCTTTGCTCTCTGCAGGTCCCGTGCCTGCCTTCCACCCGTTATCCTCTCTGCTCCTCCGTTCCTGCTTCCTCACTCCCACTCTTACCACCCTTCTCTCTTTCTCTTCTTCTCCCCGCCATAACAGGTGCTGGAGGGGCTGATGTACCTGCACGAGCAGGGCATCATCCACTGCGATATCAAGGGCGCTAACATCCTCACCACCAAAGAGGTTAGTCCCAGTCCCTTCCCTGCCGCTCCACCACCCACCCACCACACAACACTATCTGCCTCCACCACACCGCACACCAATGGCCAAGCCAACCCCCCCTGCGCAACCGCCCCCTTTTGAGTTTGAAACACACTTGTTGAACGTTAATCAACGCGACAAGCTCACCAGCAACGGTGCACGCCCCACTGGATGGCGCTAGAGGTGATAGTGATCTCTGCTGCGCCTCCCGCATCCGGAGCCTCACCTGCTGCCTCTCTCCTCCTCAACCCCCCCCTCTCCCTTCTCTGCTCTCCCGCTTCCCCCTTCCACCATCCCCTCTCCGTCCTCCGCTCTCTGCTCTCCACCCTCTGCCCCCTCCCCTCCCCCCCACCCCTCCTTCTCCCCCACTTCCCCCCCCACAGGGTCTGGTGAAGCTGGCGGATTTTGGGGTGGCGATGCGAGTGGAGGAGGCAGCGGCGTGCCATGGGGACGCGGAGAACCCCAACGTGGTGGGCACGCCCTACTGGATGGCGCCCGAGGTCATTGAGATGTCCGGCATCTCGCCCGCCTCTGACATCTGGAGCGTTGGCTGCACTGTCATCGAGCTCCTCACCACCAAGCCGCCCTACTTCGACCTCCAGCCCATGCCTGCACTCTTCCGCATTGTTCAGGTGCACATTTTTCCCCGCTCCTGGCTTCCTTCCACATCGCCCAGGTGGGATCTGTGGGGCGTGCTGAAAACCCGTGTCTGCTCGTTACATTGTTCTGCATCGTTTTGATGGAACTTTCGCCACTCCCCCTTGTGAAAGAGCTTGCTGCAGTGGAGCTGGCTGGATGCATGCCAGACGTTCTTGAGCATTTTCAGAGCCAGGTTATGTGCTTGAGATTCCGAACTGAAAGAGAGGCTGCGTTCCTGAGGAGGATATCGGGCCTGAGTTTCAAACTCCACTCACCCTCAAGGGCGTGTTCACAAACTCTCTCTTGCCTTGGTGTGTCATCGTGCTTATTGTCTTGCAGGATGACCTGCCGCCCATACCAGAGAATGTGTCTGCTGCCACGTCGGACTTTCTCCACCTCTGCTTCCGTAAGGTGCGGTACCGCACCTCTGGATTTTGTGGAGTTTTTGTAGGTTTGTGGGCTTTTGTTGATTCTTTAGTGTGTTCTTTCTCCCCCTGTTAGGTCTCATTGATAGAAAAGGAGCTCAACTGATTGATTAGTAAAGAAGGCACTAGGCCTTAAGTACAAACGAGGTTGGGTTGGGAAAGGCTAGGGAAAGGATGGGATGGGAATCCTAGCAAATCTCCAATTGGTGAGTTGGCAGATTTGCAGGATTACGAGGGAATCCCAACCAGATAGGGTTGGGATTACAAACTACACCCAACCCGCAAATAACCTACGCGATATAAAATATAGTACACAAAATGTTGACAGCCTAATTCTAACACACCCCCTAGGCTGCAACACATCAGCCACAAGGCGGCCCAACATCCATGGCCAAGAGGAGGCGGTAATGGTCCTCGCGAACAAGCGACTTGGTAAACAAGTCAGCAAGGTTGCAGTCCGAGGCAATGTGTTCAGCCTTCAGCTGGTTGCGCTGCACCAGCTCACGAAGAAAGTAGTGACGGACTTCAATGTGCTTGGTGCGGCCGTGGAAAACGGGGTCCTTGGTGAGATGAATGGTGCTCTCGTTGTCACACCAAAGCGTTGGGGTTGGTTGGGGATACCCCAGTTCTGTCAGCAGGAAGGAGAGCCAACGAGCCTCCTGGGCAGCCATGGTCCCGGCATACAGCTCTGCCTCACAGGTCGACAGTGAGACGGAGGACGACCGAGTGGAGCGCCAACTGACAACCCCACTGCCGAGGGTAAAGCAATACCCTTGGGAAGAGCGCCGATCACTCTGGTCATCAGTAGGGATGAGCAAGGGGACGAACACCTGTTCGGTTCGCCTCGAACGTGTTCGAGGCGAACCGAACAGGTTTATTTTTTTGGCTTAAATGGTTCGCCGAACAGTGTTCGAGGTTCGCCCGAACACGTTCGTGTTCGGGCCGCTGCTGCAATTTGCCCCGCAACGAACACGAACGTGTTCGAGGTTCGCCCGAACACGCCTTCATAGGCGAACGGCGAACACTTGTGTCGGCGGAAATCGTTCGCCGAACCGAACAGTGTTCGGTTCGGCTGTTCGAGCTGTTCGACAGAGGACGAACTCGAACCTGTTCGAGTTCGGCCTCTGCTCATCCCTAGTCATCAGCATAGGATGAATCACTGTACCCCTCAAGGCGAACAGGGGAAGAGCGGTTGTGGAGGTTTGCGATGTCTGGAAAGAGGAAGCAGAGCGCGTGGTTGGCTGAGTCGATATCAATCAACTCCTCATGTCTATCTTCATTACAATGCCCTTCTCCCTCCTCCTCGCCTCCTACCGTTCGTTCTGCTCCCTGCTGGCCACTACAGGACACCAAGAGCCGCCCGGACGCCAAGACTCTCCTGCGGCACCCCTGGATCCGGCAGGCGAAGCGGGCAGTGTCCTCCGGCCTTGCTGCCATTCCCCGGCCTGTCAGCGCCGGCTCCTCCTCCTCCTCCTCCTCCACCCGCCCTCTGTACGTGCTGCTGCTGCTGCTGCCATGCCGCTGCCGCTGCCGCTGCTGCCGTCAGCTGTGTATGCTAGCATTTTGTTCAAACTACCCCTCTACTGTCGCCACTCGTTGATTCTCTCTGTTCTTTCCGTCCTCCCTTCTCCACCAAACGCAACCAGCGCCTGTTCCAACCCGTTTCTGTGCTTCCATCATTCCTCCCACCCCTGTAGCTATCCAGAGGCGCCGTCTCAAGCGGGGGCAGGCAGGGGCAGCGACGAGGCAGCAGCCATAGACGACTCAATTGATGCTGCCAGGCGTGTGCACGCCTCCTCCTCCTCCTCTCCGCCTGTCACCCTCTCCGCCTCCTCTCCAGACAGCGAACGCCGCGACCGCAAGATCCACCTGCAAGCGGTGAGTCGCTTTTACTAGCTCTGACGGAGAGATTTCGAGACGTCTCAAAAGACGTCTCCCAGCCCCTCCTCCCCTGTCAACCTCTCCACATCTTCTCTTCTCCTTCAACTCTTCCTGGTCCCCTAACTAACCCTCCAGGACGCGATGAAATTTCCGAGGGAGGCAGCCAAGGCGGTGCACAATTCTCTGTGAGAAGACCTCATAAAATCTCACACATATATTTTCTCGCTTTCCCCACCCCACCCCACCCATCCACACCACCAGGACGCGGTGAAGGACCTGCGGGAGGCAGCCAAGGCAGCACGCAAGTCACGAGCGCAGCGCCACTCTATGGGCGGTAGCATTGACTCTGGCGCCCCCTCTGACAGACCCGGGACTGCAGAGGACGCTGGTACTGGTGGTGGTGGCGGTGGCGGTGGTGGGGGGGGAGGGAGTGGTGGTGGGGGGAGTGGGAGTGGTGGGAGCAGTGGGATCAGCAGCAGCGGTATCCCGCTGAGTGGCAGCGGGCGCCGTAAGATTATCCGGTCCAAGAGCGACAAGGAGCTGAATGCCAGAGACAGCGAGGGGCACGCGGAGGGCGGGGCGGGGGGAGCGGGCGGCAAGGACGGGGCGAGGAGGCAGAGGTGGAAGAGCGGGCAGGGGATGGACGAGGAGGGCAGCAGGGAGTTTATCAGCATGCAGGGGGAGGGAGGCGTGTGGGAGGTCTCAGATGAGGAGGATGGGCTGGGGAGGGTGAAGGGAGGGAGAAGAGGAGCAGGGAGGGAGAGAGCGGAGGAGGAGGATAGCAGTGGAGAGATAGGTTCGGGAGAGGCTCGGCAGCAGCCGAAGCTGGGGCAGTCGAGCAGCACTGGTGGAGCAGGTCTGGGTGGTGGGGGAGGAGGGAGTGGGGCGAGCAGTGGACGATCGATGAGTGCGAGTCTGCCGTCGCCCCCGCGGTCCCACCGGGGGTCGCGCTCGCAGCAACAGTCTCCAGAGGGAGCGCATGGGAGGTTGAGTTTTGAGGCGCCTCAGAAGGTCTCGCGCTCGCAGCAGCAATCACCGGAAGGAGCACACGGGAGGGCGAGTGGGGGGAGGGCTGGTGGGGAAAACTTTCTGGTTGGGTCCTCTGGGGAGAAGGGTGGGGCGGACCAGGAGGATGAGAGAAACGGCACGCCTGCTGGGAGGAAGGCGAGGCGGAGATCGCAAGATGGGGATGGGACGGATCGCGTGGGGGCACCCGGGGCGGAGGGTGGAGGAGCGGCGGGGGGAGCGGGGAAGAAGGGGGCGGGGAAGAAGAAGGAGCAGCGGCGCAGCGGCCCGCTGTCGGCCCCTACGGGCAAGTCAGGAAAGGGCGCGGGAAAGAAGCGAGGCTCGCAGCAACAGCAGGCACAACAGGATGACGATGGCAACAGTAACACCGATCCTGCCAGCAGCAGCCTTCTCGCGCCACACACGGCCCCACAGCTCATTCCCCGGCCCCTCTCCACATTCATCGAGACAGAGGAGGAGCGGTCTCTCTCCTCCCTCACAGCCATGTTCGCGCCTCTGGCAGGGTCACCACAGGTGGCGGGGGGCAGCAGGAGCCTGGCGGGGGTGCTGAGGGAGAGGCTTGTGCGAGGGATGCACCGGGTCGCTGTGAAGGCAGAGCGCGAGGGGAGCGACCCGTTTGCAGGGGTTGAGGGGCTGGATGCGGTTGGGAGCGGTGCGGAGAGGGGAGAGGAGGAGGGTGGTGTGGGTAGGGCTGTGGGTGTTGCTGATTTTGATTCTGTGTTCTATGGAGCGGCGACAGGTGGAGCGGCAGTGGGCGGGGGGGCAGAGCGCAAATCGAGCCTGCGGCCAGAGGTGCTGAATCAGAAGGTATGCTGCCTGCGGTGAAGTGAAGTGATGCCATCCATCCATCCATCTCATCTTATACAACGCTCATGCCAATCGCACAACAGCACACCTTTCAGTCTGTTAAGCCCGGCCAACCTGTGATTCCCTGCTCCATTTCTGATGTAGTGTCAGAGGCAGCCGGGCTGCTGAGCTTAGTCAGCTGAAGCTGTTCTCGGTGTCAGCGTGTTGTGAGGAATTCTTGCCCTCTTCTCCCCCTCTCTCCACCGTTTCCAGGTCTCAGAGGCAGCGGGGCTGCTGAGCCAGCTGAAGCCGTCGCAGGTGTCAACTCTGCCTAATGGTTCTCCCTCCCCCTCTTTTCTTTTTGCTCCCTCTTTTCCTTCCGGGTCAGGTATCAGAGGCAGCGGGGCTGCTGAGCCAGCTGAAGCCATCGCAGGGAGAGGAGGCGATAGAGGTGGCGAGCAGCAGGCTGGCGGGGCTGGTGGGGGAGTACCCCGAGGTCAAAGGGGAGCTCGTTGCAACCCATGCTGTGCTGCCGCTGCTCGACGTGTTCGATGCTGACAGCCCAAGGGTGAGTGGGTGTGTCAGTGTTGGGGGCCATGTGAGGCAGCAGCAGGCTGGCGGGGCTGGTGGGGGAGTATCCCGAGCCCGAGGTGAAGGGCGAGCTGGTGGCATCCAATGCCGTGCTGCCGCTGCTCGATGTCTTTGACGCTGACAGCCCCCGGGTGAGTGGGTGCACGCGGGCATGTAAGGGAACAGAATGAGAGGCGGCAGGTGAGGGAAGGTTGGGTTGAAAATCACTTCTGGCTTGAGGGGCAGATGGGATGCGGTGCGCTATGACCACAGTGTGCATGTGCATTTGTATGTCCATGCTGATGTACCCAGTCATGCTCACGTCGGCCCGTCAACACGTTTTCAGAAGCCTTTCGGGGCTGCTGCAGCACCTCATCACCGACAAGCGAGTTTTGAATAAACTCAAAAGACATGTTGTTTTGGCCCACCCACCACACCCCTCCCCTCCCCTCCCTCACTGCAGATAGTACTGGCAGTGCTTGGACTGCTGCAGCAGCTTATCGCTGACAGCCCAGCCATCCAAAGCCTGCTCTGCAATGCCGGCCTTGTGAGTATCCCAACCTCTGCTACCTCATGCTCATGCCGTGTGAGGCGTGACTCTCTTTTTGGAAACGAGGATTGCACATGAATTGAACCTGTTTTAGGATTCTGTAAGTATGTGTCGCGGGTTATTACGTATGTGTGTAAGTACACATGTGCTGGTGTGTTTCCCTTTGCTCAAGAAATGTTCCCTGCTCACTTCAATCCTTCCATCACTGGTTCCCGCTTCCCTTTCCTGACTCTTCCCGACTGCTTCCTCCTCTCTCTGTTGTTTTCTTCCCCTCCCTTTGCTTCGCTTCTGCTCCCCTTCCCTCTCTCCTCTCTCCCCTCCCCGCTCTCCTTCTCCCTTCTCTTCCCCTCCCTATCAGGTGCCCACGCTGCTCAACTTCTCCTCGCCGGGTCGCTGCTCACCAGACATGCGCCATCAGGCGGGCCTTGTGCTGCGCCACCTCTGCCACTCCAGGTACATGGGTGTGAACGCTTTTTGAGGCGCCTCAGATAAGGGCTGTCTGTGGCACCTGCGCCACTCCAGGTGCATGTGTGTGAGCGATTCTGAGGCGCCAAGTGATTGTGCTGCGGCACCTGTGCCACTCCAGGTATTTGTCAGTCGCTCATCCACCCGGCCACTTCTGCCCGCTGCACCACCTGTGCCTGCTGATTTTCTCTCTCCCAATCCCTCATCTCTCCGCTCCCTTTCCCTCCCCCATATATTCCCTCTCCTGCATCGTATCACTCCCCTCCCCCATGTATTCTCCCATCATACCAGTCCGGACGTGGTTACTTTTGAGGCGCCTCAAAAGTCATATATTCCCTCTCCTGCACTGTATCTCTCTCCCCTCCCCCATGTGTTCCCTCCTCCTGTCAGTCCGGACGCGGTGAGAGCGCTGCTTGCGTGTCGAGGCCTGCCCACGCTCATGGCGTTTCTAGAGACGGACTACTGCAACAACCGGTGGGTTCTGGTTGGCTTTTGCACTGCTTTGCTCTGCAAGCTGTTGCACCGGAGTTCTAGTTCTGAGATAGAGACGCCTCTGCAATCTGCCTGCCCACGCTCATGGCGTTTCTAGAGACGGACTACTGCAACAACCGGTGGGTTCTGGGTGGCTTTTGCACTGCTTTGCTCTGCAAGCTGTTGCACCTGAGTCCTAGTTCTGAGATAGAGACGCCTCTGCAATCTGCCTGCCCACGCTCATGGCGTTTCTAGAGACGGACTACTGCAACAACCGGTGGGTTCTGGGTGGCTTTTGGGTGGGCTCTACCTGGCTGCTGTGCTGCTCTGCTCTGCTCTCTAAGCTGCGCCTGATTCCTTGAGTTGAGTTTGTCTCTACAATCTGTCTTCCCACGCGCTTGACGTTTCTTGTGTCAATCTACTGCAACAACCGGTGGATTTTGCTCTGCTCTGCTTAGTTGCTGGTGCTCTCTCTACTTCCCTCTTTCTGCCGCTCCCTGTTCCACCCTCCCCTCACTCAGTGCGTTCGTGCACATAGGGCTGGACTGTCTGCTGGCAGTGCTGGCAGCGGGGCGTCCCACCCCGCGCACGGACATTGCGAGGCAGCTGGCGCGCATGGGCCTGCTGCACCGCCTGCTCTCCCTCCTGCACTCCATCTCCTCCGCCCGCAACCACCCCGCTTCCGCCTCTTCTGCTGCTGCCGGTGCTGGTGCCGGTGTTGGTTTTGGTGGTGAGGGTGGGGGTGAGGGAGGTGGTAGGAGCAGCTGGGATGGCGGTGCTGCTGGCTCTGGTGGTGGCTCGGCCTACGGGTCAGGGGATCCTTTTAGCTCTGGCAACGCAGGCGGAGCAGCGGTAGGAGCAGGAGGAGGAGGGGCAGCATCAGCTGCTGCCTCCCCTGCAACCTCCTCCTCCTCAGCATCGTCTGCTGCTGCCCCTGCTGCTGCCACTCCTGCCCGGCGCTCCCAGCGTCGCATCTTTGGCCTAGCACAGTTCCGAAGCAAGGCAGCCAAGGCCGGGCAGGGCGGGGGAGACTCGCAGGCACAGGGAGGAACAACATCATCAGCAGCAGCAACAGCAGGAGGAGGAGGAGGGGGAGGAGTGGGAAGCGGTGCTAGCGGCTCTTCCAGTGGTGGAAATGGAGTGGGTGCAAGGGCAGGGGCGTATGGGACTAGTTCGGGTGACAGTATGAGTAGTGCTGGTGGTGGTAGTGGTGGTGGTGGTGCTGGTTGGGGCAGTGGCTCCTCCTCCTCCACAGACGCCAGCACCTTCACCTCTTCCTCCTCAGCAGCATCAGGAACAACAGCAGCCTCGGTGAAGCAGCAGCAGCTAGACCCAGCAGCGCTAGCAGCACAGGACACGCTCTACCTCACGCGCACGGCCCTCCTCCTGCTGCACCTTTGCCAGGCGGACGAGGCAGTGCGCGCGCACATGCTCGCGCCCTCCTTCCTCAAACGCTTACTCGACGCCCGCGACGCCCTCCCCCCGCCCGTGCTGCTGCTGCTGCTGCGCGTGCTCCGCCAGCTGTCGGCGGACGCTGCCTCGCATGATTCATTACAGAGGGCTGATGCTGTCCGTGCACTCGTGCCGTACATTGATGCGGGATTCAGGGAGCGGTTTGAGGTGGGGGAGAAGGGGGAGAGCCGGACAGGGGGAGGGGCGAGTGCGGCGGTGTATCCGGCTTCGCTGTTTTGCGACATTCAGGCTGAGGTGAGTGCTGTGAGGTTCAGGCTAAGGTGAGTGGTGTAGCATCCACACGAATGCTGAGGGTGCTCCGCCAGCTGTCTGCTGACGCCGCCTCACATGATTCGTTACAGAGGGCCGATGCTGTGCGTGCGCTCGTGCCGTACATTGATGCGGGGTTCAGGGAGCGGTTCGAGGTGGGGGAGAGGGGGGAGAGAGGGGAGAGCCGGGCTGGGGGTGGTGGGGGAGCGGAGGTGTATCCGGCTTCACTGTTCTGCGACATTCAAGCAGAGGTAGGTGAGTAATGGGAGATTTAGGCAGATGTGATTCGACCTAATGAGAAGTCTCAGAAGACCTCGGGTCCTTGAGATGTCATGGCATGTGTTGTCTTGGGATGGGAATGGCTTCAGGAAAGCTTGTGAGGTGCCTCCAACACCCCCGGTGACTTTTGAGTCGACACTAAACCTTGGGCCCTTGAGATGTCATGTCATGTGTTGTCATGGGAAATGACTTGACATGACATTAATGCTTTCTTGTCTTCCGGAAAGCTTGGGAGGTGCCTCCAACACCCCCCGGCGCTTCCGCGTGGGCTGCTGTACAATCTCAGCAGGGGCAGGGGCAGCAAGTGCTTCCTGATTGATCTGCAGGAATAAACACCCCCGCCCTCCTCCCCCTTTGTGTTCTCCCTCCCGGTTCGGCTCCACACCAGGCGCTGATGTTGCTGTACAATCTCTGCCGAGGCAGCAAGTATAATAAACACCCCATCGCTACTCAACCCCTCCCCACTCCCTCCCTCCCTCCCTCCCTCTCTCCCCCCTCTCTCCAGGCGCAGATGACGCTGTACAATCTCTGCCGGGGCAGCAAGTATAAAAAACACCCCATCGCTACTCAATCCCTCCCCACTCCCTCCCTCCGTCGCTCCCCCCCCTCTCCAGGCGCTGATGGCGCTGTACAATCTGTGCAGGGGCATCAAGCGCAGGCAGGAGCTGCTGTCTGTCAGTAAGCCCTTCATCTCCCCAATTTCCCTTTCTCCCTCCCTCCAGGCGCTGATGGCGCTGTACAATCTGTGCTGCAGGGGCAGCAATCGCAGGCAGGATCTATGTACAATATGCACCTTTCCCCCTTCCCTCACACTCCTCTCCCCTTTCCATTTCCAGGCGCTGATGGCGGTGTATAATCTGTGCAGGGGCAGCAAGCGCAGGCAGGAGCTGCTGTCTGTCCTGTCAGTAGACCCTTCATCTCCCCTACTTCCTTCCTCTCCTTTCCCTCCCTTTCCACACCTCCCTCGCCTCTCTCCGCCCACCAGGCGCTGATGGCGCTGTACAACCTGTGCTGCAGGGGCAGCAAGCGCAGGCAGGAGCTGGCAGCAGAGGCGCTTTTGAGTCGACTCAAAACATCCCTGCCCTCCCCCATCGTCCCTCCCCTGCCCCCCACTCCCAGGCGCTGATGGCACTCTACAATCTGTGCAGGGGCAGCAAGCGCAGGCAGGAGCTGGCAGCAGAAGCTTCCATCGTTCCCCCGCTCATGGCGCTCATCTCCTCGCGCTCGCCTCTTCTCCCCTTCGCGTTACCTCTCCTCTGCCTGCTCGCCACTGCTTCCCGCGCTGCCTGCGACGCCCTGCTGCACCACAACGCGCTGCCTCTGCTGCTCTCCCTCCTCGCCGCCCCTCTCACGCCCCACGCCGCCATTGCTGCCCGGCTTGCGGACGGCAAGAAGGACGGCGCCGGGGGAAAGGGGGGAGGCGGAGGAGGGGGGAGTGTTGCAGGAGGCGCAGGGGGAGCAGGGGCGGCAGGGGGAGCAGGGGGGACGGGGGGGATGGGGAGTGGGGAAGGGGCGGAGAGGATGTGGGGGGCGGCGGCGTTTGAGGCGGTGGTGGCGTGTGTGGTGAACGATGGGGAGGGGCGGCATGTGGAGCAGACGCTGCTGCGCCGTGACTCCCTGGAGGCGCTGGTGTGGTTCGTGCGAGGGGCTGCCAAGACCGCCTCTTTCACTGCGCTCTTCGAACCGCTGCTGCGCCTTGTCAGGTGAGTGAGCCAGGCTCGGGCTGCTTCCTGGATTTGATCCCTTTTCACCCCTTCCGCCTTTCCCCCTGCATCCACACTCATCTTTCAGCCCCCCCCCCCCCCCCCTGTCCGACCACCCCTTTTTTCCCATTCCCCATTCACCACCCCCAACAGCAAGTCGCCAACGTTGAATGCAGCACTGTCATTAGGCGGGTTGGGCGATCTGCTCGTGGCTCGCCTGGACGACCCTCAGCTGGAGCCAGCCGTGCGGCTGAACCTGCTCAAGCTGCTCAAGGTGGGCTGCTGTGGGGGTTAAAGGAGAGTGGATATGGAGTATAGGTAGGTGTCTTGTGCCTTGATGGCCTGTTGATGCAAGGACTGGACGACCCCCAGCTGGAGCCCGCCGTGCGGCTGAACCTGCTCAAGCTGCTCAAGGTGAGGAGGTGGAGTCTAGGTAGGTAGAAAAGCACACGTGTGGGCGTGTCTGTATGATAAGGACGGGACGACCCCCAGCTGGAGCCAGCCGTGCGGCTTAACCTGCTCAAACTGCTCAAGGTGGGTAGACCGAGTCCAGGTAAGTGTCTTCATAGCACATGGTCATGTATGATAGATACATGGTGGAGTGGAGGGAGTCGTGCTGTTGAGCCGCAGCCCATATGCCATGCCAAGGACACTGGTGTGCGGCCAAATGAGTCCCTCACTGTCATGGCACCACGATGCTGCAGGGTGTTCTTGAGAATTCTCAAAAACACCCTGCAGCATTGGCACTGGTGTGCGGCCAAATGAGTCCCTTACTCTCATGGCACCATGCCTCTCCCTCCACTCCACCCCCGCTTCTCCCAGGCGGTATACGAGCAACACCTGTACCCCAAGGGGCTGTGTGTTCCTTGTTGTTCCGGTCAGGGGAAAAAGGACACAGTCTCCTCCCTCGACTCCTCCTCCCCCTCCCCTCTCCTTCCAACCCCAGGCGGTGTACGAGCAGCACCCGTACCCCAAGGGGCCGTGTGTACCGGACGAGCTGCACCTCTGCTCTCCCCTTCAAGGCCGACCCACCACTGCCTTTCACCCTCTCTCCCCGCTTCGTTCCCCTCTCCTTCCAACCCCAGGCGGTATACGAGCAGCACCCGTACCCCAAGGGACTGTCTGTGCCGGAGGAGCTGCCAGGGAAGCTGCAGAGGCTGACAGAGGAGCGGCGCATTGCAGGCGGGCAGCAGGTGCTGGTGCGACAGATGGCGTCCGCCCTGCTTAAAGGGCTGCACTTCGGCCCGCCCAGATAAACAGCCTGGGGGGGGGGGGGGGAAGCTGTGGCACAGGGGAATCTGTGGCACAGGGGAAGCTGTGGCGGAAATGAGTGGGGAACTCACTTGATGACAACCGACAGATGGTTTAATACAGAGCGCAGCAGTGCGTGTGTGCGCGCGGTGGGTGTGACTGCAAGGTGGTCCGCAGCAGCCGTCTTGTTCTCATTCATGGTTGGAAGGGCAGCAGCAGCAGCAGCAGCAGCAGCAGCAGCAGCAGCAGCAGCAGCAGCAGCAGCACCCCACTGTGCAAAGCAGCCGCAGCAACACATCATGGCGCATCTGTGAAGCGAAGCTGAGGTCAATCTTGGTGTATTTATGGCGCTCTGCCATGAGTTATGGCAGCTGCAGTGGTGAAACAGGCGTCAGTTACTGATGGAGTGGTGGAACAGGCATCACTGGTTCTGTAGGAGTTACTGCTGGCAGCAACTGCAAAAGAAACCGTTCAGAAGCCAACAGCCCATGAATGGATTGATTGCAAGGTGGAGTGCGAACAGCATCGTCCACCCACAGTGTAGTAGTACCCCATTCTCGCCCGAATAAAGCACATAAAGTAGTTCTATTGAGTTGTACACTGATTTCATGCATTTGTCGCAGGTCGAGGATAGATGCTGCTCTACGTATTCCAGAAGCTTCAATATAACTGTCTCTGCGCTACACTAATTACATTGCAGTATGTGCGCTACCCAAACAGCAAACAGCATAGACATCAAGATGGAACCAACTTGATTTGAGCTGCCTTGCCTTTCACATACCCCTGCCTGCTGCCTTTGCACTGCCTCTCTCTCCCACAAAACCTACATGCACTGACCACCCTGTTCCTGTGCAGAGCCCCACTCACAACCTCCCCTCGCCCTCCTGCCTCCCCTTGCTTCCCCTCCGCTCTCTGCACTCCCTCCTGCGTCACCCGTCTCTTCTTCTCCCGCTCCTCTCCTCCCGTCGTCGCCTGTCCTCCGCCCCTCGCTTTCTTTCGCCTCTTTCTGCATCCCTTCCTTCTCTCTCCTGTTCCTTTTCTAGCCCATCCACCTGCTGTAGCGGCAGCCGTAGCAGCAACTGAAGCAGCAGCTGCTGCAGCAGTGGAAGCACCTTCACCTGCCACGTGGTTGCATGTGGCGCTTCTCCGCGTCGCCTCAGACGCTACATGGGCGGCAGCATCTGCGCCGTCTGCACCTGCACAGGAAGCATCTAAAGCACTTCCTCTGGCATTCTCACAGGTACCCGCAGCTGGGGTAGCTGCCAGCCTGGTGGCTTTGCCACAACTGGGGAAGCTGCTCCTTGACTTGGTGCCTTGTGACCTGGTCTTTGATTTCTTTGCCCTCCGAGTTGGGTTTCCAGCGCGCGGGTACGATGCGATGCTGAGGGTGCACGTGGAAGGCAGGATCTGGGGGAGGCCGCATCTGATGCAGGGAGTTTGCCCGGGGCGGGGGAAGAGGGGACGGGGAGAGGGGGTGTGGTGGGGGGGAGAGTGGGGTGGAGGGTGGAGGGGGGGGGTTGGTGGGTGGGGTGAGGGAGGGGCGGTGGAAGAATGTATGTTTTTCACTTTCTCTTTTCACATGTCCCGGAAAAGAGTATCAAATGGAGGGGGTTTTGGCCATGGGGAGGGGATAATTTTTTTCGGTGGAGAAGACAGAGAAAACAGTGCTCACCCCGCGCACAGCACACTTCCGTCAACAGCCATCGCCTTGGCAACAGACTGGCCACCACCACCACCGTCGCCCGCGCTTCCACCACCACCACCCCCTCCTCTTCTCTTGTCCGCCTCCCCTTGCTGTCGATTCTGCGGCAGTGCCGGCGCTGGCGTCAGCAGCTGCACGCACCGCCCGAGGTGGGCGGCAACGGGCGGCGAACTGACGGCGAGCGACTCGGCGGCTCGGCGGAGAAACTCGCGGCGGAGGTCGAGCGGGGTGGCGGAAGGGGCGTGCGGGGAGGTGGCGGCGGAACGAGCGCGCGGCTGGCTCATTGCGGCTGCCGCTTGCAAACCCGCTGGCGAGATTTGCGGCCGTGCCCGTGAGGTATGGAGAATAGATTGTTACGGTGTTCAAACGAAGAGAGTGTTCGCGAGAGAAATGTACTTGGCGAAAGACGAGGTCCGCTTGGTTGGGGCTGAGGGGAAGTCGCTTTGCGCTGAATGGTTTCTGCAACGAAAATATTTGGTTCATCGTCATGCGGTCGTTGGATTTGGGTTACCCTTCGCAACCTCGCTGATGATCCAACCAAACCGAAACCCAGGGAGGCTCGGAAAAGTTAACTCGGTTACGGTAATTTTTGGTAATAAGCGTTTGAGAAAGGCTTGTTTGGTATCCTGGGCTGTGAAAGGTTTTGAGGGGAATGAAAATTCTACGTGACGGCCTGAGCTTGGCGCGCAGCTTGCTCTCCCTTCCCACTGACACGCCTTCATCCATTCACGGCTGCTGCATTGATACTGTATTGCGAAGCCGCGGTGCTGCAGTGCAGCAATGCCGCAGTGCCATGCAGTCGCAACACCAGTCCCCAATGTCGGTTCAATCGCCGCTGTCCCGTCTATCGTCGACTCTCCTATGTCGGACCCTGCGACGCGCGTCGTCGGCCCGGCATGTGCGACGGATGACCCGCTTCTGCCGCTGGCGACGCTGCAGCTGCAGTGGTCGCGGATGCTACCTTACGAAACCACGAAATCCGTATGCGACGCGCGCGAAAATGGGTCACAGCGTGCAGCAGATCCGTCCCAGATGTTCCAACATTCAGTCAGCGTGCAGCAGGGATGCTTTTGTATCAAGCCAATCCCCAAGTCCCAACGTTCAGTCACGGCGTGGCAGAGGCACTCGCGCCTCTTCATAAGCTTCTCACCCGTCGTGCTGTGCCCGTATCGTCATCACAAGCTCTTGTCGCTCGCTCTCACGGAATAGATCCATCCGCTCGACACCACACCCTTCAACCCTTCATTCCGAAGCTGCGAATCGTCACACGACGGTGTGCGGAATCCTTTACGGCCGCAAATCTCTCTAGGGAGTTTACAGGCGGCAGGAGCTGCCGCTGTTGCGGCTCGAGCAATGGACCTCGATCCTTCCCCATCGGAAGATCAGACGAACAGAGCGGAGGAGAATCATCCACGTGGACAGCTCTCAAGCGTCCACGTGGAGTGCGGGCTGTGCGCCGTGCTCACTCCCCTCGCGCGCTGCCTCGACCTCCCCCACTGCGCCTGCCTGCTCTGCCTCCCCTGCGCGCGCGGCTCCTTCCGCCCGCAGCTGGAGCACCTGAAAGCGCAGCTGGTGCGCGGAGATCGTCCCCACCCCCTCTCCGCTAATTCTCCTGGAAATTCTCCTGGGGGTTCACCTGGTGTTTCTCATGGGGATGATTTCATGGCCTGTCCGTGCTGCATTCAGCCAGTCCCAGCACTCCACGTGCAGACCCTCCTGCCCGAAGAATTTTGGCAGTGGGAGGAAGCGGCGACTTCAATTGCCCTTGCTAGTTTCTCCAGGGCAGATGATTTCGTTATCTGCCCGGGATGCCACGTCCTTGTGGAAAAATTGCCCGCAAAGGCAGCAGATCCAGAGGCTGCAGAGGCAGCAGCTGCAGCCGCAGCAGCAGCAGCAGCAGCTGTAGCAGAGGCAGAGGCAGCAGAGGCAGCAGCAGCATCAGCAGCAGAATCAGCAGCAGACGCGGCAGCAGCATCGGCAGCAGAAGCAGCAGAAGCGGCAGCAGATGCTGCAGACGCTGCTGAAGCAGCAGCGGTGGCAGATACAGCAGAGGCAGCAGAGGCAGCGGCAGCAGCAAAGGCAGCAGCAGAAGCTGCACAAGCAGCAGCAGCGGTACAAGCAGCAGAGGCGGCCGAAGCAGCAGCAGCAGCGGAGGCAGCAAAAGCAACAGCAGCAGAAGCAGTGGAAAATGCAGCAAGAGCAGAAGCAGCAGCAAAATCAGCAGCTGCAGCAGCAGCCGCGGCGAAAGCAGAAGAAAGAGACGAGGAAGGCCGTGTGCTAAATCCGGAAATGGTACTTCATAAACTGAACAACAGATATCGGTGTGGGGAATGCGGCGTGGTCTTCTGTGGGTCATGCCGCGAGCACCCGTATCATCTTGGGATCTCCTGTGCAGCGCATGCTGTGCGGCTCGCTGCCCCCAAGTGCCGCTTCTGTGGTGAATGGGTGGAGTGGGGCGAGATTGATATGGATTGGGATGATAAGGCAGTAAAGGAGGAGGAGGAGGGTGATGGTGTTGGTGAAGGGAGGATGAAAAGTGACAAGGAAGCGGCTAAGCGGCTTGCAGAGCTGGTTTCATACTCTGGCAGCGCGGTTGAGAGCAGCAGCGGAAGTGGTGGCAGCAGCAATGGTGGCGGCAGCAGCGGCAGTGGTGATGATTCGAGCAACTGGAAATGGAGTGAGGGTGAGATGCGGGGCCTGCTAACAGCAGTAGGAGCAGACGTGAGCTGGTGCGCGAGCAAAGCCGACCTGGCAGCAGTGGCAGCAGCGGCAGTGTGTGTGTGCGGCGAGGAGCAGTGCAGGGAGCGGCTGCGGGACTCGTGCACTCGGGTTGGTCCGTGTGGGCACGCGTGTGGGGGGGTGAAAGGCGAAGTCCTTTGTCTGCCGTGCCTGCATGATGCCTGTGTGGAGGAGGACAATGCACCTGCTGCTGCTGGTTTTGATGCTGATGCCTCTCGTGCTGTTGCTACTGGTTCTGCTGCTCCTGCTGCTGCTTCTGCTGCTGCAGGTACCTCTGCAGCCGCTGCTCGCCCACTCCCACCCCTCCCAACTGTTAGTGTTAGTCTTCAATCTCACAATTTGTACTTTGTATTTTCTATATCCTAGAGTAGTGTAGTTTGCACATTGTGTTTGGTTGGGTGTACACCTACATCCCAACCAAACCCAAATGTAATCTCCAACCAATCTCCAACCCACCAATTGGAGATTGCCTTGGGATTACCCCCAATCCCTAGAGATTGCCCCCGATTCCCTTCCCCATCCTTTTCCTACCCCTCTTGGATGTACTTAAAGAGCTTCAAGCTCATTACTAATGCATCGCTTCTAAGCCTATTTGTGACACCAACCACCGACGACTTTTGTCCCATCTGCTGGGTGGAGCCAATCGCTGCCGGCCCAGCCATCCGGCTTTCATCATGTGGCCACGTGGTGCATGCAGCATGCGCAAGGGAGAAGATCCGACAATCATATCCCGGTCCCGAGATCTCCTTCGGATTCCTCTCCTGTCCCCTCTGTCCCAGTACCACCATGGATCATCCTGCACTACAGACAGAGCTTGCCACCCCACTGGTTCTGAAGCAGCAAGTGGAGGGATTGGCTGAGGAGAGGGTGAGAGCGGGGGAGGGGCTTGGGGATGGGGAGGACGAGCATGGGGATGGAGAGGAGGAGAATGGGAGTGGCGGTTTAGGGAACGGTGTGTTGGAACGGGCGTTGCGTCGATTGCTCTTCTTCCTCTGCTCGCGCTGCCACCGCCCGTACTTTGGTGGAGACCGCAGGTGCGGTGCCGGACCTGCTGCTGCCGAGCCTGAGAATGAGGGTGGGGAGGAGGAGAGGGAGGGAGAGGAAATGGAGGAAGGGGAGGAGGAAGAACGAGCAGAGGAAGCGGGTGGGCAGGGTCAGGGAGGTGATGAGCTGGTGTGTGGTGACTGCTTGGCGGTTGAAGCAGCAGCTAAGCAAAAGGCTGCTGCAGAAGCAGCAGCGGCTGCGGCGGCAGCAGCTGCAGCGGCGGAGGAGAGGGAGAGGAGGGAGCGGCTGTGGGAAGCAGGCAAGCCGTGCAGCAGCAACCACGGGCAGGAGAACATACAGTACAAGTGCCGCTTCTGCTGCTCTGTTGCCTCCTTCCACTGCTTTGGCTCCACCCACTTCTGCACTGCCTGCCACGATAACCGCGCGGATCACAAACCCTCTGCCGCTGCACCGCTTTGCACCGGCGGGGACCGGTGCCCATTGCGTGTGGCGTGGCACCCCCAAGCCCCAGAAGAGTTCTGCCTCGGGTGTGGCTTGTGCAGGCCTTAGCTTAGTGCAAGTGAGGTTTTTTGCCACCTGTTTGGATTAAATTGAGTTGCGCATGGAGAGGCACACTAAGGGCGTATTCCTACGGCCTCCTATCAAGAAACCTCCTATCAAGAATGCACATTTTGCCTGGTGAAAGTAGCGAGAGATTTTGGGTTTAGGCAATTTTCCTGTGTGGGCTTGATAAGAGGTTTTCTTGATAGGAGGATAGGAATACGCCCTAAGGAAAGGGGAAGGAAGGGGGGCACGCAAAGGGAAAGGAGGTGCCGTGAGGACGAAGTTGTTTCAACCATTTAAATGCATGGATGGGGAGCAGCTGTGTGCGTTATGAGGGCAGGAGGATTGTACTGCTTGCACACTTGTTTTTGTTGGTTTGTGGTTGCTTGATGGGAAGTGGTTGTGATTGGTGCTTGTGTTATGTTGTGTCACCTAACAACACTGTCCCATTCATAATAACATGCTGTAGGAGAAGGTACTGCACAGAACCGTACAGTACCCCTCTAAAGGATCTCAGGCCTAGTGAAACTCGAGAATCCTTGCGGGGAGGGGACCACAACAAGGTGACGTGGCAAAACGTGAATGTGCCAGCCGTGAATCGAACCCGGGTCTGCACCGTGCTGACGTGGCAGGGTGCTATTCTACCACTAGACCACTGGCACTCAATTGGCCAACAGCTCTCAGTTGTCTAGAATTTTGTAGACTTTTTTTGTTTTATTTTAGCGACGAATGCGCTGAGCTTGCGTTCCAGGCAACCATGCAGTCACCAGCAACTACCGCCAAAGGCGGCAAGGGCGGGAAAGGAGGGAAAGGTGGAAAGGGAGGTAAGGGCGGGAAACGCAGCGGCCGGCACGGCGCATCGGCGAGCAAGCAGCCGTCGATTCAGGCGAAGCGGGAGCAGCAGCAGCTGCAGCAGCAACAGACAGATCAGCAGTTGGCGCAAACTCCGCAGAAAGTTCTTTACGCGCACACCGCGCAGCCTCTAGACCCCGCGCGGATCACTTCCGCCGCATCTCCGCTTACCGCCTCCGCTACCCCCGCCGTCAAGAGCGAACATGGCCCCGCGCCTGCTATGGCTGGCGGAACGGTCGGCGGAGGCGCAGCAGCGTCGGGGGCAGCGTCCGGGGTGGAGCGGCCGGCTGCGGGAGGAGCGGCGGTGGCGGGGGAAGGGGGAGGTTTGGCGGGTCCGCTTGAGGTGGGCGCGCGGGTGAGCGCGCGGTGGCGCGACGGGAAGATGCACCCCGCGAAGATCATCGAACGGCGGAAGGCGGCGGGGGCCGGGGACGAATACGAGTACTACGTGCACTATACCGAGTGTGAGTGAGCTTTTCTTGTAACACTTTTTAGTGAGAGGGGAGGGGGGGGGGGGGGGGGGGGAAACGAATACGAGTACTACGTGCACTATACCGAGTGTGAGTGATGTGATATGCTCCTGTGGGCTGATCAAGTGTGCTAATAGCGGGTGTGACTCTTGGTTGGAAGCGCGAGCGCTCTGCACTTGCACTTGCACTTCAACCTTGCGTTTTCTTTCTCCCTTCTCCCGCGCATGATCCTTCCTCTTAACCCAGTTTTAAGAGGGCTTGAGTTTCCTTCCTCTACCTCCTAAGACCTCCCCCTCCCCCCCCCACCTCCCCTTCCCCCTCCCGCTCCACCTCCCCCCCCCTTCCGATCCCCTCCCCCCCTTCCGCTCTCCATCCCCCTCCCGCTCCGCGCTCCGTTTTCCGTTTCTCCCCCTACTGTGGATCAGTCAACCGGCGATTGGACGAGTGGATCCCAGTGAGCAGCATCGACCAATCGTCTGTCAACACGGCGTGTGAAGAGAAGGCGGAGGAGAAGGTGAGTGGGGAAGGTGCACAGGTTGATTGCTATGCCAGTTTCACGCAAAGACTGTTTCAGTCTACCCGCTTTACAGAGTGATTTTGGAATCATTTACTTTTTTCTTGTGCCCTCCCACCCACCCACCCAATACCCTTTCGTTGCAGCCCTTTTCTCCCATCCCCCTCACCTTCCCCTCTCCCCCCTTCCTCGCCTTCCCCCTCCTCTCCGTTCCCTCTCCGTCCCTCCTCTCCATCCTCCCCCCCCTCGCTCATCTGCCGGCCTGCCTCTCTCCCTGCCACGTCAGCATGGCAGCGGGGTGAAGATGACACGTCATCAGAAGAGGAAGATAGATGAGCTGCACATCGAAGAGGTCAGTACAGACCAATTGATTACTCAGTAGTCATTAAGTCATGCCCTAGATTGGCATGCCATGCCACAACACGTGAGTAGTCATGCCATGCCATGCCATGCCACAGCAATCCGAACCTGAATGGGCCATTTGAGGTGAACCAACCTGCAACACGGTTTCTCTGTGATGCTGCTGACCACCTGGCACCCGCGACCTTAGCCTCCGTCTGGGGAGGCGATTCACCTCTGATTTTTCACACTCACACACACACACGCACGCACACGCATGCGCATGCACACCCCGCACAGGGCCATGAGGATTTCGATGCGGCGAGTCTGAGGGAGCACGAGGAGTTCACCAAGGTGAAGAACGTTGCGACGATAGAGCTGGGGCGGTACGAGATGGACACGTGGTACTTCTCGCCCTTCCCCCCCGAGTACGCGCACTGCTCCAAGCTCTACTTCTGCGAGTTCTGCCTCGCCTTCCTCAAACGCCCCTCGCAGCTCGAGAGACACATGGTGAGTGGGTGATCTGCTCTCTGCTGGGCGTTTTTTTTTTTTTTTTTTTTGGTGCTTCGCCCATCTGTGTGTGTGTGTGTGTTTTTTTTTTTTTTTTTTTTTTTTTTTCTGTGCTCTTCTCTTGACGTCGACCTCTGCACCATCCCTTCATGTGTGTCTCTCTCTGCAGCGCAAGTGTGACCTCAAGCACCCACCGGGGGATGAGATCTACCGCAACGGCTCCCTCTCCATGTTCGAGGTATCATTTGGTGCAGGTACTACCTGGTGCAGGGTAGACAATGCTGGTGCCTTGGCATGCACAATAAGGCTGATTGCCAAGTCAGCACTAGATTGCAGTAACACCAGCTAAAGAATGGCACTCTAGCACCTCAACAGCATCTCGAGCCCCGTTCATTGCTTGAGACATTTCAAGAGCGGTCTCCACCTTTGCTTCGCTCCATCATATCATCCCCTGCCTCTCATCTCAGGTGGACGGCAAGCGCAGCAAGGTGTACTGTCAGAACCTCTGCTACCTGGCGAAGCTGTTTCCCTCTGTCTGTCTGTCTGTCTGTCTGTCTGTCTGTCTGTCTGTCTGTCTGTCTGTCTGTCTGTCTGTCTGTCTGTCTGTCTGTCTGTCTGTCTGTCTGTCTGTCTGTCTGTCTGTCTGTCTGTCTGTCTGTCTGTCTGTCTGTCTGTCTGTCTGTCTCTCTGCCCGCCTGCCAATATTGCTCGTGGTCCCACCTCTTCCCCACCTCATCTCATTTCACCACGCAGGTGGACGGCAAGCGCAACAAGGTGTACTGTCAGAACCTCTGCTACCTGGCGAAGCTGTTTCTGGACCACAAGACCCTCTACTACGATGTCGACCTCTTCCTCTTCTACATCCTCTGCGAGTGCGACGAGCGGGGCTGCCATATCGTTGGTTACTTTTCAAAGGTTCGTTGCACTGCATGCATGCATGCTCCAATGTACTTACTTGACTGATTGCGCTCTGGCCCTCAAGTCAAGCCAAGACCCTCTACTACGATGTGGACCTCTTCCTCTTCTACATCCTCTGCGAGTGTGACGAGAGGGGATGCCACATTGTCGGATACTTCTCCAAGGTACTCGCTCTTGGTTTGCATTCTGTAGTGGTGCCCTTGTTACTGCTCGCCCACAAGCCAACCTAAGACCCTCTACTACGATGTGGACCTCTTCTTCTTCTACATCCTCTGCGAGTGTGACGAGAAGAGCTGCCACATCGGCGGCTACTTCTCCAAGGTACTCACATTTGCGCAAGAGAGGTCTTAGATTCCCCTGTCCCTCATTCCCCTTGCTTGCAATGCAGGTGTTAGGCGTTGTACTCTGCACTCAAACCTCATCCCCTTGTTCTCTTTCCCTGTCTGCCTCGTTTTCAATCCCCTATCAGGAGAAGCAGTCAGAGGAGGGGTACAACCTGGCCTGCATCCTCACGCTGCCACCCTACCAGCGCAAGGGATACGGCAAATTCCTCATCGCCTTCTGTAAGCCAGCCCAACCACCCGTGTCCGTCCAATTTTGTCTTTGTGGAGATCTTAGTGGAGGGTTTCAAGGCCCTTCCAAAATTTTGAGTCACAAAAATTCACTTTATACACGTGGCTTCTCTCTCGCTGGTTCGTGCCTGTCCAATTTTGTCCGGAGATCTTTGTGGAGACTTTCAAGGCACCTACAAAAGGCACCTTGTGGCCCACCGTTTTTGAGAACTGGGTGGAGTCGTTTTGACACGTCTCAAAACACTTCTTCATACACGTGGTTTTCAAGAACTGGATGGAGTCATGCATTGCATTCCCCTCGTCCATGGCCCTTCAGATCCCAGTATATGAACTTTCAAATGAGGGTTACTGCCTCTACTTCCCTCCTCCCCCCCACATCCGCTCCCTCTACAACCCTTCCTTTGCCCCGCCACTCTCTCCCCTCTTTCCGTCAGCCTATGAACTCTCAAAGAAAGAGGGCAAAGTAGGCACGCCGGAACGCCCTCTCTCCGACCTGGGACTGCTGAGCTACCGCGGGTACTGGCTGCGTGTGCTGCTGCGCATCCTCAAGCACCACCGCGGCAACCTCCCTATTCAGGGCCTGATCAATCCATTCTGCCTTCGTCCCTCCACTCCGCTCCTCCCGCTTACGCACCCATGCCTTCTTCCCTCCCCCTCCCACCCCTTCCTCCCTCCCTCCCACAAGCCTACGAGCTGTCGAAAAAGGAGGGCAAAGTCGGAACACCCGAGCGCCCATTGTCTGACCTCGGATTGCTGAGCTACAGGGGTTACTGGCTGCGCGTGCTGCTGCGCATCCTGAAGCACCACCGCGGCAACCTCTCGATTAAAGAGCTGAGCGACATGACGGGAATCAAGACAGAGGACGTCATCTCCTCGCTGCAGTCGCTGCACCTCATCCAGTACCGCAGAGGACAACATGTGATATGCGCCGACCCCAAGGTGTTAGACCGGCACCTGAAAGCGGTGGGGAAACCAGGCTTGGAAGTCGATGTTTCCAAGCTCATTTGGACGCCATACAGGGAGCAGGGTGGTTGAGTGCGGGTGTGTGTGGGGGTTGGGGGAGGGGGAGGAAGGTTGAGGGGGAGCAGTAGTAGGAGTGGCAACTTCAGACGGAGGACGTGATCTCCTCACTGCAGTCGCTGCACCTCATCCAGTACCGCAGGGGGCAGCACGTGATCTATGCTGACCCAAAAGTATTGGACCGGCATTTGAAGGCGGTTGGGAAGCCAGGCTTGGAGGTGGATGTTTCGAAGCTCATCTGGACGCCTTACAGGGAGCAGGGGGGGTGAGGGGTACGCGTGTGTGGGTGGTTTGTGGGAGAGGGGCGAGGGTGGGTGACATGACGGGCATCAAGACGGAGGACGTTATCTCCTCGCTGCAGTCGCTGCACTGTGTGCGTGTCTGTGTGTGGGGGGTGTGTATGGGTGCATGTTTGGTGTGTGCATGGTACAGATGTGTTTGATCTGTTTGATTGATGTATGAAGGGAATGGAGGGTGAGGGGCAAAAGGGGGGAGTACTATAGAAGGGAGTGTTAAAAGTTTGACATGTGTCTTGCGCGGATGTTGTGTACTATAAGTGAAGCACCTACACGGTTTATGGATTCAAGAATCTGAGTAAATTACTAGTACATCGCTGGTCTATTTGGATGCTGTCTTGTCATAAAAAGCCTGTACTCAGAGGTTGTTATGATAATCAGCACTTGTTACCGCTGGGCGAGGCGGATCACCTAAGGCCCAAAATGTCACTAAGCAGACATGGGCTGTTAGCGCTATTCTCTTGGCAAAAAACGGAGAGGGGTCAGCTCAGCAGAATACTGACTCAGATGACCCTGCAGCAGCATGGGCTGTTTGCTTGCCCACCACACCGTCAACATCCCGGCCGGGTGGCACAAAGAGGAAATCGCCCCAGGGGGAGTCCTCGTCGTTCTTCTGCTTAGAGGGGGAGAATGGAGGAGAGGCGAAAGAGGGTCAGTGGAAAAGACAACAGAAGTGTGATACTACATAAGGATTCGAATGCTTGAATGTGAGAGAGACGGACAGGTTGACAATAGGAGGGTGATACTGAGACGGAGTCTTATATGTGTATGTGTGAGTGAGTGACAGATAGACAGTCCAGGTGATGTATAAGGGTGCATACATACCTCCATCTTCTTCAACACGTCTTCAAAGCTCCCCACCTGATGGCGCATGGCATGGCATGGCATGGCATGGAATGACATGGAAAGACATGGAATGGCAAGGCATGGCATGGGATGTGGGAGGGCATAGCAAGGGGAATGGGATGGGGCATGGGGAGGAGCATGTGGCATGGGATGGGATCGGGAACGAGAGGGGAATGGGGCATGGGGAAGAGAACGGCATGCGCCCAGAGGTAAGGGAAACCATGCAACACATAGTGGCCTTGCGACACACACACATGATTGCACCAACACCAAGCCACCATCCATCGATGCTCGCCTGCACACTGACGCTCACAGGCCCTTTCCCTGCACTCCCCTGCTTCCCCTACAGTGCTCTCCTACAGAGCATCTATAGCATCAACAGAGCTCTAGGGAGCATTTGGAATGAAACCACCACCGACCGACGCACCTGCACGTTGATGTTGACAGGCCCCTTCCCTGTGCTCTTCTGCGGCTTGCCCCCATCCCCCACTCATGACCACCACTGTTCTCCCAATATCACCACAACTCATCACCAATCGACGCACCTGCACGTTGATGTTTACAGGGCCCTTCCCTGTGCTCTTCTGCTTGCCCCCTGTTGCCTTCCTTATTGCCGCCTCTAGATCCTCCTGCACGCACATGCATTAGAATATTAAGGACATGGGAATGACGACCGATGATTACTCCACAACCAGCTTGGTCCCGAGGCACCAAAACACAAAGTGAGTGATCCACAACCAGTGCAAGCAAATCCGGGTGTGCAATGGAGAGGAGCAGCAGAGGCATAAGGTTTGCTGGTGAGAGTCACGGGGGGAAGAGTGCGTGGAAGAAATGGAACAGCGTTAAACACGTGGAAGGAAGAGGGTGCGACGGTGCGTGAGTGAGTGATTGTCGTCATACCTTGGTGAAGAAGATCGGGCAGAAGCGGCGGTTCTTGGACCGAAGGATTAGACTCTCTGACTGGTGTGTGTATCGCAGGGGCAGGGCAAGGGAAATGAGAGGGAGACAATTCTTTGCGGCGACTTTTGAGGCGCCTCAAAAGTATGGCGGGGGCAGGGCAAGGGAAATGAAAGGGGGACAATCCTTTGCGGCGCCTAGAAAATGGTGTTAGTATATGTACTAGACTGGTGCGTGGGAGTGAGGCGCCAAGTGATCGTCTCATCATGACATGCGGTCCACCCCTCCTCCAAGGCAGGTTCACACCTCCTGTACCTGGAAGACTGGCACCCCTCCCAAACCTGGAAAACAGGTACCCCTCCCGTACCTGGAAGACTGGCACCCCTCCCAAACCTGGAAAACAGGTACCCCTCCCGTACCTGGAAAACTGGGACCCCATCAAAGGCCTTGCTGTTGTCGCCTGCTTGCGACCTCAGCTGGTGGCGGGCATGGGGTTGGAGGTTGGCGCAGCAATGGGTTGGAAGCAGATTGGGACAAGAAAAGGCCGACCAACCATGACTTTTTTTTTTTTTTTTTTTTTTTTTTTTTTTTTAAGTCGACACTAAGTTAACTGGCCGTGGGCATGGGGATGGGGCAATGCTACGGGTTGCCTGTAAGCACGAAAAAGACTTGACGGAATAAAAAAAGGTGGCAAGTGTGCGGCCGGTGGCAGAAATTGGCTCAGACAGTGCACAGAAAGGAAGGGGGAGCAGGGGGGGTGAGAAGGTGGTGGTAGGAGGTGGGAGGGGTTGCAGGGCGGTTGTTCACCAGCACAGCGTGCTTGACTTGAAGGGGGTCGGGCAGGAAGCGGAAGGCAATCCCCTCAGCTGACAAAGCATACACCTGTAATTTGGTGGATGTTGAGGAAATTAGAATGATTGCGATACGATGAGGCACCTCACTGGCAAGGAGCAGGAGAGGAGGTAGCAGAGGGCTGAAGGGTGGATGCAGTGAGCTGTGTAGTTCGTGCAAATCATTTATGCTAAGGCATTTTTGAGATTACTAAAAAAAAAAACCCTGAAATACCCTCATATTGTAAGTACCCTTTTTGTCGCATGATCGCAAAAGCACCACCATCCGCTCACCTTATCCATAGCCACCGGCACGACTCGTGCTCCCTTTCCCAGTGACGCATCACGATCCTTCACCTGCCCACACAGTGGCCATGGCCATGGGCAAGAAGGTTCGATTGTTTGAGAGTTGTGAGCTTCGGTCAATGCTGTGTAAATAGGTGCTTTCTTCATCTCCCCTCTCCAAACCCCCCCCTCCCATTTAACCTCTCCCCTTCCCCCCATTGGCCCCTGCATCTCTCTCGCCAGGCTATGCAGAAGGCATTTCATAAAGGCCATCCCACCCGCGCCATCCCACCTGCGCCGACCCATCTGCGCCGACCCACCTGCGCCGACCCACCTGCGCCGACCCACCTGCGCCAGGAGCGTTTCCGCGTCCTCCTTGCGGAAGCAGAACAGTCCGATGGACTTGCTGCCCTCAGCGTCCGCGATAAGAACGAACTCGTTAGCCGCGTTGCTCACAGTGTACACCGCCAGGCCCTCTAGCCGCTTCGCCACCTGCGGCGCGGACATGGCGACGTCGAACAGATGCCTCGCCCCCCCCTCGTACGCGTTAGTGCCTGATGCGTTAGCAGACGCGGCGTTGAATCCGCGTAGCGACGAAGCAATCGACGCGAAACACGGAGCTCGGAAACCCTGCTGCTGGCTCCTAAACTCGTCCGCGTTCAACGGAAGAGATTTAACTCTTTCTATCCCCGCCATAGCATGACGAATCGCCCCCTGCTTGTGCTTCTCGATCTCCCCAGCGCAGAAATCCCGGAACCTATCAGCTTCAAGCTGTCTGTCGCGGACCCATGCTGCCAGAGGCGCCGCGAGAGAAAAGGCATTTTGGAAGTTGCTTCGCACGGCGCTCTGGACATTCTGCGCGAAAGCGGGGAGTCGCAGTTGCTGTGTTACCCCGTCCGTCGGGCGATTCTCCATTCGCCCTGACTTGCGATAAGTGTTATTGACGAGAGATGAATGATGGTATGATAGGCAGGAACGCCCGTGGATAAGCGCGAAGCACGGCGGGTAATCAGTTTCTGACCAGCTGGATGAGAGGGGTCAGGGAGGGGATTTGACCAGGGGAAGCGATGCTGAGCTCTTCGATATTTGTCATTACATTGCAAATCTATTCACTTCTGAAAGACACTGATATAGGGTCGGCCTACAACACTCCGAAAAATACAATTCACATACCAGCTTCCCGCCACTTACCCACGGAAGCAATGTTGCCAGCTGCATCCAGTTGGGGTGTGATGTGAACTGACGTTGATCAATGAAGCAAATCTTTCTTCTGGTTTGACGCGGTCTTTTAGATTTATGTCGTGGTATTGTGCGGTAAGATCATCTCCATTATTTGGGGCACCATTGAGTGTAACCAGACGGTCGCACAGACTTGCGAGCCTTTTCGCGCGCTTGAGCCCACGCGTCCTCCCCCATCATCCACACAGCAGCTTGGTCGCCCATCGGGATTGCTTTTCGCCAACGTTCCCGCGCGCTCGACCACCGACCAACCGAACGGGTTCCCCCCGCCTCGCCTGTCGCTTCTCCCCTTTCCCCCCACACCAAGTTTGCTCTTGATCCCCCCCACACCTCCACGTATTCCCCCTTTTCCCCGCTGTCTTCCGCTCCTCCTTTCCTGCCCCACACAGCTCACCACTTTCCGCCAATCCCCCACCTCCGGCCCTTCCCGCTTTGTCGTGCATATTCTGCCCATGCCCCTTCCATCGACTTTACAGCTGGTTTCATCCAATCAAATTGCTCGTTCCCTCCACACTCGCTTCGTGTCGCTGTCAGTCTGCCCTCTCTACTGCTCTCTGTGACCCGTTGCAGAAGAGTTTAGCTAGTCCATAACCCGTCTCGTTCCGCTAGGTCTTTAGCTTCTTGTTCTTACTTACTCATTCGCGACCAGTCCGGAGTTCGCGGCTATGTCGGGATTCACCACCAAGGGCCGGCCGATAGTCCCAGCTTTCGGCCTATGGCGAACCGGCGGGAGCGAGGGTCCGACAGACGCGTCGTCAATCTCGCAGGTGTTTCGCGAGGCGGGTAAAAAAGCCAAGCAGGCGAAGCAGCAGCAGCAGCTGGCTTTAGAAGCTTACGAGGATAGCGAGAAGACCGTTATAAACGGAACATTTTCCTCTTCTTCTTCCTCCTCCTCATCGGCCTCTGCGGCTACGCAACCTTCCTTCGATTCCCATTCCTCTTCCACCTCCTACCCCGCAGTATCATCCCACCCATCCACTGCACCATACCCTGCCATAGACCCATACCCTTCCGCAGCAGCCAATTCGTTCGTTCTTTCAGTACCGCTTCAAGCAGGATCCAAGAACGGCACCCATTCTCCAACCTCTCAAGTCCACCCCACCGCATCCGAATCAAGTCCCAACCTTTCGCCTCGACACGCTCTCGCGTCGTCACCCCCGCGCATCGATACCTCTAAGAGTTCCACCTCGGAGTCGCACCCTGCCGCGGCTCGCTCTCCGCATTCGTCGCCGCACCCTCCGGCGTTTTCGATTAAAGCGACCGTCGCGTCGCTCGTGGGTAGCGTCAACCTGCTCAGCCTGAGCGACAGTTACGCTGCCGGCGACGCGTCGACGATATCCGCCGTGTTTCGCGACAAGAAGAAAAAGATCTTGCAGGAGAAGCAGCAGCAGAAAGGGCTTCTGCTCCTCTCTCCGACGCGCGAAGACTCACCCTCTCAGGCGCCCTCAGGTGTTACTTCAGGTGCTCCTTCAGGTGTCATTTACAGTAAAACCGAGCCTTCACCTGAGCGGGCTGTACCGGGTGCGCAATCGCTGACCCTTCTCAGCCTGAGCGACAGCTACGCTGCCGGCGACGCGTCGACGATATCCGCCGTGTTTCGCGAGAAGAAGAAGAAGATTCTGCAGGAAAAGCAGCAGAATGGTTTCCCTCTCTCCCCTACACGAGACGACGAGCCGACTGCTGTTGATGCTGCTGGTGGTGCTGGTGCTACTGCTGCTGCTGCTGCTGCTGCTGCTGCTGCTGCTGCTGCTGCTCAATCGCCTCATTTTGAAACGGCTCAACGGTCCCCTCCTCGAAGCGCATGGTCGGGAATCTCCAACGCCGTGCACCCGGAAACTCTGGCGGAAGTTCCCACGTGGCATACTCATCAGCTTCAAGGTGGTCCGTCTGACGTGGACGCGGACGCGTCGACGATCTCCTTAGTTTTCCGGGATATGCGGCACAAGGCGCGGCAAGAGCGAGAAGCAAAGGAGGCTGGAGGTGACTTGAGATTTCACGAGAGCACAGACGCGCAAGTGCTAGGAGCAGTAGAATCAAGAGCAACAGGCGTAGCAGCAGCAGCGGAAGCAGCAGGTCTAGCGGCAGAGGGCGAAGCCTATCCCGCCTCGCCAATACACGCTCTCGCGAGCCCCAGCCGTCCCGACCGTTTATCCCCCTCCCACGAATCCAACCAACCGGCCGTCGATCTCTGGCCGTCTAGCTCGCCGCCCACAGCAGCCGGGCCGGCGGGGGAGAACGTGTCGCTAGTCTTCTGGTCGCGGCAGCAGGAAGGGCAGTCCGGGGAAGACGTCAAGACTGCGAAATTTGGAGAGAGAATCCGGAGAGGTACAGGCGACGGTGCGGGGAAGGCTGCAGGGAATGCGGTGGGAGGAGCAGGAATAGAGAGGGGAGTAGGGGGTGGATTAAAAGGCGAGTTTGAGGCGTCGTTTGGAGCGTCGCACCCGCCTCAATCCACGGCGCATGGTACGGCGCAGGAAGGAGCCCAGGCGACGGGGGTAGGCGCGGCGGAAGCGGAGGGGGCGGAGGCGGCGGAGGGGGCGGGTGGGGCGGAGGGGGCGGAGGGGGCACAGGCGGAGGTGATCGACGAGGACGTGTTGCACGCGTGTGTGGATCCCGCGTACGCGGACCCGCGGCGGCAGTTCATGTCCAACCCCACGTGCTCGCTGGACGAGGCGTTTGATGCCATCCTGCAGAACATGGATAGCGGTCCATTGGGGGCTGACGCGCGAGCTACAGCTCAGGTGAGATGGAGACCACCAGAGCTGTTGTTGACTTGGTTGGAACGTTAGACAAGCAAACCCCACGTGCTCGCGGGATGAGGCCTTTGACGCCATCCTGCAGAACATGGACAGCGGCCCGCTGGGGGCTGACGCGCGAGCCACGGCTCAGGTGAGATGGAGATTGTGTGATGGGTCGAGGCTGGGTGCCGGAGCCGGTTGTTCAGACAGTATCGAATGATCCAACCCCCGTTCGACGCCATCGTCCTACAGAAAATGGAGGACAACGGTCCGCTGGGGGCTGAGACAAAATCTGCCGCCCAGGTGAGATACGGACTAGCAGAGCTGATGACTTGGAAATCTGGACAAGAAAACTCCATGTGCTCACTGGACGAGGCCTTCGACGCCATCCTGCAGAACATGCCTTGGCGGTCCATTGGGGGCTGAAATGGGAGCGGCTGCCCAGGTGAGATAAAAGGATTAATAGCGGTGATGTCTTGAAACAATAGAGAAGCGAATTTCACCTGTTTTCCCCGTGCAGTCACCTGATGCTCTTGACATTCCCTTTTGCCAACCACGCTGCTTCCATCAGGCTAGCCTGCAGTCACCGTTCGAGCAGCTATTGGAGGGGAGCGAGTCTCCCAGCCCAGAGCACCACCACCAACCCCAGCAGCAGCAGCAGCAGCAGCAGCAGCAGCAGCCGCGGCCACTGTCACCGTTGCAGCACGCTCGGCCTAAGTCAGAACAGGGCAGCAGAGCTCGGCGAAGCATGGATGGGGATGAGGCAAGGACGAGCGCGTGGCAGCTTCAGCTGCACCTCCCCCCCATCCCCCACCGCCACCACCAGCAGCAGCAGCAGCAGGAGCAGGAGCAGCAGGAGGGGGGTCAGGCGGGGCTGCGGGGGCTAAGAGCGCGCAGCAGGGCGTTTGTGAGCAAGGTGATGACGAAACTGAACGGGCGCGCAGGCATGGGCACAGGCATAGGCATGGGCATGGGCAGCAGCAGTCCAGTGTCTGTGAGCATTATGAACAACAAGCTGGGGCCGGTCAGGAGTGCGGAGGTGGGGATGGTGGGGTCGCCTCGCAACGCCCAGGCAATGCTTCCCTCGTCCAGGAGCGTGCAGAGTGAATCGGAGTGCTGGCAGCCGCAGCAGTAGCAGTAGCACAGGCAGCAGCAGCAGGGACAGTATCATGGACAGCGACAGCGACGGCAGCATTGGCAGCAGTAAAGGGGGGGGCAGCAGGAGTGCGGAGGGGTGGGGATGGTGGCCTCGCCTCGCAACACTGCAGCAGCGCTCCCTTAGTCCAGAAGCGTGCAGAGCGAGGCGGAACCCTGGAAGCCGCAGTTGTGGCATAGGCAGCAGCAGCGACAGCAGCATTCGCAGTAGCAGTGACAGCAGCATTCGCAGCAGCAGTGACAGCAGCATTCGCAGTAGCAGTGACAGCAGCATTGGCAGCAGCAGTGACAGCAGCATTGGCAGCAGCAGGGGGGGCAGCAGGGGGGGCAGCAGGGGGGGCAGCAGGGGGGGCAGCAGGGGGGGCAGCAGGGGGGGCAGCAGGGGGGGCAGCAGCAGTGACAGCAGCATTGGCAGCAGCAGGGGGGGCAGCAGGGGGGGCAGCAGGGGGGGCAGCAGGGGGGGCAGCAGCAGTGACAGCAGCATTGGCAGCAGCAGGGGGGGCAGCAGGGGGGGCAGCAGGGGGGGCAGCAGCAGTGACAGCAGCATTGGCAGCAGCAGGGGGGCAGCAGGGGGGGCAGCAGGGGGGCAGCAGGGGGGGCAGCAGGGGGGGCAGCAGGGGGGGCAGCAGGGGGGGCAGCAGGGGGGGCAGCAGGGGGGGCAGCAGGGGGGGCAGCAGGGGGGGCAGCAGCAGTGACAGCAGCATTGGCAGCAGCAGGGGGGGCAGCAGGGGGGGCAGCAGGGGGGGCAGCAGGGGGGGCAGCAGGGGGGGCAGCAGGGGGGGCAGCAGGGGGGCAGCAGGGGGGGGGGGGGCAGCAGGGGGGCAGCAGGGGGGGCAGCAGGGGGGGCAGCAGGGGGGGCAGCAGGGGGGCAGCAGGGGGGGCAGCAGGGGGGGCAGCAGGGGGGGGGCAGCAGGGGGGGCAGCAGGGGGGGCAGCAGGGGGGGCAGCAGGGGGGGCAGCAGGGGGGGCAGCAGGGGGGGCAGCAGGGGGGGCAGCAGGGGGGGCAGCAGGGGGGGCAGCAGGGGGGGCAGCAGGGGGGGCAGCAGGGGGGGGCAGGGGGGGCAGCAGGGGGGGCAGCAGGGGGGGCAGCAGGGGGGGCAGCAGGGGGGGCAGCAGGGGGGGCAGCAGCAGTGACAGCAGCATTGGCAGCAGCAGGGGGGGCAGCAGGGGGGGCAGCAGGGGGGGCAGCAGGGGGGGCAGCAGGAGTGACAGGAGCATCAGCAGCAGTCGCCACTGGTGTCGGTGTAGCTGCCAGGTGTTAAAGGCGCAACAGCATCAACCTCGTCGTTACCATCATCTTAATCGTCGTCGCTATCCTCATCAACACAGCATCCGCAGGAGCGGAAGCAGCAGCAGCGGCAGCAGCAGCAACAGCAGCAGCAGTAGCAGCAGCAGCAGCAGCAGCAGCAGCAGCAGCAGCAGCAGCAGCAGCAGCAGCAGCAGCAGCAGTTGTCACTTTTCAGACTGTCGAAGCCGTTCATCAGTCGTCAGCAGCTTCAACCCTTGCTAGATTAGAGCTAGTTGCAGAGCTCTTCAATACTAGGATGCTATTTATGATGGTGCCATGGCACACCCATACAGTTGCCGTTGGTGCATGAAGCGTTAGGCCCGGCAAAACACATCGGTCATTTTATACGCCCTTGCTGTACGCTTCGTGGACGTGCATATACCCTAGTAGTGAATCAGTAAAATTTTGGCACTAGAGTGTGATGCAACACCTGTCTCACTAGCAGGAGAACGTGAAAGACATAACTATCATAACAGGGACTGACGCAGCAACAACTCCCATGGTCTAAAATGTTGATTGAACCCCCCCCCCCCCCCTCCTCCCCCCTTGATCAAATTATGCACTCAAATGCTGCTCTCATCATGTTTCACAATCAGCGCCCCCCTTAGTCTTCCAGTACCACAACTGCTCCTTCCACCACCACTACAGCCCCCCTGCATCTTCCTCCGCCCCACCTGCCTCTTCTGCTTCCCTGCCTGCCCCATCCTCTTCTACCACCCCTGCAGGAGCTGCGCTATTAGGTGCTGCCCGGTTGAAATCCTCCAGCATCCCCCTCAGCCTGCTCGCCTCCTTCCCAAGCCCCTCAAAGAGCCCCTCCTTCCCCGCCCTCCAACCCCACTGGCCCGCCTGGTCAAATGGAGGGCAGGCAGATGCGCAGGGGGTTGAGGAGGAGGGAGGAGGATGTGAGAACAAAGATCGGCATACGAGGTTGCTGCTTGCCCGCACTCGACAACCGTGCACCTCAGCGGCCGCGACCTCCTTTCTCCCCAGTGACGTTGGAACACCCTCGAGGCGCCTTAGTAACTCGATCACTTGCAGTCTTGATGCTGTTGTCTGTCTGTCTGTCTGTCTGTCTGTCTGTCTGTCTGTCTGTCTGTCTGTCTGTCTGTCTGTCTGTCTGTCTGTCTGTCTGTCTGTCTGTCTGTCACTTGATGGCACGAAGGTTCCGAATGGTCCTAAACAGTATCGCAGAGTGTGTCTGTCAGTTGGCGCTAGAGGGGGGAGGCGGGGCGAAAAGAGCGTTTTGGCGGCGCTCTAAGAAGCGCCAGAAGGGGGTCCAGTTGCCCGGCAGCGGTGCTGCGCGGTTGAATGCGACGAGCAGCATTCTCAGTCTCGCTGCCTCGCCGTCCAGCGAGTCGAATAGGTCCGACTCGCCCGCCCTCCACCCCCACTGGCCCGCCTGAGGAAAAGACAGAAGGGCGATTCAACACGCTTGTTGAGACTTGGAGCGGTGCTGCGCGGTTGAACGCCAGCAGCAGAAGGTGGGGTTTACGGTCGACAACACCTGAACCCAACCCTAATACATTACACCATCAACTTCCAAGTCCTACCTGGACGGCGGGCACATTCATGCGCGCACTGTTGTCGAGCCCCATCACGTCCTGCAGTGCAATGACGGTGGTGCGCGCTACAGACGACACCCCCCCCCCCCCCCCCCCCCCCCCCCCCCCCCCCCCCCCCCCCACCCACCCATTCCCTACCTGCACGGCAGGTACGTTCATGCGCGCGCTGTTGTTGAGCCCCATCACGTCCTGCAGTGCAATCACGGTGGTGCGTGTACTAGAAACAACACCTGAACCCCAGCCTTAATCCATAATTTCCAATTCCCACGCCTTACCTGCACGGCTGGCACGTTCATGCGAGCGGAATTGTCGAGCCCCATCACGTCCTGCAGTGCAATCACGGTGGTGCGCGCTACAGACGACACCGCCGCCCGGATGATCGCCCACTGGATCTCCTCCTCGTCCTGGGGCGACAGACCCAGAAGCACGCGCACCTGCAGTGGGGTGATGGTGGGAGCGGCGGAGTAAAGATGGGGTCTTTTTAAGGAGATGGAATGGCCCCTCATTGAATTAACCCCTCGTCCAGGGTGTTGCGAGCGTTTTTTTTTTTTTTTTTTTTTTTAGGGCAGGACGACACGACAACAGCACGACAGCATGACAACATGCCAGCATGGCAGCATGACAGCATGGCAGCATGACAGCATGGCAGCATGACAGCATGACAGCATGGCAGCATGGCAGCATGGCAGCATGGCAGCATGGCAGCATGGCAGCATGGCAGCATGGCAGCATGGCAGCATGGCAGCATGGCAGCATGGCAGCATGGCAGCATGGCAGCATGACAGCACGACAGCATGACAGCATGACAGGACTTACATTATTCTTCTCCCACTCGGGAATTCGCTCCCACCAACCAACGACCTGCACATGCACACAGGCAAGCACAGAGAGAGACACGCACACCAGGGGCAGAACGATCACACATGCAAGAACAAGAAGAGTTGACAGAAAGCTTTGAAACGTCTCCAAAAAGAAACACAGAACATGCACGCGCAGCCCCAGTTACCAGCAGCATGATTCACCCACACACAAACAGCAAGCATATGCACCGGCATCCCCCGCCCATACTCACAGTGTCGTTGTCGTGAGTGCCAGGGTACACCACTTGGTTCTGCTCGTGGTTGTGCGGCAGGTGAGGGTTCTTGGCATCACTGCCAAACGCTGTAGGGGTAGAAAAAAGATCGGGTGGGGTGGAATGGGGTGGAGGTGTTGTAAATGTATCTCATATATACAACATACATAGGCTAGAATAGGTGTAGCTCTTTAAGCCATTGGGGGGTTGGGTGTACACTCCAACCACACTTTGTGGTTGGGTCAAGATTTGGTTTGGTCTTGGTCCTTGGTTGGCACTTGCCAACATTTGGTCCTAAGGCCAACCAATCACAAGCTAGCAACATTGTGGGGTTCCCTACTCCACAAGGCAACTCACCCATTGGCCAACTTAGTGGCCAATAGGGTTGCACCTTCTTCCAACCTCTCTTCCTTGCATGCTTGTACTATAGAGCCTCCTTGGCTCATTACTCAACCATTCTTGAATTCTATCAGGAGGCAAGAAAACGTAACCATCAAGGTGCTTCTGAAAGCAAATGAGGGTCATGGCATGGTATTGGTGCCGAAGCACGCTGCAAGGAGAAGGGTGGGATGGGGGGGCTAGTAGGGTTGTAGACTGTACTCCAGAGAGTTTACTGAGTGACAATCCTCAAGAGAGTAGCTTAAGTGGGTGCAGTTGCAACCTTTGTGTCTGGAAGGGCATGGTCAAGACGACCCTGAGCTTCGGGTTTCCTTCTCCCTGCCCGTGAACTGTGACTGGTGCAGATCATGTTATGGTGACTGACAGGTAATCTGGTAACCCTACTGGTAAGTTACAATGTAGCACCGTCCCTGACACAACCCTGATAATGGGACACATATACCAAACTGTAGCACTGCCCCATGCCAAGGGTGCCTACCTCGGGATTCTTTTGGGCAGCTCAAAATCGTTTGAGGGGCATCAGAAACTGTCAAAGACTCACCAAACTGCAGCACCGCCATGCCGGGAGCGCCAATTTCCTGGCGCAAATCAACCACGTCCACTGTAATCACACCCTGTTTCAAGCACATGTTGAAACGGGGGGAGTATTGGAAACAAACCTTGATACAACCACAACCTAGCAACGCACAACACAAACAGAGTGTAAAACCACTCTTCCCAGAGAAAACTCTCATGTTCCATCAATCTCGTTCTCATACAACCTCCCGATCTCTTTCCCCCTCCCAAATCTCCGCATCTCCATCCCCCTTATCAGCTCTCCCCTGCCTCTCCCCCCCCTCCCAGCTCGCGCTCACCAGGTCCTCAGCCACGATGTCAATGGGCTTGTCCACGGCCTTCCGAATCGCCTCAAAGAACGCCTTTCAAGGGCCTGTAGTACCCTCTACTAACCACTAATACTACCCCCTCAACTCCTTCCCTCATCGCTCTCAACATCCCTCTCCCCTCCTCCCAGCGCTCACCAGGTCCTCAGCCACGATGTCAATGGGCTTGTCCACGGCCTTCTGAATCGCCTCAAAGAACTCCTTGCGCGGCCCCATCTGGCAGGCGTGGCAGAGCATGGGAAGAACATGGCAATGCAATGCATGGGTGGGAAGATGCTGCTCCACGACACATGATTCCCCCGAGGTGACTTTTGAGTCGACACAAAAGTCACCTTGCTGCAGGATGCAGTGCAAGATGACGGACGATGATTCCCCCGCAAACATTGTTTCACAAGGCGAGGCGGAAAGCATTGCATGCTTCCCCAATCCTTGTGAGTGATTTTTGAGAATTCTCAAAACTTGCCGAAGTGTCTCACCATCCAGCGGCCATTCATGGCTGTCTCTGAATCAGCGGGGATGCTCCAGTACCCCGCCAGCCCCCTGAAGTGGTCGATGCGGAACTCATCGTACAGGTCAAACGCCCTCCTCATGCGCTTCGCCCACCACGAGTACCCGTCCTTGGCCATGGCCTGCCAGTTGTACAGCGGGCTGCGAGGGGGGAGAGGAGGGAGAGAGCGAAAGAGCGCAGAATAAGAATATGCTACCTGTGCCTCACCTCCTCGACAAACCTGCTGAGAATACCCTTACTTCCTTAAGCCACGACAAGCCTGTTGTACAGTGGTCTGCATGCAGTGAGGGAGAGGAACAGGGAGGGACTCTGTTATAAGTGTTTCGAGTACATACCTACCAGCAATGACTGTCATAAGTCGTGGCCGGGCGATTGTACAGGGGGGCACGACAATAGGGCTGCTCTCAAGCGGTCTTTGTATACTCTCTCCTCTCCATCACTTGCTCCATAACTGCCATGTGGTGCTGAAGGCAATGAGTGGCACCTACACCAGAAGCACCCTCCCTGCACCCCACCAACAACCCCACTTCCTCTCCTCCCCTTTTAGTCCTCCCCCACAACCCTCCTCCCTCCCTGCCCTCACCTGCCCCAGAGCTGCCCCGTGGCACTGAACGCATCAGGTGGCTGGCACCTACACCAGCTGCACCCTCACCTGCCTCTCTCACCACCCCCACAACCCCACTCTCCTCACCTGCCCCACAGCTGTCCTGTGGCACTGAAGGCATCGGGTGGCACGCCACTCACGAACGTGGGCTGGCGGGTTTCAGGGTCCTGATGGGAGGAGAAGGGGGGGCGGTGTGGGGAGAGAGGGGCGTGTGGTGGTGGGGGAGGGGCGTGGTGTGGGGAGAGAGGAGTTCGGGGTAGGGGAGAGAAGCACGCGGCGCGGTGTGTAGGGAGAGGGGTGATGAATGCGGGAAGGTGCTGGATGAGGATTTTGGTGAGGAATGAAAGTTGAGGTGAGATAGAGGGTGTAGGGAACCGTTCTCTAGGTGATGTAGTATCACAAGCATATGCAAACATACCAGCATGAACTGCTCGGGGTTGGCCCACACGTCAGCGCTGTGGCCGCCCACGTAGATGGGCATATCACCCATGATGCTGATGCCCTTGCTGTTGGCGTATCGGTGCAGCGCCTGCCACTGCCTCTGGAACAGGAATTGCTGGGCAGCGAACTCGTCAATCTGTCACGCACAGACACAGTGGAAGGAAGGAAGGGTTGTTGATTCAACTATAAAGAGCCCAGTGCAGCGCCTGGAATGCCTCTGGAACAGAATTTGCAGCACCACATCAATCTGTGTTGCACACACACGGTGGGAGAGAGGGTTGTTGAGTCGATTACCAAGGAGTCAGTGCAGAACCTACAACTGCCTCTGGAACTGAGGCTACAGCCACCAGGGCTCCACCCCTTCCCTTCAAGTCGACTCACAAATCCACCTACTTAACAATTCTGCAGACTATTCCCCAGCACCACTCACGCAATCTCTGTGCCTCTCCCTTGCAGCAGCCAAGGCCTGCGGCTCTCTGTCCCTGAGCTCCTTGGGCCACAGCCACCAGAACTCCTGAAGTACCTCGGAAGGATAACTTTCCACCACTTACGTATTCCTGGTGCCTCTCCCTTGCAGCCGCCAAGGCCTGCGGCTCTCTGTCCCTCAGCTCCTTGGGCCACAACCACCAGAACTCCACCCCCTGCTCTTTCAATCTACTCATGAACCTACCTGATCCTCTAGGCTGCACATTCACCCCCGGCAGGACTCACGTATTCTCTGTGCCTCTCCCTCGCAGCAGCCAAGGCCTGCGGCTCCCTGTCCCTGAGCTCCTTGGGCCACAGCCACCAGAACTCCTGAAGTACCTCGAAAGTAGAACTTTCCACCACTTACGTATTCCTGGTGTCTCTCTCTCGCAGCAGCCAAGGCGTTGGGCTCTCTGTCCCTGAGCTCCTTGGGCCACAGCCACCAGAACTCCACCCCCTGCTCGCCGTCGATAGCACTGAACAGAGCCGCCTCTTCCAACCATGCTGTGGTGGGAAAAAGAGATAAAGGGGGTGGGGTGGGGAAGGGAAGGAGGGGAACGAGGGGGAACATACAGGCCTCTGAGGTGAGTCAACCCAGAACTCCACGCCCTGTTCGCCGTCAATGGCGCTGAACAGTGCTGCTTCCTCCAACCATGCTGCCGTGGGGAAAGGGGAAAGGGGAGGATGGCAACAGGAGGGGAGTGCAAACCGTGCCGAGAACATTTGAGTCGAGCCAAAGCTTCACCTTGGATCTTCCCACCTATAGCATGGAGCTTCGCATTTATGGCGCGGACATTTCAGAGAAACAATAGGGAATACCAGAGGAACAATAGAGAAGGAACGGCGCACATGGAATGGGACGATGGGACGAACTAGAGAAGGAAGGTTTTCATAGACAGATTGAGAGGAGAAACTGTAGGGGGAGCGGTTTGAGACGTCTCAAAACACATGGAATGGAATGGAGGGACGAACTGGTTTTGAGGCGCCTCAAAACTAGATGGAAGAGGGAGTGTTTTCAGGCGTCTCAAAACACATGGATTGGAACGGAATGGTGGGACGGACTAGAGAAAGAAGTTTTTTCGTGGATAGATTGGGATACTGTAGAGGGACCAAAATGAATGGAGGGATCGATAGGGACGAACCAGAGATGGTGGGGGATTGCCTGAAGGCGTCAAACTCTGCCTTGAGCTCTCCCTCGCTGCTCACCAGTGCCTTGGCCGCCTGGCACAGCAGAGGTGGGGAATTATGAGTTAAGGCAATGGTGTGAGGTGCATGGACCGTAGAATGGAACAGTTGTGCATCGCTCAATTCTTACATAACACTCTATTTTTGCATACCACTCAATGTTTGCATACAACTCGTGAGGAGTGTTTGTGGTGAATCATTGTAACATTCATCAGCAGTGTGGGGATATAGTTGGGATGCGGGACAGCAAGATGGGGTGGTTCGGGTGTCAGATATGGGCTGAAGCATAGTTACCCATGGGTTCAAGTGTCAGTGCATGCAGACAGAGCACAGGTGTGAACAAGGGCATAGAGCCAGCCAGGACACGGGGGAGAGTGATGACGCACCTTGGCAACAGCAGGATCTTTGTCAATAATCACTTGCTTATAATCCACTCGCTCTACCGGGCTGTCGGGGAGGGATACGAAGACGGAACAGGGGGAGGGGGAAAAGGGGAGAGGGGATGGAGGAGAATAAAGCAAGGTGGGATTGAACAAGAAGGCAGGGAGCATGCAGCATGGACTACTCTGTATCTTCTTCTTGATTGATTTTCGATTGAGATCATACCGCGTGGGGGGCAGGTCCTCAGGCTTGAGAAGGCCGTCTTGCACGAGCAGGTCGAGGGAGAGCAGCAGTGTGTTGCCGCAGTTGGCGTCCTGGTGCACGGGAGAGGGAGGGGCGTGGGGGGGGGGTGTTGAGGAGTAGACTTTTGAGGCACCTCAGAACAAAAGTCGCAGGTCGGTTGGAGGGGCCGAGGAGACTGTCCTGCAAGATTCAGTCAAGGGAGAGCAGCAGCGTGTTGCCGCAGTTGGCGTCCTGTTTGGGGGGGTTGGGTGGGGCGTCCGGAGTGGGTGTTAAGGAGTGGTAGGCAGGGAGGATAGGGAGTGGGAGGCAGGACATAAGGTTCGAGGAGGCCGTCTTGCACGAGCAGGTCGAGGGAGAGCAGCAGCGTGTTGCCGCAGTTGGCGTCCTGGTGCACGGGAGAGGGAGGGGCGTGGGGAGCGGTTTTTGAGGAGTGGACTTTTTGAGGCACCCCAAAACAAAAGTCGCAGGTAGGAGGGGTCGAGGAGGCCGTCCTGCACGAGCAGATGGAGGGAGAGCAGCAGCGTGTCGCCACATTTGGCGTCCTGGCAGAGGAGGGCGTGGGGAGTCGGGCGCGGGGAGTGGGAGTGGGAGTGGGAGTGGGAGTGGGAGTGGGAGTGGGGAGTGGGGAATGGGGGGTTGGGATCGGGGAATGGAGAATGGGAAGTGGGAGTGTGGAGGAGAGAGGAGCTGCAGGTACTGGCGAGCTTTTCGAGAAATAATTAGAGAATGCTGAATTTTGCTTAACAGTGGGGAAGCTGGCTGGATGTGCAATAACAATGAGGAGGTCGGCCTAAGAGCCCAGCATAGGGACAGCCATACGCTAGCCGGTACAGGGATTGCCTTACCTGGCCAGCATAGGGACTACTGCACCTGGCAGGCATAGGGAATACTGTACCTCGCCGACATAGGGATTGCCTTACCTGGCCAGCATAGGGATTGCCTTACCTGGCCAGCATAGGGATTGCCTTACCTGGCCAGCATAGGGATTGCCGTAGGGACTGCCGTACCTGGCCAGCATAGGGACTGCCGTCTTCACCTGACTTCCGTCCAGGTGGCACCAGGGGCAGCACCTGAAAATTGCACATAAGTGGTGAGAAAATGCACCGGAACAAATATATTGCAGAGGGTTATTAAGGATGCCCCAGCAACGGACAGAAGCACTAGAGTAGAGCCACAATTGGCATGATATGAGGGATCCTGAAGTTTACACGATTCCATCCATCCAGTATCCACACATTCACGCACTCACCCACGCATCCACTCCCCCATGAATAAGGCCAAACCATCAAATTTTGAATCACCCACCCACCCACCTACCCACACATCCATTAAACCACGCCCCCACGCCACTGCACACCTGCCAGATTGTGCATCCCGTCGATTCGAGCCAATCCAGGAACCTGAACGCGCCCGAACCTGCGCGCCAGAACCCAGTTCTCCAGTGCCATGCGAGTTTCTTGAGTTTACTCAAGTCAAGAATCACCACGCACCTGCCAGATTGTGCATCCCGTCGATTCGAGCCAATCCAGGAACCGGAACGCGCCGGGACCCAAGTCGCCGATGCCGTGCGGACCGGGCAGCGACGTCGGGTGCACAAGCACGCCGCATCGCCTCGCCGGAATCAGCGAATACGGATCCATCCTTTCGTACCCCTCTGGTAACGGCTCGCCGGGAAGGATTTCGCTGGACTTCGCAGCGGCGGGGATCGCTGCTGGTTCTGTCGCCATTGCTCGGACCGACTGGCGATCCGCGCGGCAAGATCGAGACGGGGAGCTGGAAATGGGTAAAGGGACGCGGAGAGGCGCGAAGGACGCCGGTCGGAGGCGGGAGTTCGACGAATCAGCGGTTGAAGACGCGACGGATGCGACGTGCGCGACGGGAAGTCGCAAGGCGGAAACCATGGCTGTGCGGATCGCTGACTCGCGCAGAAACACGCGGGAGAGATGTCTGATCAGGCTTCGCTTCGCTCCTGAAACCAAGGTGGAGAGTCCAACCCAGACGGAATGATCGCTGGCTCGGTGTAGAGAGAGCTGTACATGGGCTGGCGACAATACCGAGGCGATTCAGACCAGATTCTCTCAAGGGAACTGAAGATCCCAAGGCCGCTAGGGAGCCTCTTTTCAACCGCGACATAAGCCGATCTGATCTGATGGCGGTTCTACATGTTGAGCTTACCCGGAACAATAAGAGAAAGCACAAATAACAAAAACTCGTTTTGGATTTGAGACTAGAACCGACTAGCCAAATTCTTGAACAATTGCTTCCACCTACATTGAGCATCAGTACCTAGGCTTATCCTTCTCTTCACCCCACCCATTCCAATCTATCCTCTCCCTCTTCGTCACACTCGTGTCGTCAGCACCCCCTTCCTTATTCCATCGACTTCCAGGTGCTTCCTCAATTCCATTCCAACCTGTCTCCCACCTCGTCTCTCTCTCTGCACCTCTTCGCATCCCCCTCTCCCACCCTTGCTTCCCCTCCACGCTCCCGTACTGATCCTCTTCCCCCACCACAGCCCCGCCCCTAGCCCACTGCCTGGCATTGCCCTGCTGCCATCTCCCCTCATCCTGCCATTCCCCATCGCCTGATCCTTGCCAGCTGCCACTCCTTCTGTTACCTCTGTCCTCTGGTTCAGCTCCTCCCTGCCTTTCCCATTCCTGCCATTGCTGCTGCTGCAGCGGCCACTGCTCTCTGTCTCTCCAATTCTCCTCCGTTGTACTGAATCCCCTACCCCCACCACCGTCTTCCCTGCTCCCCTTCCCCACTCCCTCGGGATTCCCAGGGTCGATCTCCCCTCGAATCACATCCAGCTGGTACCGAACCCACTCCCATACCTCCGATGCAACACCCGAACCTAACGGCGAGCCGCTCCCAATCCCCAAACCTGGGCCCAGAGTGCCATCCCAGACCTGTGGTTCCTTCTTCCTTTCGGCATTACTGCTCTGGAACTGGGACCACTGCTGCTGCTTCTCCTGCTGCTGCTGCTCCTGTGACTGCTGCTGTCGCTCTTTACGAGCCTGCAAATCCTTCTCGCTCACGATCGGCCGAACCGAGAGCTCCAGGAGCGCCGAGCCTAGCTCCAGGAACGGCGGGCCGAGCGTGTTTCGGAGGGCGGGTGTGAGAACCACAAGCGCCGCGAGGGAGAGGAAGAGAAATGGGCGGTCGAAGAGCAGTGGCAGGAGAACCAACACGAGGGGCACCCCCCAGGGGATAGATGTAAGCAGCTGGAGGAAGAGCATGGGGATGGCAGAGCAAAGGAAGGAACTAGTAAGCAGTTGACTGAGAGGGTGGGCAAGGGGGAGAGGAAGAGCAAGGGACGGGGACGGTCGAAGAGCAGTGGCAGGAGAACCAGCACGAGAGGCACCCGTCCGCGGATAGACGTTAGCAGCTAGAGGAGGAGAACAGGGAGAGACGAGCGGAGGGGAAAATCAGAAGGTAGCTGGGTGATCAGGTGGGAGTGAGGGAGAGGAAGAGAAATGCGCGGTCAAAGAGCAGCGGCAGGAGAACCAGCACAAGAGGCACCCCCGAGGGGATAGACATTAGCAGCTGGAATAGGGGACTCGGGAGGGAAGAGCGGAGGAGAGAATGAGTGAATAGCGGAGGGATCAGGCGGGCGCAGGGGACAGGAAGAGCAAGGGGCGGGTGAATGGCGGCGCCAGGGGAAGGAACCAGCACGAGAGGCACCAAACTGTTATAAGCTTGCCTCTTTTAACGGTTCAAAAAGGTCGTTGCCGCTCGCCAACCCTCCGCCTGCTGCTCCTCCCGCTCCTCTTCCTCCACCCATTTCTCTCTCCGGCGGCGCTCTTCCAAAGGGTCCTTCGTTGCGCCCATCCAACCTGCTACTCCACTCCTCAGAACCGCCCTCCAAGCCTCTGGCACGGCCGTACGCGTTATACTCACGCCCATTATAGTCACCATCATAACCATAACCTGGCTCGTCATAACCGCGTCGTGCAGAATCCACCGGCGGAAATCGACGCTGCTGCCATTCCGCGGCGGCGCTTTCCCCAGTATCCCCGCCACCCGCGTTCCGCCCCAGCCCCCGCTCCGCAACTCCGTCGCGTGTGTTCAGCACTACGCCATCTCCCGTCTCCGGATATTTCCCTCTTCCCCCCTCGCCGACCCAGCCTTGGGAATGCCGCGAAGTAGCCGCACCGCCGCGCAATGCTTCATCGCCGTTGAGATCAGACGGTCGTCGCCTCCAGCCCTCCGCGTTTGAGTCCCAGAATTCTCTTCTTCCGCCGCCATTGCCAGTGCTGCTGCCGCTGCCGCCGCCGCCGCTGCCGGCGCTGGCCCTGACAGCCCTCAAGCAGCAGACTATAGGGAGGAACGACGGACGACGAAGGTAGGGTATGGACGCAGAAGCGTAATAACCCATTAGAAGCATAATTTACGTTAGTTGAGCTCATGCGATGCATGTCAAAACATAGTACATACAGGCATCTCAAAGTGAACTGTTACGTCGGTGTAGTTTAGTGGTTAGAATCCCACGTTGTGGCCGTGGAGACCTGGGCTCGAATCCCAGCACCGACATTTTGTCCTGCAAGGTGGAACCTACCTTTTGTGAGAAACAACCCGTGTGCAGAATGTGCTCGATGTGAAGGTAGATTCTGCACTTTTTAACATTGATTTTGAATGCGTGATATCAGAGGCAACAGCACCAGCAAGGAAGCATGAAGTACAGCCTATAGCAGCAGGGAGCAGTGGTCGCAGAGGAAACTGGCGGGAGGCTCAGAGAAACCCGCACAGCGAGTGTGCTGCCACACCTCACACCTGGTGGTACGATGGGAGAGGCAAGGAGAGGGGAGGGGAAGGAGACAATTGCTGTGAGGAAAGGGGAGTGGGGGAGAACTGGAAATGGACACGGCAAGAAATGGGGAGGGAAGAGGGAATGGAGATGGAGGGGGAGGGTTTTTGCTAAGGACAGCCTTACCAAACAATGTGGACAACCAGTAAAGAGGGACGAGGATGCGAAGGAGAAAGAGAGAGCCAGTGAGCCTGCATCTCCTTTCCCTGTGAACCCCATGCACCCACAAGAAGCCGAAGAGCCCCATTGACCAATCACAATTCAATACCTTTACCACTGACAGGCGCCACTGACTTATCACATGCCGCCACCTGTCCCATTGACCTATCAGGGCGCCACCTGTCCCATTGACCTACCACAGGCCGCCATCTGTCCCACTGACCTATCACACGCCACCATCTGTTCACCGTCGTCATCCCTCGTGCCACAGCTGCACTCCACCACCCACCCCTCCGAGCCTCCCTCCCAGCACAGGTCCGAGCCTGCATCCATGCCTGAGCCCCGAACCAGCAGTACACAGCGAGGGCTGAGGTTCGGCCGAACCAAGGCAGACGACTGCAGATGAGCGAGGAGGGGGAGCTGAGATACGCTGAATCTGGACATGGCACAGTAGGTGTCCCTGTGGGAAAAGGAGGAGTTGGAAGCCCGAATGGGAGGGGAGAAAAGGGAGAGAATGCGAGGGGTGAGGAGGGAGGAGTGTGGACGAAAGGGCATGTTCAGAAGGCATACACATTCAGGAACAAACTGTTTCCAACTAAAAACGATGTGTAATGCTCGGTATCGCATACCTTGACCGCCTTTCTGCATACCCCTTACTGCGTTACCTCATGGTCCTCTCTCTATTGCCTCGCCGAGTTGTGCCACTGTAGCATCAGCGGGTACGACCACATACTCCACTGGAATCGGCCCCAGCCGCCTCTACGTGTGAAACTCCCAACCTTACACCCCATATAACCGTACTGTACACCCTTCATTGCCTCACCTCATGGTCCTCTCTATAGCCTCGCCGAGTTGTGCCACTGTAGCATCAGCGGGCACCACCACATACTCCACTGGAATCGGCCCTAGCCGCCTCTGCCTTGACACAGGCTCCACCCCTCTCACTGCCCCTGCTGCTCGTGGCCCTCCTGCAATTACTGCTGTTGCCGTTTTGCCTCCCGCTGCAATTTCCACCGCTTTTGGTCCTGTTGTTGCTGCTGCTGCTACTGTTGTTGTCGCTGCTGCTACTGTTGTTGTCGTGGCTGCTGCTTGCAAAGAAACGCCCCCACTGCCTGTACCGGGCCCTGCAGTTACTCCAGCGCTCGACCTTTCACCAGCATCCCCTTCAACTTTCACTGCAGCAACTTCTCTCTCCCCTTCACCTTTCTCCTTCCTCTCCCCCTTTTCCTCCCTCTCCTCCTCTTCACTCTCCTCCACCACCACTTGAAACGCCACACACATCAACCCATCCGCCTCTTTCACTCCCACTCCGTGAACCTCTTCCCCCCAGTATCCCTTCACCAGATGCTTTGTGTCCAGCACCACCCGCACCAGCGCCAGCAGCCCCTCCGCACCAGCACCACCCATACACGCGCCACTCACACCAACCGCGCTGCTGCCAGCATACACAGGGTGGCACGGGTTAGCACGAGGAGGATAGATGCCCTTTAGCAGGTGCTGGTTGGGAGGAACGGACCTGGCAACATGGCCGGAGGGAAAGGGCATGCCAGCACAGGTAGGAAGCAAGGGCCTGGCAGTGTGGGTGGGGTGGACGCGTCTAGCAGCGCCTTCAAGCAGGTTGCGGTAGAGGTAGCGCAGATGCGGCTCCACTGGGCTGCTCGTTGCTGCCAGCGTCACCACCGCCCCACCTTGCTGCTGCTGCTTCTGTTGCTGCTCGCTTGCCTTTTCTTCCCCAGCCACAGGAGCAGCAACTGCCGCTCTTACATGACTGGGAGTGGAAGGGGACTTGAAGCCCTGCGTTTTGCTAAAAGTTGCCGCTTTACTAAGTGGCAGCGCTTTAGGACCCGTGCTCTTGTTGTAATTGTAATCCCCGCGTTGCTTGCATTCGCCTCTCTCGCCTCCCTCCCCTGCCACCCCTCCTTCCCGACCACCCGCTTCCCTGTGTGGTCCCGCCCCTGTCCCGCCCTGTGCCCCGAACCCTGCGAGCTGAGGGCCCCAGGTAGCCGGGAGAGGAGCAGAGAGCTTTGGAAACATCTCAACAGGTGCCAGCATCGGAGCAACATGCCCCTGAGGCATCGCAAGCGGAGGTGAGATAGACGCATCATGAGCTTGAGGCGCTTCTGAAAAATGCGGGGGGTCTCGGGATTGGGCCTGCGCTTTGGCTCTTCCACAGCAGAGGCTGGGCTGGCAGGCTGCAGGCTTGGGGAGAACGGGAGGAGGTGAAGGAGGGCCAGGGGGGCAGGCTGATGCAGCTGCCTGTGTGCTTTCCCCAGCAACCAAAGGAGTAGAGAGTTTCGGACAATGACCTGCCTGCTGTGTTGCTTCAACTGCACCTTCACCTTCTTGCCTCCTGCACTGCAACAAACTGGCGGTACCCTCAACAGGAGTATCCTCTTCAACAGTAGCGTTCTCGGCAGTATTCCCGTCTACAGTATCCCCTTCAACACAATCAGAACCTGTCCTCGCCACTCTAATCATTCCTCCACCTTCCCCACGCTTCACTCTCTTGCACTCCTGCTCCTCACATCCCTCGCCTACTCTTCTCCCCTCCCCAATCTCCACCCCATCCCTGTGTCTCCTCAGCCTCTCGTCCCTCCCTCCCTTCCGCTCCCTCCCTTCCAAATGCTCCCTCCCCTCCTTCGTCCCTGGTTCTCCCATTCCCCCGTCCTCCTTTTCCCAGCCCTCTCGGACCTCATTGTGCACTGCCTCACTCTTCACCTTCTCTCTCTGCTGCTCTGCATCCGTCCTCCCCACTTCTACCCTGCCTCTCACTGCAAGCTCCCCAACCTCATCCACAGTCAGACTCTGAACTCCATTCCGTGGCCCACTGCCACTCCATTTCCCACTCCCACTCTGCTTCTCACTCATACTCTCCAGCCCAGTACAGCTCTTCTTGACTCCAGGGATCTCCTTCTGCCCCCGATCTTGTGCGTCAGGCTTGCGATCAGCCCCCATACGGATGACGCCTTCCCCAACAGAAGCACCATCCGCACCATCCGCACCAGCAGCAGCAACACCAGCCGCACCAGCAGCAGCGTCAGCAGCAGTGGCAACCACAGGTCGAGTAACAAACCCACCAACCCGACCAACGTCCTCCACTCTTTGATCTCTACATCCAGCCCATGGCTTTCTCTCCTCTCTCTCCTTCCCCTTGACACTCTCCTCTTCTCCGCCTCCCCCTCCTGCCTGTCGCAGTGTTGCCTGCTCCGACTTACTTTTCTTCAGATAATTCTGCTGCTGCTGCTGCTCCTCCTGCTCTCGTCTCTTCTTCGAAACAACAGGCAGTTGCAGGCTCTCCTTCGCAAATGAGCCCCTGCCGCTCTCACAACCTGCTCTGTTCTTTGAAGAAAGCAGGGCATGTGAGTTCCTCCTGTCACTCACTGCACTGCCACCATTCTCCCTCCTCTGAATAAGTCCGTTCTCTCTCCTCTCACTCGGTGCGGCCTCTCTTCTCATCGCACCACAACTCGCCTTCCCTTCGCCCACCCAACAATCCTCTCTGCCATTCACCCCGCCACTCTTCACATGTGCCGAAACCGCTCGCCGTTTCAACTGCTTCTGTACACTACTCATTTTCTCAAACTCCCTTTTCACATTATCTGTCCTGTCGCCAATACCAGCTGCTCCTCTATGTACAGTCTGCTTGTCACCCAAATCAGCAGCGAGTTGCTTCCCGTTCCGTCCGCCTGCAACAGAGTTGCCAGTTGTCTGAAAACTCTTCCCATTCGGTCTCTTCTTATCCACACAGACCCTGCCAGCAGGTGACTCCTTTGAGTGGTCCCCCAAGCTACATTCGCTGCTTTGAAACAATTCTCTCTCATCCACATTCCTAACCCCTTTTCCTCCATCCGCACCCTTTTTCCCACCATCTGCACCACTCTTCCCTCCATCTTCACCGCCCTTCCCTCCATCCGTATCCCCCCGCAGAGCCCATCGCCTCCCTTTCCGTCCGCTGCCCTCATCCATTCCCCCCTTATCCACCATCACCTCCTCCTCCCAGCCCCATTCCTCCTCATCCTCCTTCATTTCCCTTATTCCCCCTTTCCCCCCCTCCTCCATCTTCTCCCTTCCATCCTCCTTCACCTCACTCTCCTCTTCATTTCCCACCGTCACTCCCCACTCCTCCCCCTCCTCCTCATCCTTCTCTCCCAAAACCCCCGCCCTGAACTCACACGTCCCCACCACAGCACCATCCGTGCCTCTTTTCTCCCACTTCTCCCCTGAGCGCTTCTCTGCTTCCCCTGCTTTCCTCGCTTCCCCTGTTTCTCCCGCTTCCAAAGCTTCCCCTGATTCCCCCGGCTCTGTAACATGAACCATGCACTCCTCTTTACCCTCCTCTTTCACCTCCTCCACTTCCTCCTCTTCTACTTCCACCCCCTCCCCCTCCTCCCCATCCTCCCCACCCTCCCTCTTCTCCTCCCTCTCATTCCCCTTCCCCTCCTCCCCTTCCACTTCCTCCTCCCCCCTCACCTCCCCCTCCAGCAATCCGCACCCATACTCCCCGCCACACTGCATCACCTCACCCCTAAGCTCCTCCTCCCATGCATCTAGCCCCCACCACCCCGCACCATCACCACCTGCATGCTCTGCATACCAACCCAGCTCCTCACACTCCCCACCTGGTCCATAGAAACCCCTGTAGTCATACGCCCCACATTCATTCTCATAAGAATCCCCACAACCTTTCCCCCCACAATCTCTCCCCTCACAGTTCCACTGCTTACAGTCCTCCTCCTCCTCATAGTGCTTCCCCTCACAATCCCTCTCTTTACACACTTCCTCATTACAGCCCTCCTCCTTAGAGTCACGCACATTCATGCGTTTTCCAACCCCACCGGTTTGGCCCTCGTGATCCAAAGCTCCATACGCCGCACATTCCCTCCCTGACTTGCCTCCAGACACTCCCCTCTCTCTCCCACCTCTTCGACTAACAGAAACTGCTGCTCCCTCCTCACCTGCTAGCAGGACACAACCCCCTGCCGCATCCGGCATATCAGCATCCCCTGGGGCACCTGCGCTACCGGCATCCCCTAGAGAATCTGCCAGCAGCGCCTTAAGCTCACCGTTCCTTCCTCGCCCTCTTCCTCCACGTGCCCCTCTTCCTCTGGCTCCCCTCCCCGCCCCTCCACCTTCTCTTACAGCTGCTGCTGCTGCCGTTGCTGCTGCTGCCACTGCTTTTCTTGCTACTCCTACTGCTCCTCCTCCTCCTGCTTCTCCGGCTGCTGCCTTTCGCATCAACCTTTTTCCACCCTCTGTTGCACCACTAGCAGATTCGCCTCGTCCCCTGCCCCTGCTCCGCCCTCCCCCTCCCCTTCCTACCCCTCTCCCTCTCCCTCTCCCCACCCCTATTCCCTTGCCACCAAAACTACCTCTGCCTCTTCCCACCCTCCCTCCCCTCCCCCCTCTCTTCCCTGCCGCCCCTCTCCACTCCGCTTTCTCCCAGTCCGCGTCATCACTGGCCTCATCCACATCATCACTCTCCTCTGATGAGCTGGACGACTCCTCATCCTCACTATTGAAAACATTCACCTGCGATCTGCCTCGTGGTCTCTTCCCGCCCTTCACATCTCCTTCCATTGCTCCTCCCCCTACTGCCACACCTGCCCCTTCCCGTGCTCCCATTCCCCGCGTCTCCTCTCTCCTCCCAACTCCCCTTCCTTCTCCTCGAATCCCTAAACCTCTTTCTTCCCCCTCTGCTCTCTCATATAAACCTCCCTCTTCTCCGCCCTCTGCTCTAAGCCGTTCAGAAGGAATCATGCTAGTAGCAGACGCCCTAATGAGGCCTTTCCCCTGTCTGCTTCTGGGGGAGGTGACATCACTACCTGCCATAACCTTGCCACTGTTGCCACCTGGTTTTCCAGGTGTATTATCAGGTGCCTCTACAGCACTACTAAACTTCCCTCTGCTGTCAGGTTGATCTGCTGCTGCAAGACCCTTGCCCAGGCTATCTCTAAGCGTCACATTAGGGGAGACTTTATCAAGAGAAGCGTCACTTTCAGTGCCTGCAGATGCCCCCCTGTTCTTTTCCCGCACCTCTCTCTCAGGCTTCACCCAGACCTTGAAGCTAGGCTCGGCAGTCAGAGTGGGTGCCGAAGCTGTGCCGAGCCTGGTTCGGGGGGAAAGAGGGGACGGATCTTGCACTTGACCTTGACCCTGGGAGCGCAATCGGGGCGTGAGAGGGGCCGGGCTTCTGAGGCCAGGAGAATGAGATGGTGAACGACCAAGAGGCTGAGGTGAAGAGAGGGGGCTCGATGCTGTGACTGGGTATGATACGCGGTGGAGCGTCACTGGGGAGAGGGTAAGTGAAGGGGACGTTAGTGGGGAGGAAGTTAGTGCGGGGCGAGTCAGGGGTTGGGATGTCAGTGGGGGAGGAGTGAGTCCCCCGGTTAAATCAGGTGACACAGGGAGGGAGGCAGAATGTACACCGCTAGGAGCGGAATTGGCAGCAGGTGCTTTCCTGCTGCCGATGTTACTAGCTGTAGCAGCGGGAGCTGCAGCAGCAGTTGCGGTAGCAGTCGCAGCGGCAGCAGGAGGGGCAGCAGCAGAGTCAGCAGTGGCGGCAGGAGGACGTGATGACAATAGTTCGAGCATCAGTCTCAGGAGTTGACCCAGCGTTTTCAAACGTTCGGTTTGGCTCGGGTAAAAAAGAACAGAATCCGGGGGAGCTGTAGCATTGGCGACTGTAGCGTGGGGAGCTGTAGCAGGGCGGGCTGTTGCGGGGGGTGATGTTGCATGGGATGGCTGAAAGCTGTGGATTCTTGATGGAGTCGCTCCTCTACTGATGCCAGAATTTACTGCTTGGGAGGATGATGCCATATGAGCGTCTACATGCAGTCTGGCTGCTGATGCAGCAGCTACTGTTGCTGGTAATGGTGCTGCTGCTGCTGCTGCTGCAGCTGCTCGTGAGATCTGTGCTGACTTAGCATGCGGTAATGCTGCATGCGCTGGTGGAGCGGCAAATGCTACTGGTGGTGAGTCGTGTGTACACAGTGTGGGAGCAGTGAGCGAGCAGGTGTTCTCGCTGACCCACGACCGGTAATGCTCAAAAATGGCAACCAAGTCCTGAATACAGAGAAAGGGGAAAGGCACCAGGACAAGTTTTGAAACGTTTCAAAAGTCGCTGACCCACGACCGGTAATGCTCAATAATGGCAAGCAACCAAGTAGTGAAAAGAAAACAGAGAATGGGGAAAGGCACCAGACAAACTGAATTCACGCCCCCACTTCCCCCAGGACAAAGAAACCTCTATGCCACCACAAACCACTCTAGAGAAGAGACTAATCTACTCAGCATACTAGCACAATACTCGGACTTCGTTATACTCACAGGATCCAGCCCCCTGTAGTGCTCTTCGATCACTGCAAGCGGGGTCGCGGCCGCAGCTACGACGGCGTGCTTGTACACGTCTTCAGTCACGCCGTAACATCCCTTGCCGAAGCGGTAACCCCACCGGCCGTACCACGAGTGGCCGTACGCCAGCCCATGCAGCAGACGCAGGTCCAGACCCAGCTTCTTGGACATGTCCATACACGTCACCTCCCTGTGGGGCGGATGGCGTACAGACATTGGGAAGATGAGTTACTTGTGATGCAAACAGCCTCAGTGTCTCAGCCTCGAGACACGCAGGTCCAGACCCAGCTTCTTGGACATATCCATACACGTCACCTCCCTGTGGGGCGGATGGAGTACAGACATTGTGATGCAAACAGCCTCAGTGTCTCAGCCTCGAGACACGCAGGTCCAGACCCAGCTTCTTGGACATGTCCATGCACGTCACCTCCCTGTGGAGCGGTGAAAAGTGATTGGAATGCTTGATATGTCAGTTCCCTCAGCGTCAGTCAAGTCATGCAGCTTCTCTAACATGCCTATCAGTGACAGTCCATGCATGCCATGCCACCTCACCGTGGGAGAGAGCACATGACAAAACACCCTCCCTGCTGCTCACCTGGCATTGAGCATGGTGCAAATGCGGTCCCACAGGCCCATCAGCTGCCGCCCAGTGACGAGGCGTGAGCCGCGTTCTCGGCCGTTGATTCGTAGGAGGTGACCGTATCCGTTGGTGTGGATCACTCCGTGGAGCAGGTGCGTCTGAGACTCCAGCAGGGTCCCTCGCACGGCATCATGCCCACATGCAGTGCATCTGGACAGGGCGTACGGGGCAATGGGGCACACGGCACAATATCAGAGTCAATGAATCAGGGAATGAGGTTACTAGTGACACGCTGACCGTTCAGCACGGGAAGTCAGAACTCACCGCTTGGCGTTAGAGGCAATGACGGCGCTGCAGTTGGGGCAGAGCTTGCGGCCCTTGCCAATGCCCTGGCTGTTGTTCTCGTCCACGTCAGCCACGAGGGGTATGATGAAATGGTAACGGTGCACTGACACCGGGTGATGACTCCAACCTGCACACCCGCACATGAAAACGCGGCGTACACGCACACACAGAAACGCGAGTCGACTCAAAACTCGTGCACTGACACGAAGCTGTGACTCCACCCAGCGTACCCGGACATGAAAACGTGACGGACACGCACACACAGAAACAGGCACGCATGCACGCACGCACAAACACTCTTTCTCGCTATCACGACTCTGCACAACCGTAGAACACATTCGTTGCGCCTTCGCCATGCAACATATGCTGGTACATAGTCCGTTCGCGTTGTTTCCTGAATCATGCCACACGCTTATCACGGTACCTCCGGTCCTAGGGTAGAAAGTCGCACATACTTCGCTCCAATGGAATGACGTCCCTACTTCTAACTACTAGGCGTCAGGATTCAGGCGAAAATGGTCCAGTCTAGGCGCACCTGCCACGCGGCAGTTGTCGCAGTGTGCGCGGCCCGAGGCTTGCACGTTCTCTTCTAGTACACGTAAGCCGATGCGGTGGCCCTTGTCGTCTTGCAGGCGAATCGTCCACGAAGCCACACCCTCGATGTTACACGAATCAGGCTCCGCGAAATCGCGTATTAACTTTTGGACAAGTTGGCGAAAAGGAAATGGACCGCGAGGAAAGTCCGCGGGACACTCATTGGTGCCGAAAAGCGCGAAAGAGAAGGCCCCGTGGACCTTCCGTCGCTTGCTTGATCTGTGCAGTACCATTGCAAGCGAAAATAACAAGCTACGGAATACAAGATGCAGAGACTATAGCGACACGCACGCCATCGTCGCGCTCCAACCTGAAAGATTCCAAGCTTCAAGCCACAAGCTACTACGGTACTGATATGAACGCAAAACGAGCAAGCAGCACGCGATTAGGGTTTCAGAGCAGGAAACGCTGAAATGCGAATCGGAGGCTGTGTCTTTGGCCTGTGGTTGGTTCATCGGCTCGGCTCGAGTCGACAATTTCAAGGGTGGCTGGCTGCGTCCACAGCCACAGGTTGCTCGATCGATAGCGGGTGGATTCCCTCGGTGCTGATGAAGTGCGTGAAGGAAAAGAAGAGCACGCACCAATCAGCTGTTTTGCCGCCTTCGAGATTCCCAGAAGCACCTCATTTGAAGGTTTGAGAAGCAAAACTGACTGTTTGCAAGACGGGCTAGTAGGCTACACTTCAATACCACTTGTATTATATGGATCTCCTATTTATGAGAAATTTAAGATATTTACTCTCTTATTGATAAACAAGCACGCTGATACACGAATCTTTTCACATAGTTGATTAATTTCCTTCTGAAGACTGTAAAAAACAAATATGGGTTTGATTTATGCTGTTTTGTAGCTCAGACATATACAGAAAGTAGAAATTTTACCATTTTCTGATTACAAAATGTAAGTGTCTTTGGATAACAGTTGCATTGTAGCATGAAGTGTACATGCCTGGTGCTCCAAATCGTTTGTATCCCATCACTCTCCAGGCGCCATTATCTAGAAAAGCCAGCCACTCCAAACTGTTCGTCCTCCGTTCACTTCCCCTCGATCTTCTCACCAGCATCCTATCCTATCCTCTCCCGCCTGTTAGGGTTTCGCTGCTTTCTCCTCCATCGGCTAGTTTTAGGCACGCAGCGCAGCCTCGTCGATTAGAAGATAATACGGGAGGGCCGCATTTTTTCGCCACGATTCAGTCGACTGTTCTCGTTTGCTGATTAATGCTTCTTATTTTTGGCCCTGAGCGATAGAACCAGTCAGTTTGCTGTTTCTGTTAGGGACTACAACACTGTGCTGTCTGATGCACCAGCGGTTGCATTCGCGGGGTTGCTAGCTGCGGCCCGAGTGGCTGCTTCTCGCTCCCCGTTCTAACCTGCTGCGTCATATTGTAGATATTCCTGCGCCCTTTTTTTTTTTTTTTTTGCTTCTACATTTTTTTTTGTGATCTTAGCTCTTTAGATTCTTAACCTCAAAATGTTTCGGGGAGATCGGGGTATGGCGCAGCCTGACTCGAGCAGAGGCGGGGGATCGAAGGACGCGAGGGGGTACCGGGAAAGAGACGTGGCGGGTGGGGCTGTGGGGGGCGGAGCGGGAATGGATGCGCACTCGGGGAAGAAGCGCGGGGATGAGATGGCGATGGCGCAAGGTCAGGGCAGCAAAGGGGGCATCAATCCGCGCGATAAGGAGAGGCTTTCTGGGGTGCCGTCGTCCTCGCAACAAGCCGCTGTCGGCCAGGGAAAGGGTATGATGTGCTCGGGTTGCTCTTCACATGCAAATAGATTGATGTCAACATGCAAACATCACTGAGCCATGTCCGGATCTCGCGTCGGCCAGGGAAAGGGTATGATGTGCTCGGGTTGCTGTTCACATGCCAGGGGTATGTGCGCCTGTGCCACTTCTTCTTTCTTTTCAATCGGAGAGGCACTACGAGTATGCTGATCGTCGTTGCCGTTTATTGCGGCTGGTGCGGCTCGGAAACACTAGTACATAGTACTGCGTCCGCGAGAATGCCCACTTGTGTCCTTGGGTCCTTTAAAAGCAATCCTTAACATCGTGCATTGTTAGTTAGTCGTGCCCGTCGTCGCCATTCCATCTGGTTCCACTCTGTATGTGTATGCGCCTCCTTTGCGCTTTGGCTCTCGTCTGTCTGAACTTAACCGGTCTGTTTGATCGTGTACTTTCTGATCCACGTCAGATCGACCCCAGATTGACCGTTCGACCCACAAAAAACAAAAATGTTGTTTTAGATAGGTTGGATTCAGTCGCCTCGTTCGTTTTCCTCCTTGGCGTTGCGCCATATGTCCTGCTTGTCGATTCCCCCCTTTCCCCTCGTCTCCACGCCATTTTCTTTTCGCAAACTTCTCACCCTCCTCTCTCGCCTCCTTCCCCTTCCCTTCACCCCTTCCCCGTTCCCGCCCTCCGCCCCGTCTTTCCAGCTTTGGAGAGTGAGGGGCCGACATGGCATCATGGATCACGTGACTCGGCGCACTCAAGGATTTTACCCTCTTCCCCCCTGCTGCCTTCCCTTCCCTTGTCCACACTTCCAAAACACCTTTCCCCCACCCCCCTGTTCCTTCCTTCCCGCCAACCCCATCCCCCCCCGTCAACCCCCTACGAAGATTCAGAGAGCGAGGAGTCGGACGTGAGCGACTCGGAGGACGACACGTCGTGGATCACGTGGTTCTGCTCGCTAAAGGGCAACGGTCATTCGACCCGCTTCGCCCTGCTGTCTTCCCTTCTCTTCCTTTGTCTACACATCCAAAACACCTTCCCGCACCCCCTTTTTCCACCACCCACCCCAACCCCCCCACCCCCCCACCCTCCCCTTCCCCCTCCCCCCCGCGCCCCCGCTACACCCCCTTCGAAGATTCAGAGAGCGAGGAGTCGGACGTGAGCGACTCGGAGGACGACACGTCGTGGATCACGTGGTTCTGCTCGCTGAAGGGCAACGAGTTCTTCTGCGAGGTGGACGACGAGTACATTCAGGACGACTTCAACCTCTCGGGGCTCAGCAGCCAGGTGCCCTACTACGACTACGCGCTCGACCTCATCCTCGACGTCGAGTCGCCCACAGGTGTGACGCTGAGAGGGGATGGCGAAAGGGATGCGCCCGGAAAGGGGGGTGAGTGTGAGGGGAAAGGGGGAGGAAGATGAGGAATGTGAGCAGCCAGGTGCCCTACTACGACTACGCGCTCGACCTCATCCTCGACGTCGAGTCGCCCACAAGTGCGGGAGTGTGGCAGGTTCTCGTGGTGGGGGAGGGCATGAGGGGGCACGCGCCCATGGGGGTGGGGGAGGGCATGAGGGGGGCGCGCGCGTGGGGGTGGGGGAGCGCACGAGGGGGGGCGCGCGCGTGGGGGTGGGGGAGGGGATGAGGGGGTTCGCGCACATAGTGGTACGGGAGGGGATTTGGGGGTGTGCACATCCCCCACTCACGAGCTGTTCTGCGGGGTGAAGCAAAAGTTCTTCCAGGTGGTCAACTTTTTTTTCTTGGTGCAATGCAAAGCAAAGTCACCAGGAGTTGAAGAGGGATGCAAAGCGGTGTGTGTGAGGATAAGTTGCCCGCAGCAGCTGAGTGCCGTGGTGGTATGACTGCGTGCACGCCAGACTTGGTTCTGGATGTAGAGTCTGTCTGTCGCCTGCAGGTGAGGGAAGGGGTTGAGAGGAGGGGTTGGGAGGTGGGGATGTGAGGAGGGGGTGAAGGGACACACACGCGTACGAGAGAGAGGGGCTTGTCTCGAGCCAGGAGAGGCGTATTGTGACTTGTGATACGTGAGGGGTGTACTGGACGTTATTTTCAATGTAGATCCAGTGGCGGGTGACGAATGGCATGGCTGGAATTAGCACTAGGGTGGGTGGGTAGGTTGGTTGGGGGCCTGCAGCAGCAAATTCCTGCACTGAGTGTGTTGCGTCTCACTGCTGTGCGTTTTTTAGTCATGGATTCGGCCACAGGCGGGTGGGACTTAGGTACTGGCGGAGTGAGTGGGGTAGGCGGTGCACAGCATCAGCTGTTTTCCTGTTATAAAGCCGTTATCGGCTTTCTGATCGGTGTGTAATTCCTCTCCACCCAATGGCATAAGCTGCCTGTGGTTTCTTTTCTCGTCTTTCTTTACAGATGACATTTTGACAGAGGAGCAGCATGAGATGGTGGAGTCAGCAGCTGAGATGCTCTACGGGCTCATCCACGTGCGCTACATCCTCACCACACGTGGCCTCAGCACCATGGTAGGACTTTCTGAGTCGCCTCAAAAGACGCTTTTTTAGGCGCCTCAATAATCATCCACGTGCGCTACATCCTCACCACACGTGGCCTCAGCACCAGGTAGGTCCCCTGCATTACTTGTCAGAATAGTAGAAGAGGAATTGTGGCCAGCGTATCTGAGTATACCGTTTCAATTGCGACACTATGCATATGCTCACCTTCTTGTCGGTTTTTATACCCAATTTTTGAGGCGCGTAAAAAAAACACCACCTTGTCGGTTTTTATACCCAACTCCATCCCTATGCGCCATCAGTTGGATAAGTTCAAGAATGTTGACTTTGGCCGGTGTCCCAGAGTCTTTTGTTCCGGGCAGCCCTGCCTGCCCATGGGCCAATCAGACATTCCCCGGACGAGCACAGTGAAGATTTACTGCCCGAAATGCGAGGACATCTACTACCCGCGCTCCAAGTACCAAGGCAGTATCCTCCTCAGCGTGCCGCCTCATTTGAGGCTTGCACCCAAACTCCCATCCCAACCCCCTCATCCCATCACCCTTCTATTACCCTGCCTCCGTTTCTGACTCCCTTTAATTATCTCTTTTTTCTCACCTCCCTGTCAACCCTCTTTTTGTTTTCACACGCTCCATCACTCTCCGGTTTTCTCTCTCTCTGCCAGTTGCTTCCTCCCTCCCTGCCTCAGTTCACCTGCCTCCACCCACCTCGCATGTTGCCCACCTCCCTGCCCTTCCAATGGCACATATGTTGTTTCAACGGCAATAGCCTATTGCACTTACTCTAGTGCTCACTCGATGCTGCTTTTTCACTCTTCCTGCATGGCCTCTGCTTCTTAATGACACTCTCCATCTCCTCTACTCCTGCTTTCCTTAACCATGCCGGCTCCTCCCTTTCCTGACTGCTGTTCACACCTTGTGTGCCTCTCTACCCTGTACTCGCCTTCCTCCCTCATTTCCCCTCTCTGCTTTTCTTCTCCTACCCTGTTCTTTCCACACCGCTCCCTCCTCTCCTCCCAATCCTATTCCCTTCACTCCCTGCCTCTGTATCCGTCTCCTTGCTTCCTTATACCCCCTATTCCCTTCCCACACCCCCTTCCCCTTCCTTTCCTTCCTGCTTTAACGTCCACCCTTGCTGTATTCCTTCGATCTTCCACCTCCTCTCTTCCTCTCTCCGTACCTTCCTGCCCGTAAAATCATCTAACAACCTGCCCGGCTCGGCTCAGACATTGATGGAGCGTATTTCGGCACGACCTTCCCGCACCTCTTCCTCATGACCTACCCCTACGTCAAACCAGCCAAGCCCACCCAGAGCTACGTGCCGCGCGTCTTTGGCTTCCGCCTGCACAGCAGCGCCAAGTAAACCTGCTGAGGCGCCACAAAAGGGTTTCGGGTTTCTGCATGCAGAGCAGCACCAAGAAAAATCGGGGCGGCACGGCCTGAGCTTGCCGTTTGAATCGCCTGGGAAGGCAAGAGCCAAGTAGAGGCAGTGCAGTTCAGGTTAGACTGATTGTGTTCTGAACTGTCCTGAAAGGAGAAGTTGGAGATAGACCGTGGAAAAAATTCTAGCTTGTGATTCGTGAAGCAGCTCCTGGCTGCTAGTTGCTGGTTGACACTGACACGTTCGTGGAGGGAGTGCTAGAGGAGGGCGGAGGGAGGAGCATCCAGGGTCTGGTGCTGCTAGCAGCTGCAGCAGGGAAGCGGAAGTTGGCTAGGCAGCTCACATGATTGGAAGGTGGATGCTGGAAGTCAATGTAGGAACCCCATGATACGATACGTGTCGATCTCTTAGTTTTGTCATTTCTTTTCCCCACAACCCAGAAGCGTAGGGTTGTCTGACTCTGGTTTAGAATATGCTAGACACTAACAATTGCAGCCCCCCTGTGCTGTAGGTACGAACCTGAACAGCCCCCCTGTGCTGGGAACACCCTCCCTGCGGTCTTCTCCATGGGACCAGCGTTCTACGGGCTCTGTACAGCCTGTAACTTGTGCAGGCCCTCAAACAGGAGTGTACTGTATGCAGATTCAACCTCATCAGTGTCGTCCTTCGTACCTGGAACTTGTCGTGGAGACTACCACTAGTTTATCGATTTTGTGTGAATTTGCCGGACAGAGTTTCCTGCTAAAATAAAAACAATCTGGGGGCCTGCTTGAGTGCCAGAGGACAGCTTGGTGTGCTCTGCATAGGCACTGGCATTGAGGCGCCTCAACAAGAGACTCCTCCAACCTGCACGTTTGCAGCTGCTCTGCTCCAACAAGAGACAGTGCTTCTGGGCTTGGCAATGAATTCGCTGCAACAGCAAATACTTACGTTTCGCTCGCACACGGGAATAGGGGAGGATTTTTTTGAGCTATATTAGGTTGTAGGTCGTAAATTACATATGATAGTTTCAAAAGATGGTCCCTACTCTTGGAGGATACCGAGGATGATGGACAATGTGAAAGATGTGACACTAGCGAGAGCCAGGAGCGTAGCGACTGTGAGCTGGCCAATCACAAGAGCAGCGCTGTCGTCAGGCACCAATACCGGCACAGCAATAGCGGCGACGAGGAGCGGGAGGGACGCAGACGCGAAGGTACCGGCGGGGGTGGTGGCGAATTTCTCGGCAAGGCTGAGCAGACCGAGAGACTCGGCCTTGGATAGAAGGCCGAGCTCCTCGATTTTGGAGAGCGTGAGACCGGAGGACTCGAGCTTGGAGAGCAGACCGGCCTTCTCGACCTGCGAGAGAAGCTTCTTCTTCTCCAGCTGCTGCACGATGTTCACGGGAGCGGACTCGGAATCCTCGACGAAGATCCCGTACCCGATGAACTCCTTCCTCCAGTCGTCAAGGTAGGTGTTGACCTGCGTGGGGTAGAAGCATTATGATAGGTGAGAAGCTTAACAAAAGGGAAGTTAAAAAAGTTTGACCGAATTGCGCTTAATCCCATTTGAGTTGCCATCCTATTGCCCGCAAGTGGAAGAAACGTGACAATGAGGTTCGTATGATTAATTTTCTTAGAAGTTGCATCTTCCGAGTGTACTGCTTAGATTGAAAACTTACCTTCTTCTTGGTCGCCATGGCGACGACGCGAGACTGGCATCGTGCGACATTGAGCGACTTCAGGCCCTTCACGGAAGAAGAGTCCGAAAAGCCGAGAGCAGTGGCTGCTCCGGCCACAACTTGGCACTGTGAGAGAGCACGGACGGTAGCCATTGCTGATAGTCTGTTAATCTCTCGTAAGTGCTCAAGTTACTGGTGACTCTGAAAATCACCTTGAACGGCTGTGCTGGAAAAGTAAACGACTACTGAAGCTTGAGTTTCAGGTGCGACTAGCGGTTTTACATCAGTTGATCTTGGGGGTCCTCGGAACTAGGATGGGGGGAGGAACTTGATACTGCTGGCAGTGCTTGGAGAATCTGGCGAAACTTGATCGTGCGGACAACACGAGAGGCGAAAATTGGGCGAAGGCTGACATGATTGATCCAACGATCATGGACACATCTACTTTGTTCCTCAAACAAGGGGTGGTATGAGGCCCGCGAGCTGTGAGTTGCTATAACGAAATCATGGCCGGGAAGCACAAGGTTGTGCTCGTTGTGCTGCCATGTAGGCAGTGTTCTGGGTGAAATTCTTGTGCTGTAATTGGTCAGCCAGCAACGATGGAAACTCGTGGCGCTCAGAGCACGGAGCCCATTTACGTGGATTTTCACATAACCAATCAACGAAGGATACTCACTTTCCGGATTTCGCAAGGGCGACTCTCGAAACACGTGCCTGTGATAAGCCTGCCCAGCACAGGGTACCAGGGCGAAGAATACATGTGTTACAAAAGATTGGCGAAATCTCCAGATGTTGAGTACTACAATTTTCTTCTCAACTAAAGAATACAACTCAACCATATTGGTATCAATTGGGGCAACACGGGAAAAGATGCTTGTATTATATTTCGGCCAACAAAAGAAACGATGCGTCGTGGCCTTAATTTGGCTCTTCCCTCTGCAACTGGAAAGGCTCAACATTTCCAAGCAGGGGAAGCAGCATGCTTCGCACAGCATTCCCTTGCACATACGATTCCTCCCGCACTGCTAGATGTGCAAATTTGCATGCAGCCTCGTCTGAAAACGCCAACGTCCACCGCCCATCCGCCAAGCGTTTGGTGCGGGCTCGCGAGCCCATGGGGGAACGAGAGGCGAGAGTACCAGCATCGGAGGCCGGGGCCTGGGGCGAGCGGATGCGCAGATGCAGCCAGCGCTTGTGCTTCGGGTCGAGTGATGGCTGATGTATGGGGCAGGGTGCATGAAGGGAACTTAATATGCTAGGGACGGTGCAGCACGTGCGAGGCATACATCAAGTGCCATCAGGGTTCAGAAATGAAATCCTCAAGCGTGGAGGAAAAGGAAGAGCTTGACGTGAATTTAAAGCAAGAGCTAGTACAGCTATGGAGTGGGGAGCAGCGGAGCATGGCAGGCACTTGTAAAAGGAGCTGGTGGATTGCTTGATAAAAAGCAAGAAAGAAAGGAAGAAAAATAAGAGCTCGCAGCAGGGATTCACCAACCTGGCAGCCTGCGAGGGGAGCGACAACACGGACGATCCCTGTGGCCCCTTCGGCCACAGCAGCCTTGGCTGTCATTCCAGCAGGCGGCTCTGCCAGCAGCACCCAGCCGTTGGCCGCACAGGAGGCCACCAGCAGCAGCACGTACTTCTCCTTGCCTCGCTCGAAGGCCACTCGGCATGGGATGGCGTCGCCAGGCTCTGGGGGAAGGCCGGGAGAGAAAGGAGGCATCATGTGATGAAACATTTAGATCAAAGACTGGGCAAAGCGATAGCGCTGAGGGAGGGAATGCATAACTAAGGAGGGAGTAGACAGAGGGAGGAGGTGGATGCACCCTAAACCCTAAGCTGATCTGAATGCACCTTGGTGCCTTACTGCACCTGTGGCAGGCTGTGCATGTTCTAAGTCGACTCAAAACGGGAGGGCCTCGCCTCAACACACCATAGTGCCTTCCTAAGCCTGTAGTAGGCTGAGCCTATTACAGAATCGGCGGGAAAAGGAGGCACTGACCTAGAGGCACCTCGGTGCCTTCCTGTGCCTGTGGCAGATTGAGGCCCTTGCGGCCGAATCGGGCGTCGAGAGGGGGAGGGGCTGCTGTGGCGAGAGGAGGGACGTCTGGGAGAGGCAGGCCGAGCAGCGTGGCTCTCATCTGATGCAACGCTACGTACACCTGAGAGGGAGGGAGAAGGGAATTGATTCTTGAAAATTAAGAAGAAAAGGAAGAAGAAAAAAAACGCTAACATCCAAGCAGCTTGGCTCTCATCCGATGCAAGGCCACGTACACCTGAGAGACAAGGAGGGAGGACGGGAATGGTCGTTGGAAACTTTAAACAACCACCTAAGCCGAGAGTGAGTGTGTGAGGAAAAGAAAGGCTGGATTTCCATGCGTTTAAAAAGCCTGCATCTGGTCAGTCACACCCATCTTGACCAAGCAACCCACCTTGACCTCGAAAGTCAGCTTATTACAATGTCACCAAGCAAACCCACCTTGACCACGGTGCGCATTCTCTCGCCAAACGCTGCTGAAGACGAGTCACCTGCCATGCAACAAAGTGAGAAAAACACAGGGCTTCAGTATGTTCCAAAAATCGAGTAACTAGGACAGCTTATGTACATCGAAGCGGGGTGGTTCTTGCTGCAACGTGGATGCAGAGCGAGAATAAAACAAAACGAAACAAAACAAGACAAACCGAAGCGAAACGTGAGAAAAAAAACAAGCACCCGCTTGCACCCGAGGCCAGCACCAACAACAGCTCAGTTTACCATGTCCATACCACACGCCAATGAAAATGCACAGGGGATCTTACAGGTCAGCTGTGAGAGTCTCGACGATTCACCTAGCAACGTTTGCGCACATACCGTCAGTGAGGAGGGGAGGGAGGCTGGGCATGAGGACAAGAGAGGAGTCGTTGGCCAGCGTGGCTGATTCCAGTGCTGTTGCGGGAGAGACACGCATGGGGAGAAATGGAGAGAGTCGAGGGAGGCTTAGAGAGGTGGAGGTTGGAGTGAAACAACGAGTTGACAACTGACCCATGGAGTGAATCAGTAACTCGACCTGAAGGGACAAGACAAGAAGGCAGAAGAGTGAAGAGTGGATGAGTGGAGGAGGACGAGACGAGAGATAGGGTGCACAAAGAGGAAACTGTGGGACAGTGAGCGTCAGAGAATGACTCGAGATGTTACAGACTCCTCACACACACCCTTGCACCGCTCTGTACCTTTCCGGCATGCTTTCCACTCCTCCACCATAGCAGCAGGCAGCATGTCACACCAGCATTCCAGCAGCTCCCCCACCAGGTCGCCACGTGCCAGCTCGTATGCATGCTGTGAGATGTGATATGGGACGAGGGAAAAGGGAGGGACCAGGTGTAACTTGTAGAAGCTAGAGAAAAATGAGCCATACGGAATGCCTCAAGCTTCATGACGTGCCAGCAGTATAATGGATTCCCGCAAATGGTCACTGCGCGCCAGGTCATATGCTTGTTGCAAGCGGTGATATGGGAAGAGAAAAAGGGAGGGACAAACAACGAACCATAAAGGCTAGCATTAGGGGTGAACGGCAAAGCAGATCATAAACACAGTGTACATCTGCTTGTTGTGCATAGCAGCAAAAAGGAACCGAGATCAAGCAAACATACAGTGAGCAGCTTCTTGTGCGCTGACTGCAGGCGATGGCTGGACGGCAGCAGCTGGCGCAGCAGCCAGCCCGCGTGCCACAGGGCTTCAGGTGAGGGCGGCGGTCTCTTGCACAGCAGCACAAACACCGTGTCCACCACCTGCGGGTGGAGGTGCGGGCGGGGAGGGGAGAGGGGAGGAAGGAGGACAGGAGGGAGGGGGGAGGAAGGAGGGGAGTAAATAAGACATAAATGAACGGTCTCTTGCACAACAGCACAAACACCGTCTCCACCACCTGGTGGTGAAGGTGGGGAGCGCAGAGGGGTAAAATAAATGGGACAAAAGAGACGCGGTCTCTTGCACAGCAGCACAAACACCATATCCACCAGCTGGAGGTGGGAATCGTGGGGGGTGGGGGGAGGGGATAAGGTCGAGACATCATCATGTAAGCATGGCATCCTACCACCATCCATTGGTCGTGTGAACATGTCATCATGCCACCACCCTTTGGTCGTGTGACCATGCTATCATGCCACCACGCAATCATAATAGCAGCATGGCATGGCTTAACACCACTGCACCATCACACACCTGTCGTCTCTTTCTGTTGTGCTGTTTTGATGACGGGGTGTCTGCCCCACCGCACCCACACGTTGAACACCTGAATGGAGATGCCTGGAGGGGGAGAAGAGGATGGGGAGGGGTTGTCACGCAGGAAAACACGTTCTGACACGTATTAAGCCTCGCTGCACGCCAATGGGAGCTTTGGGAAACAGCAAGTGGGCTTACCGGCGGACAGGAAGACAGGGAGATGGGGAGTTGAAGGTTGGACACAAGTGGAGCTAAGGTGAGACACACCTGATTCCGCTAAGGACTATTGAACAGCAAAGACTGCTCGTTTGCTCACCTTCCCCTCGGCTCGATCCCGCTGCTCATCCAGCACCGCGCCTCCTCCCCCTCCTCTCTCATCCCCCCCAACTTCACCTCCTCCCCCCCTCCCTCCGCCATCACCATCACGCCCCCCTACTCCTTCACCCCCCTCCCCACTACCCCCCTCCCCGCCACCCCCCACAGCCATGAACCTACTCCCTAGCACCGGTCCTGCTCCTGCCCCCACTGCCCATCGCCCACTGCCCGACCCTCTGCTGCTGCCACACTCGCTGCACTCACCCCTGCTACTGTCACCTCTCAACTCCGCCCTAGCTGCTACAGATGATCCAGACACAGAGCCGGCATCAGAACCTGCTGCTGGTGCTGGTGCCACAGCCGCATCTCCTCCTGATCCCAATGGTGCCTCTGCTGCCCCATGTGACAGCCTATCAGCCTCCCTGCCGGCCTCCGCACTTTCTCCTGCTCCCCCTCCGCCCCGCCCTGCCTCTGCTTGCTTCCCCCCCTCCACTGCATCACTGTCCTGCCGCCTCAGCAGTCGCTTCAGCTGCTCCTCTGATTGGTTGCCCACCAAAGCCTCCTGCCATGTGCGAATAAGAGAAGAGGGGGAGCAGCGCGGGGGTCGGAAGGAAAATAGGACCCCGATTCAGATCCAGCATAGATTCCATCCCAGCATAAATTGCATCCGATCTGTTTCGAATTGCCTTAAACGTTCACCACCACAAAGCAGAGGCCTCATGATGGACCTTTGGAAGTGAGCAGTCCATGCCACTCCTCAGCAAGCACCATTCCCCAAGCAGGTGCCTACATGGAGAGAAAAATCAGCAAGGGCAGCGGCATGGAGAGCAAGGGCGAGGGCGCAAGGGACGACTTACCACAGGAAGCCGTCGGTGGCAGCGGTTGCATGGCTTCTTTTTATTTCGTTCTTTCTTTCTTTTTTGAGGCGCCTCAAAGGGCGAGGGCGCAGTGCAAGGGGCGACTTACCACAAGGAGCCGTCGGTGGCGGCGGTTGCACGGCAGCATGCCCAGCTCCTCCAGTAATGAGTCGTGCACCGCTGGAGGGTTTGCAGGGGTGGCATGCGAAAGAAAATCACACAGGCTCTGAAGCAGAACAGAATCAATCACAGGAAATGCGAAAAGTGAACGTTCTTTTTCCCTCTTGCTGGCTTTGCCCCTCCTTCCTCGATCTCCATCCCTCATCAGCTTCGCATATCAAGCACCCCAGCTGAAGTGATTCATCCTAACTACCCTCATTTCCCCCCTGCCGCCCTGCCCCGCCCACCTGTGTTCTGCAGCAGACCGCAGAGCACACAGAGTGACGCCAGCACCCACCGCTCGTTGTTGCACAGCAGATACGACACTATTGTGTCCCTGGGGGCGAGAGACAATGGGGGCGCGAGATTGAGATGGGCCGGAGATTGAGGGCGGGGGAATGAGGAGAGGAAAGGGAAACAGTGAAACACTGACGCCGGAATGGATTGAAGAACACGGCCTCAGTACTGGTGGAGTGTGAGGTGGGCAGAAGCGTACCAGCACTTGCAGCAGTTGGGATGGGGATCGGAGGTGGACGGGAAGCAGAGGAGGGGATGAAGCAGCAGAGGAGGCGGCAGGGGAACATACCAAGCGCTGGCGGTGGGGTCAAGGTCCAGAATGATGGTGTCTGAAGCACGGCACTGCTTCCTGTTTTGGGGCGCCTGAAATATCTTTCCTGTTTTTGAGGCACCTATAGAAACGTACCAGGCGCTGGCGGTGGGGTCGAGGTCGAGAATGATGGTGTCAGACGCATGGCGCTGCTTCCTGTACGGGGAGCTCCTGTGGGGCGAGCTGAAGCTCCTCTGCGGCGAATCCGAGCTCTCATTCGGCTGCGGGGAGTCTGAGATCTTGTTGCGCAGGGGTGAATCGGTAAGGCTCCTGCTGCTGCCACTGCTCTGGGTCCTTAGGTGCCTGCGAGCCGACAGAGCCGGCCTGTCTCGTGCCGATGCTGACCGCACAACACCGCTCCTACCACCACTGCGATTCCCATCGTCTCCAGTTCCCTTATCTTCCCCATGCTTGCCTTCTCCCTCCTCTCTTCCAGCAACATAACCATTCGGCGCGTCCGCTGCTGCTGCAATTTCCCTCGCCTCCCCTACTCTCTCACCTCCTTTCTCCCCTGCTTCCTCACCGCCCCCATCTCTGCTGTCCCTCCCGTCCTGGACCTCTGAGAAGGAACCCCCAGGCGAGTCCGCATCTTCACGCCTTGCTGACAGTGGCCACTTGGCTTTCTTCCCCTCTGCCCTGTCTGCTGCTGCTGCACTCCCCCCTCCATCCCTCCCTTCTGCTGCTGAGGCGACTGGAGGGGGGACTGGAGGTCTGGCAGAGAGGTGATGGGATTCGGACAACCTGTGACCTGCTGCTGCTGCTCCTGCTGTGCCTGCTGCCGCCGCAGCCGCTGCTCCTACCAATGCTGCTGCCGCACCACCAGAATCTCCCTTCCTCCCTTTTCCAAACTCAAGCTCACCATCCTGCACCCCAAAATCCGCAGAGCTCGATGCGCTTCTGCTCCTCCTCACCTGCTGCTTCTCCTGCCGTTTCTCCTGCAGTTTTTCCTGCTGCTTCTCCCGCGGATTCCCCTGCTGCTGTTGGAACTCGTACAGCTGCGGCAGCACCCCGTCAGAGCCAGCAGGGCTGGCGGAAAGGGAGGCGGCGATGGAGCGAGTGGCGGTGTCGAGGAAGGGGCGGTACGTCACCACGTGCAGCACACGCGACAGCAGATACATGGCGCACAGCGGCGATATGCGCTTGGCCTGGAACAGCAGGGAGGGATGAGGGGGACGAGACATGAGCAGCGATGAAGGGGACGTGACGAGAAATTGGAGGTACGGGGCCATTCAGAGGAGGGACGAGCAATGCATGGTCAGACATCCGCAACACACTCACATTGGGCGAGCCGGATTCGGGGGAGAGCGAGGCAAGCAGCACAGGGAAGACCCAGATGCTGAGGAGGTGCTCTGAGACGACCTCTGAGAGCTGCGGGATGCCGGCACTCATGACGTCGTTGCAGTAGTACAGCAGATCGCCTATCTCTGCTATTGACGCCTCCACTCGCCCTACATCCACTATCGACCCAAAGTTCCTGTGGTGAGGCGAGTGGGTGGGTGTGTGGGTGGGAGGATGGGTGGGTGGGTGGATGGGTGGGTGGGGAGGAGGCACACAGGCAGGGAGGGGTGAGAGCTGTGGGATATCCATGCTCATGACATCGTTGCAGTAGTACAGCAGATGGCCTATCTCCGCTAGCGACGCCTCCACTCGCCCCACGTCCACTATCGACCCAAAGTTCCTGTGTTTAGGTGAATGGGTGGGTGTGGGGGCGGCACAGGAAGGGAGGATGGAGAGCTGTGTGAGCCGACGGTCTCATGAGATCGGCTTACCCAGTTCTCACTCTCCCTGCCCTTGCAGTAGCAGTGGTAGACCAGACCACCAACATATCCACCCACCCATCGACCCAGCATAGTGCCCATTCACTCATTCATTCACCCATGCCCACGCACCCACCCACCCACCCACCCACCCACCTGTGACCCACCCACCTGACAGCGTTGGCAACGAGGCGGGCGAGTGTGAAGCTCTGCTGGCGCACGAAGATGGCGAGGTCCTCAAAGTACCGGATGGCTGACGGACTCAGCACAAAGCGGTTTGCACGCTCGTCATGCACTGGTGGGGGGGGTAGGCAGGGTGGGGGAGTTGGGAGGAGGCGGGAAGGGAAGGGGGGATGGGAAATGGGGAAGGGGTTGGTTTGAATGAAAGGGAAATGTGAGGAACCCGAGACAGCACGGTGCTGCTTGTGCACTGGTGGGGATGCAAGGGCGAGGCTCTGCTGCTGGCGCACGAAGATGGCGAGGTCCTCAAAGTACCGGATGGCTGACAGGCTCAGCACAAAGCGATTTGTACGCTCGTCACGCGCTGGTGGGGAGAGGACGAGGGGTGGGGGAGAAAGCGGTTTGAATGAAACGGCAATGTGTGGAACCCGACACAGCACGGTGTGAGTCATCATGCACGGGCCGAACGGCAGGGTGGGTGCGGACAATGGACGACAGGGGACGGATGGGGAGTGGCAGTGGCAACGCATGGTATTATGGTTGGAAAGGGGAAGTGACACTTGGGAAGGAAAGAAGGTGACCAGAGAGTTTCATGCAAGGAACGAACACATGGAGGAGGGAGAGAAACGGGATACCATTGTAGATGGTGAGGGTGAGAGTGCGCACGGCGATGCGGACCATGCTCTCCTCGTGGTGGAAGAAACGAATTGCCTCCACATACAGAGGGAAGGCGCTGCTGCCATCCTGCCATGCCATGCCACCACCATACAACCATTCCACATCACCATACAACCAAATGGAAGTCATTATATAACTATACCACGCCACGCCACCATCCAGATTAACCAGTCCATGTCACCATCGAATCATTCCTTGTCACCATCCATGCATTCCATGTCAGCACGCAATCATGTGCGCATTCCACAACCATACAAGCCAAGCAGCTGCTGGATCAGTATCCCAATGCCATGGGATAAACTAAGAACCGAGAATGGTGAGCGGATGCAGATGCAACGCAGTGCACAGCACAACACAATGCCTGCTGCAGCATCAGACTGGCCAACCGGGCCAACCGGTTTTTACAAAGCCAAGGCAACCGGTAGGCAAAGTTTATCTACACTTGTATGATGGTGTCGTCCACGCTGCTGAATGCTACAGGTTCAGATCGGTACAGAGCGGTGGTGTGTGGCGCACCTCCTTTTCCACGATGAAGTATGAGATGGTTGACTTGTCCAGCTTCATGCTCAGCGTTCTGCCATGGGAGGGTGGGAGGGCATGCACAGACAGCACACAGACACGTGCTAGTGCACGTATGAGGGCAGTGACCTCATGCAGCAGCACATGGATGCAAACATGAGCTCCTATGCCCAGTTCGTAATGCATGTGCATGCACACACGGGTATGATGCAATTTTTCACTAATCAAGCAATAAACAGCTAATAGAGACATGGTCGATGATTGGAGAAGTCATGGTGGGGGGGGCAAGCACACACGAGGCGCTCGCTCACTTGAGGAAGGAGATGTAGTATGCGAGCAACTCCTCGTCGGAGAAGTCAAAGGGGAAGGAGATGACGTTGTTGATGTGCTCCTTGCTGAACATGTAGTCTGCAGGGCCAAGGTGTTCGGTGTGGTGGTGAGAGGGCGTAAAAAGGTGAGGGAATGGAGGGTGGGGAAGTGAGGAGTGCGGAGGGGGTTGAGGTGGATCAAACGACATGACGTGGTTGATATGCTCCTTGCTGAACATGTAGTCTGCCTGGCCATGGTGTTGGATGTAGAGTGGAGGATTCCTTTCACAGTCACAGAAGCCTTTTCACTCTTGGGGTTCTAAATCATGAAGTTGAGCGTTCACATGTTCCCTTATTACGCTCCAAATAGGTTAAGACTTCACACGCGCCCTATTCACACTCACAAATGGCTTTTCTCGCTCTTGAGGTTCTGAATCATGAGGTTGGGCGTCCACATGTGCCTTTTCCACACTCACAGATGGCTTTCTCGCTCTTGAGGTTCTGAATCATGAGGTTGGGCGTCCACATGTGCCTTTTCCACACTCACAGTCACAGATGGCTTTCTCGCTCTTGAGGTTCTGAATCATGAGGTTGGGCGTCCGCATGTGCCTTTTCCACACTCACAGATGGCTTTCTCGCTCTTGAGGTTCTGAATCATGAGGTTGGGCGTCCACATGTGCCTTTTCCACACTCACATATGGCTTTCTCGCTCTTAAGGTTCTGGATCATGAGGTTGAGCGTCTGCAGCAGCTGCACCATGACCCCCTCGCACAGCGGCGACGGCTGATTGGCCAGTGCCATGATGCGGATGAACTGCGCAAATACGCCCTGCTCCACAAAGAACCTGCGCACAGCGGGAAGAGGGAGGCCGGAGGCAAGGTTGAGAGTAAGACCAGAGCACGAATACGCCCAGCTCCACAAACATGTGTACAGCAGGTGAGTGGGTGGGCGGGTTGAGAGAGAGACCACGCACACGCCCTGCTCCATGAAGAGCCTCCGGGAAGGCGGCGAGTGAAACAAAAGCACGTTACGAACATTCTCAAGTCAAAAAGCATGTCCACGTGCACTCATAGATCAATGTGCAAATGCAGTCTCGAGCCTAGAACGCATATTGCACAGATAGCATGCACGCATGCGCAAATGCAGTCTTGACCGCGTAAAGCAGAGTTCAGGGTGAACTACCTAGAAGAGCATTCATTCTGAATAGCTATCGTAAGAGACCGTGACTCGTACAAGTTCGCAACCAGACAAATGTTCACGAACTCAAGAAATGCAGTCAGAAACGCGATAAAACCAATAATAATACCCCCCTCTCCTGAGCTTACTCGAAAAATGCAGGCTCGTGCTGGTCCCCCCATATCATCAGCTCCGCTATAGACCTCAACGTCTCCACCACGGTGTCCTGATGGAATCAAAATGCAAACAGGAACAGCTCCAGCGAGAGAGATTAAGAAAGGAGGGGAAGGCATGGACAAATCTCTATAACCTCTTTGCACGGGATCATTGGGACCGAGACGCTTTAAACAGGGCTGGTGACTACAAAGAACCGTTAAGATTGTAAAGCGTGTTACGATGCTCGTATTGCGACATGGCTTGTCTCGAACGAACCTTGTTCGCATCGCTGATGATTGTGTGTTTCTGAAGCACGTCGTTGAGATGCCTGAAAGAATGAATAAGGAAGTAAAGGAGGTCTGGAAATTAGTAAACTAAACAGCGAAGTGTTCGGACTAGCAGGACGAAGCGTATGTAAATAATCATCATCATCATAAAAACGGAAATAATCCGCACGTCAACCGCCTTGCTTCCAATACGTCTTTACAACCTAGAAACGCCGATGCTTACTTCAACTCTTCGAGCGAGAAGCGCTCTCGCTGTTTTCCCCAGATCGCCCACATGATGCACCACCGCTCTCACTCCGACTCGTTCCGTGGAGGCCAGAAACGAATCCGCACCTATAGACACCTAGCCCCGCGTCGCATCAGAGAAACCACGACAAGCCCCCGTACGAATAACTAATCTTCACGAAGGATGCCAGAACTAAGGAGGACGGCAGTGAAGGCCAACGGACCCACAAAGACCTGCAGGACAATGGGGGGATGGGGTCGGATGGTTGGTCGGCCCTCGATATTGTCCCAGGTGCTGGCGGAAAAGCGCAACGGGCAAGTGAACAAGCCTTGGGCGTGACATGACGAACTGGCGAGACCTCGCGAACGAGCGTAACGAACGCATCCACAGTGGGAAGTCCGTATGATGACTTCGCTACACACTTGAATCCTCACAACACCAAAAGCCCAGTTTCTTGCCAAATGGGCCAAAGCATCTTCACCTCTTTGAGTTATTTGAGGGAAAATATATCAGTGGTGAAACTCAACTCAACACTCCATCGTCGTCATCTCTTAATCCCTTGCTTACAAAATAACTAACCTAATAAAACCGTGTGATGATGTGGAACTCGTCATCCTCCATCACCCGAACATCCTTGGCCCCTGGGAAGTGCTCGAGCCCTATCGCATGCACAATGTCCACGAACTTCTGCCGGCTCTCCTTATTCAGCGGCACATATGGCAGGCGGAAGACAGGCCTGACGAGCCCTAGCTGGCACAGTGCGGTGTTGAGGCCGATGGGGTTCGGCTCCACAAATAGCCAGTTCACTAGAGGAGCGATTTTCGCGTTCAGCTCTGGATTCGGACCCTTCAGCAGCTGGCTCACGATTCCTGTGTAGTGAATGCCACATCCAAAGCACCATCCAATGTCAAGGAGAGAACAATGCACGAGTGAGAAATGTAGGATTGGAGTAACAAGGAAAAGGTGTTGGAGCATCAGAAAGAGGTTCACAGAGAACAGACTAAAATTCCAGAATAAACCAAAGACAAGGAGGATGGGGAAAGAAGTGACTTGCCTGGAACAAGATTGCTGACGACGGAGATAACGCCTTGCCCACCGTGGTTCCACTTGGCATCATGGAACTGGTCATCGTTGCCGCTCCACGCCACAATGCCCTTCTCTGCGTACCCGTGGATGCGCTCATTGCCTGCGCACTCCTTCACCCCGGCAAAGTTCTCGTGCGTGGCAATGGCCTCGATGACTGAGGGAGGAATGTCCTGCCCCGTTCTGCCCGGCACATTGTACACTATGGCCGGGCCCATGGGCAGCACCACACTGCAGGGGAGGCGGGGAACGTGGGGGGAAGGTGGAGAGGGGTTCATTTAGGAATGCCTGGCACATTGTACACTATGGCTGGGCCCATGGGCAGCACCACACTGCAGTGGGGGAGGGAGAGAGGAGACGGGGGTGGTTGGTTGTGAGGGAGAAGGGTAGGAGAGAGAAGGGATGCCACTCGGGCCTATGGGCAGCAACACACTCCGTGGGAGGCGGGAAAAGGGGGCTTGGCGGTTGATGTTGGGGTATGTTAGAATGACTGGTATGTTACACAGAATTGCCGAGCCCATGACCCGCAGAGGGGCGGGGGGAGGGGTGTGACAACATGGTTGAGAGAGGTGACGGGAGGGAAAATGGATTGTTGAGTGTTGGAAGAGTGAAGAAGAAGAACCACACGCGGAGGCGGGGGTTGTGGTTGGGGAGGGGATAGTATGGCAGAACGTGAGGAAACCGTGAGAGGGTGGTGTGGAGATAGTGCGGAGACTAGAGGTTCGGTCACCGAAGGAATCCATGGCGAGTCCATAAAAAACTGTCACCATCGCCTGCTGCTTTGGAGCTATCACCTCTCTTTTGCAGATCGACAGGCCAAGGCAGGCACTCACACAGAATGGTTCAGAAACTCGCCGAGGCAGGTAGGAACTCACTCGAAATGACTCTTGAGTCCGTCCAGCGACGTCTTGCCGTAGTAAGGGTTGATCTGCAGCGCGGCGTGCATGCCCACAGCGAAGCCCTGCTCGGTCGCATGCATGGCCTCGCGCGTGCTGTTGCTGCCCGTGTTGCCCACGATCTTGAGCTTGTTGCCGAAGCAGTACACGGAGTGCGCGATCAGCATCACGTGCTCGTCCCAGCTCATCAGGTGCCCCTCGCCCGTGGTCCCGCCCACGATCAACCCCTCTGCACCGTTCTCGATCTGGTGGTGCACCAGCTCGTCGTACGCGTCGAGATCGAAGCGGCCGTCTGGGAGGTACGGCGTCTTGATGGCCGTTATGAGCGAGAGCGCCTTGATCTGCTCGATGTGCGGCCTGCGGCGGAGGGGGAGGGAAAGAAAAGGGAGGGATACGAGGGTGTGAGTTGGGACGCTGGCCGTGATCTGCTCGCTGCGTGGGCTGTGGGGGATGGAGAGGAGAGACGACGGAGGGAGGTTATTGGTGGGGGGAAGGAGTATGACTGTGAGTTGGAACAGGGGGGGGAGGAAGGATAAATCGGTGAGAAGGGATATTGGAGACAATTACGGTACTCAGAGCTGTTTCGGAACAATTTGAACCTTCGAGATGAGTGGGGAAAGGAACCCAGCTCACGTGTTCCATCTGTTTGATTATCTGTTATGTAACTTTAATGCTTGCGTTGCGTATAATCACTCAATTTCTAGCCATTCACCCAGTTCGGATTCCTCGGACTAATTCATAACTTCCAGCCGGACAGAGTTGCCGCCAGTAACATAAAAGCATCATGGACGTGCATTATAGGCCGCTCAAGAACAAGCGGAAGGAGGGGCCTAAAAAAAAAAAGGCACTCGCTGAGAAGATTATCCTCGCCCTCTCATCTGCTCCTCCTACCCGGCATCAAAGCTTGAAAAACACTCCAAATACTTCCTCATTTCAACCAGATGCCAAGAAAACTGCGGGGTGCTACTCGAAGACCAGAACAACAGGACGAGGTCAAGACTTTCATGATCACATCCAGGCGTGCAAGGGTTTAGAGTTTTTCTCTTTGTTGCTTCAAGATTGTGATTCGAAAGAGCCAGAATTACGAGGTGTAGGAACTGTGACGTACAGGTTTCGTTCCTCGTGGCTCTTCATCGGTACCGGCGGCGTCTCCATCATTGCTGCACGCAGCGAAAGTCGACAACCGTTGGATCTCCGGCTGCACGCCGCGTTCAACGGCATCTTAACGACGTTCGCGAATTCCGCACTCCTCGTGAAGGACGACTGCCCTAGCTTGACGTCGCGACACCGCACGGCTCCCACATCCAGAGACACGCTGGCAGCCATGAGCGGCGGTTGCGGGAGAAGCGGTAAGATGACACTCTTTTGAGAGATGCGGGGGCTGTGACCCTGGGCCTTGTACGAAGCGGCGACAACACAAATTACGGAAAGCAACGTGAGAGTCCCGAAAAAGGTAGTGCTTCGAGGTTGCAGGCACTGCAGTGGAGAGTGGAACTCCAAGCAAGAAGTATTCCGTCTGCGGACGAATGATGAGCTTTTGTGTGAATGGTATAAGGGCGGAGTCAGGTTGTACAACTACTTGTACGCCTACTGTGGTTAACTTCGTTTCAAAACGGTTCAGAGCGGTTAACGTCAAGAACCGCTTCTCACCGTATTGGACCGTCCTTGACCACGATATAAGAACTGTTAACGCGTGAGAAAATGTACAACCTGACTCCGCCCTAACTAGCGGATGAAATCTAGGGAGGAAGGGGTGGGGTCGAATTTGAGGCGAAGGGTGAGCTTCACGGGGACGGGATAAGCTCTGCCAGCACAAAGTTCCTTTTTTCGCCGGAAAATCTGCCACCCAAAGACCTTTTCCAGGTCTGCCCGTTGTTATTCGTACTCTCCATTGGTTGAGAGTGAGTGCAAAACGTGAAAGCAGACCGAGATTCGACTAGCACGCCCAATCATCAGAGGGGCTGTATTCTGACGTGGACGAGCGCTCGAATGGGGAGTATGCGATCACCGAGGTTTTGATTGGCCAGGGCTTTGCAGCCCGAATTGATGCGTAAATTCGCTGCAGAAAAAGATCCCCTATACGGCAAGAACCGTGATTTCTTATGCACGCAACGCCTGGAGAATGTGGGCTTCAACTTTCAACATATTCTAACCTGAACCTCCCTAATTTCGCATCCTGCTTGGAAATCTGTAAATTACTCCTACCAGGTGGCTACTAGCACTGTGTATAAACGACAGGCTCAAATCGGACCTCTCAATTGTGGCGGCAGTGTTATTGAGCCAAGAAGACTACAAACGCTCCATCGAAGTCGTCGATGCCTTCGATTCGACCTGTGCCGTCCTTGAAACTTATGGCAAGCACCAGAGTTCTTTCACAAACCAATGGAGGATGATACGCCTACATACATTTGGACCTAACACACCCCGTTAGGACGTCGCAGCCTCATGGTGAATGTGTGTCGGGAATTTCATTTCCTAAGCACTGGGATGAAGGGCGAAATCTCCCTTTCAAGCTCCTCCATGCTCCTCTCAAGCTGCTCCTGGAAATCCCTATCAACCTCTGTCACTGCCCGCCCATGCACCGCCACCGCCCGCTTGCACACCACCACAAACCGCACGATCGCATCTGTCAATGTCTCAACACCCGACGGTGACTGAAGCTTCAACGGGTCCTTGGGTCTCGGCTCCAGGCCATGAGGATTGGCCTCATAAAACGCCATACATACACCCAACACCCCGCTGTTAACCTGCAGCGCAACACTCCCTTGCAGCAGCCGCTGCAGCGTCTGTATCCGAGGCAGCCGTAGGGACCCGCTGGCTGTCGCAGCTGCGGCTATCAGAGCCGTCACTGCTGCTGGGTCCTGCGGCACTCGTCCCCCTCCTGCTCCTCCCATTCCCCCCCCTGCTCCTCCCCCCGCTCCCAACTGGCTCGCCATTTCCATCTCCAGTGCATGCGACCTGTTTTCTATGATCTCCACGGCGCATTGCAGCGGCGAGTACTCCCGAACCTCCGACCGAACCACCGGCTGCCGGCTGATCAGGCTCGGCAGCGTGCTCTGGGTGTACACCAGCGTCCGCCTCTTCCACTGGTCTTCCATCCGCCCGTGCTGCTTCCCGTTCGGCGTGAACGGCGTGTCAAAAAAGAAGCAATTAAACACCGGAGCTCCTGCCACGGCTGGGTCGATGGTTCGGCCGAGCCAGCGGTCGTCGCCAATCCCAACGACAGGCTCGACGGCGGTGATCTGCATGTAGACGAAGCCGGGCTTGAGGGCGGCGGGGTCCACCTGGCGCGAGTCCTGGATGACGTGGAGGGGCTCCTCATCAGGCTCACGCGCGTCATACAGCGATTTCAGCTTCTCCATAATGTCGCCCAGCCGTACCTCCCGTGGCTCTCGGTATATAAACTCCCTGCAGTGGGAAAGGGGTTCAGCATGTGTATGGTCAGGCGAAAATGCGGGCATGGGGCTCCTCGTCAGGCTTGCGTGCGCCGTAGAGCGATTTCAGCTTCTCCATGATGTCGCCCAGCCGTACTTCCCGAGGCTCCCGGTAGATAAACTCCCTGCGGTTGAAGGAGGGGGGAGGGGGGGGGGGGGAGGGGCAGCGTGTGCATGGTAAAGGAAAAGTGTGGCCATGGGGTTCCTTGTCGGGCTCGCGCGCGTCGTATAGCGATTTGAGCTTCTCCATGATGTCTCCCAGCCGTACTTCCCAAGGCTCCCGGTAGATGAACTCCCTGCAGGGGGGAAGGGGTTCAGCATGTGTATGGTCAGAGAAAAGTGCAGGTATGGGGCTCCTCATCGGGCTTGCACGCGTTATAGAGCGATTTGAGCTTCTCCATGATGTCGCCCAGCCGTACCTCCCTCGGCTCCCGGTAGATGAACTCCCTGCGGTTGGGACGGTAATTGAAAGAGGATGGCACGGCAATGAGTGGGGGGGTGACAAGGGGATAGGTTGGATGTGGACGAATGAACATTGAAGCAGCCTCAGGCCTGCAAAGGGCTACAAAAGGAACGGCTGCCATCGATGTGTCCATATTGTTTACCTGCCATCATTGTATCCAAATCGCTCACCTGCCATCGATGTATCCGAATCGCTCCCCGTAGAAGCCGACTCGATAGTATGTTGCGTCCTTGAAGGGGATTGGGTTCTGCTCCTGCGCCAGCACGTTGTCGTAGATGCCTGCGAGCGACGTGTGGCACTTGGACAGCTGCACAGGCGTGCAAAGGGGTGCACAGGGGTTTGATGATGTGTGGAAATTAGGAGCGTGAAGGAAGAAAGGGACTGGGGCGGGCTGTGCAGGTGCAGCAAGCCAAGGGATACCTGGACCAAACCAGGTTCCAGTGTAGAGGCACTGAGGGATGCTGCCCGTCTCGTCTCACCTGGAAGAAGTCGCGGCGGAAGCGGAAGACAGGGACGGTGAGGGAGAGCATCTCAGCGCAGAAGAGATCTCAGCACACGCCAGGCAATGTGCTCTGCATGCGTACTAATTAACGCCCTGAATGCACGCACACACAGCCACAGAAGGACGCTGCCCGTCTCGTACCTGGTAAAAATCCCGGCGGAAGCGGAAGACGGGGATGGTAAGGGAGAGCATCTCGGCGCAGAAGTGGAAGAGCTCGGCCTTGGCAAAGAAGCTGGACGCCATCTGCAAGTACTTCACCGCACTGTCCGTGTTCAGACACGTCGCCCCAAAGTCACTCTCCCCACCTCCCCCTGCTGCCGCTGCACCCGCGCTTCCCCCAGCGCCCTTGGAGGCGCTGTTGGGGAGGCGCGGGCGGGCGGAGGGGCGCGAGGGACGCGCACGCCACTGGTGGCGGGCGAGAGGGCAGACCCGCCAGAGCAGCTCCAGGTGCTCGGCTTCCCATGCGCACTCCCTTGTGGTGGACGCGTGCAGACCCTGTCATGCAGTGAGACAGGGCATGAGGAGGGAGACAAGACTAAGTGAGTCGGACAATCATGATCCAATTCCCCACAACAAACCTGCCACCCAACCCCCAGCCCTTCAGCCCTAACCCCAATCCAGTTCATCAGCTGTGTGGCTCACCCGAATGACCACCCCCGCCACGGAGACAGCGCACTGGGCGGCCTCGGCCCACTGGCTCATCTCCTGGTGCGCCTCACAGAGGTGCAGCATCCACATGATGTACAGGTCCGGCACGTGCCCGTACGCCTGCTCCCCTGCATGCGCACACTGCACCCTGTATGCCTATCTGCACCCCTGGACGCCTGCACTCATACCTTACCTGCCACCCTAAAACCGAATCTCTGAGCTTGAAACAGTCCAAATAATAAGCTATTTCTCACCCGAATGACCACCCCCGCCACGGAGACAGCGCACTGGGCGGCCTCGGCCCACTGGCTCATCTCCTGGTGCGCCTCACAGAGGTGCAGCATCCACATGATGTACAGGTCCGGCACGTGCCCGTACGCCTGCGCCAGGATATAGTAGCTCTCCACTATGGCATACCGGTCGTTCGATGTCTTCAGCCCCTCCATCTGCATGGGTGGGTGGGAGGTGGTGGTGGGAAGGACGGAAGGGAAGTTTGATGCACGTGCCCGTATGCCTGCGCCAGGATGTAGTAGCTCTCCACTATGGCGTACCGGTCGTTGGACGTCCTCAGGCCCTCCATCTGTGTCGGATGGGTGGCACGGGGTGGGTGGGAGCACGGAAGGGGGGATTGCGCGGTTGCTTTTAACATGTACCCGTACGCCTGCGCCCAAATGTAGCAGCTCTCCCCTATGGTGTACTGGTCGTTGGACGTCTTCAGCCCCTCCATCTGCATCGGATGGGTATGGGTGGGACGGGTTGGGTGGGAGCACAGAAGGGGGGAATGCGGGGTTGCATTCAACACGTGCCTGTACGCCTGTGCCACCATGGCGTAGCAATCGTTGGACGTCTTGAGCCCCTCCATCTGAATGGGAACAGAGACTGGTACTGTGCGGGGAACACGGAAAGGGGCATTGAGGGGCTGTGATTCCCATGTATTTGCCTGCACCGGCGGGATGTAGTAGCTGCGGTGCCGCATCCACCACGATGAGCAGCATGTCCTGCAGCTCAGCTCATCCACGTTCCTCCGCGACGTGAATACCCCACTGTGATTCATCAGCTACCCGTGCTGTAATCTAAAGGCACTACTGACTCACCAGCTGCTCATGCTGTGAGGCGGCATCCACAACAGTGAGCAGCATGCTCTGCAGCTCATCCACGTTCTTCCTGACATGAGTACCCCACTCTGATGAAACCACCACCACCACCGACTCACCAGCTGCTCATGCTGCGAGGCAGCATCCACCACGGTGAGCAGCATGTCCTGCAGCTCATCCACGTTCTTCCTCGACCACCGGTCCCGAATCCTCCTCTCCCTCCTCCTCCCCCGCCTGCCCCTCCTCCGCCTCCTCCTCCTCCCATTCTCCCCGTCATACTCATCCAAATCATCAAACTCCACCTCCTCATCCTCCTCCTCATCATAATCCTCCTCATCCTCATCCTCATCCTCCTCCTCCTCTTCATCATCCTCATCCTCCTCGTCTGCCTCTTCATCCCCCACCATGATTTCAAGGCACATGTCTGGCAGCCCGCTCTCTGCCAGCAGCCCGAACCACGTCTCTTCCGAGCCTAGCTCCTCCAATGAGAAGCGCAGCCGCTCCACCTCGAGAGACTCGGTGATCTCCCCGGGCCTGGCACCACGCTGCAGCAGGCGCAGCTGCATCATCACTTCAGAGAGAGCGACTGTGAGGATGACTCTCAGGTGGTGGACATTACCCATGTGCAGCAGGGCCGTCTGGGGAAAAAATTGGGGGTTGGGATGAGGGAGATTGGAAAGAGTGTATGAAGGGAAGACGGTAACATCCCAGGCACAGCCGCACAGCTGCATCATGACTTCGGAGAGAGCAACGGTCAGGATGACTCTCAGGTGGTGCACATTACCCATGTGCAGCAGGGCCGTCTGCGGAGGGAGGGAAGGGAAAAGGGAGAATGGGGGGAGGGGATGGAGGGTGTACGCGGGGTTAGGAAAGTAGCAGGCGCAGCTGCATCATGACTTCGGAGAGAGCGACTGCGAGGATGACTCGCAGGTGGTGCACGTTTCCCATGTGCAGCAGGGCCGTCTGGAGAAGGGGAAAGAAGGTGGAAGAGGGGAGCAGAAGAGAGACGGCAAAAGCTGGCGGCTCAAGTAGCAAGGCTCGAATAGTGGGCAGATGGTGGAAGGAAGGAGTTTGATGTTTAGTGAAGGAGGGAGAGAGGAGAGGGGGGAGCTGTATGCTCCCCCAGCTGTGCGGTTGCTGTCAACTACCAGACACTTTTATGGGGAGCACTTAACAATATACCTCAGTCCAAAGTCCAGCCATGCCCTCAGCTCACCCGCAGCAGCAGCAGCAAGCACAGCAGAGCTCGCTTGCGCACGAACTCGGGTTTGACAATGAGGCGTTTGAGCAGGTTGCCAAACATGTCCTTGAGCCGTGCATCGTTCGCGTTACTGCTCGCCAGCATCGCTCTGCCTTGAAACTTTCGGCTCTGCCAATCTGTTGTTTCTGAGTCCCCCCCAGCCTACTCACCCGGAGAAGCAGCAGCAAGCACAGCAGAGCTCGCTTGCGCACGAACTCGGGTTTGACAATGAGGCGTTTGAGCAGGTTGCCAAACATATCCTTGAGCCGCGCGTCGTTGGCCTTGCTGCTCGCCAGCATCGCTCTGCCTTGAAACTTTCGGCTCTGCCAGTCTGTTGTTTCTGAGTCCCCCCCAGCCTACTCACCCGAAGAAGCAGCAGCAAGCACAGTAGCGCTCGCTTGCGCACGAACTCGGGCTTGACAATGAGGCGTTTGAGCAGGTTCCCAAACATGTCCTTGAGCCGCGCGTCGTTCGCCTTGCTGCTCGCCAGCATGGCCCGGCCGTGCAGCCGCAGCATCTCTGCAAAGGCCGGCACAAACACCTCCCAGAACGACACCGGCTGGACGGGGGGGAGACGGAGGGGACAGTAGAGTGAGGGAGAGAGTTGCAAGGTGTATGAACGTGTGGAAAGAGCACTGCACCGTGCAGCCGCAGCATCTCCGCAAAGGCCGGCACAAACACCTCCCAGAACGACACCGGCTGGCCGGGAGAAACAGGAGAATGGGGCAGGAGAGGAAGGGAACAGGCGTTTTTGGGATAGAAGAGTTGGGGAGAGAGGTTTCGCTTGGAAGAATGTGTGTGCGGAAAGAGTGATGATTAGCTGTGTGTGTGCAGCCGCAGCGTCTCTGCAAAGGCTGGCACAAATATACACCTCCCAGAACGACACCGGCTGGCCAGGAGCAGAGCGAGGAGAGAGGCGGATGGCAGGGACAGCAGAGTGGCAGCAGAGAGTTTTGTACGTGTAAGGGCGAGAGGAATCAATTGAAGGCGTGCATCCATCCATCCATCTAGTGGAATGCCTTTTTTCATAGAAAGGGCACAAACACTAAGTGGCGCTGGACAGACAAGAAGCACGGTGCTGTGTGCCTCCACGTTTTACCTGGAGGCAGGCTAAGGGCAGGCGTTACCTGGGGCATGCTGAGGAGGGCGGAGATGGGCCCAGTGAGGCAGTCCATGGTGTCATATTCCGTCACCACCGCGCCCTCCGCTGCCAGGTCACTAAATGGCTGGGGCAGGCTGAGGGCAGGCGTTACATGAGGCAGGCTTACCTGGGGCAGGCTCACCTGGGGCATGCTGAGGAGGGCGGAGATGGGCCCAGTGAGGCAGTCCATGGTGTCATAGTCCGTCACCACCGCCCCCTCCGCTGCCAGGTCGCTGAACTGCTCCAACACCTCCAGCACCTGCAGTGACACCCACCCTGCCATGGTGGCCTCCCACATGGCCTGAGCGAGGTGGAGGGGAAGGGGGGGAGGATGGACGGAGCAAGGTGAGGAAAGAGAGAGGGTACATTCCCAACCAGGTCGCTGAACTGCTCCAACACCTCTAGCACCTGCAGTGACACCCACCCTGCGATGGTTGCCTCCCACATGGCCTGGGTGGAGAGGTAGGGTTGTTAAGCAGGGGCAAAGTGAAGGCACAACCAGCCCAGCAAATCTGCTGTGAAAGCATATCCAATACCACCAGTAACAAGGGAAGCGAGCGTGAAAAGTGTAACCCCGACAACAAGCAAGAGGCCTGACAGTGGCTCACTCACTCACCAGCCTCTCGGAAGCAACGGGTGGCAAGCCTTGTCTGAGAATGGTCATGGCTTCCAGCGGCGCCACCCGGGCGCGTCTCAGCTCCTCCCGTAGCGGCACAGGCGGGCGGACAGGAGTCTGTGGTGGTGCGGCGGTGGAGGATACACCGCTGTACTTGCGCACTAGCTGCTCCCGCTCGCCACTCCCCTGAGGAAAAGTGGGGATTAGGGTAGGAAATGTGCAGAAGAGCAGAAGGATGGTGGGGTTGGGACAGCAATAGGCTGCGGTGGTGCAATGGTGGAGGATACATCGCTGTACTTGCGCACTAGCTGCTCCCGCACGCCACTCCCCTGGAATGGGTGCAGAAGGTGGGAATGGGAATGGAATAAGAGTGTTTTGAGACGTCTCAAAACAACTCCCGCTCGCCCCCCCCCTGGAATGGGTGCAGGGGGAGGGAATGGGACTAGAATGAGAGATTGGTTGAGGCTTCTCCCCCAGCGATATCGTTAGGTGGGGCTCCGAGGTCCAGGTGGGGTGTGTGTTGGGGAGAAGGCAGAAGAGAAGTCAGGTGGAACAGATTCAAGTTGTCGAAGAAGCATGGAATAGCTGTGATACGGTCCACTTAGCTCGCTACACGATTCGCCCAAAAAACTAAGGTTTCTCTTTTAAGCCCCCTCACATGGATTTCTTGTCCCCCCACTCTCCTGCATGCCCACAGGGATTGCCCTCCCTCCCTTACTGTCTCCCTGCCTGCCTGCCTGCCTGCCTCCACCAGTTCAGCTCCCTGTTACCGGGCACCTCTGAGTCAACCCACGGCACTCTCTCTTACCATAACATTGGTACGTGTAGGCACAGAATAGAATGATGAGGTAACATACCATTACAATATACCACCCACCCACAGCTCTCGTTTACTCCCCACCTTGGAATCTGCGAGTGCCATGCTGTCAAGTGAGTGCGCCCTCACATGGCAGAGAGTGAGATGCGGTCGGAGTAGAGGGGGAAGGGCGGCAGGCCAAGGAGACTTCGGAATAGACTTAAACATGACTCTAACCACCCACGATTCTCATTCTCCCCACCTTGGAATCTGCGAGTGCCATGCTGTCAAGTGAGTCATTGGCAGAGAGGGAGATGCGGTCGGAGTAGAGTGGGAAGGGCGGCAGCTCCCCCTCGCTGCCTCCCTTGCGCCCCTTGCCGTCCAGGCTGTGATGGTTCCGCACCACTGCGCCCAGCTCGCCCGTGCTCACCCCCGTGCGCCCCGTGTACTGATGGGGAGAGGACGGTGGGTGACGAGAAGAGAGAAGGAGGATGGTGGGGGGGGATGAACGGAGATGAGAGTAGAGTTGAAAGAAAACAAAAGCACACAAAGAACGACTCATGCAGCAGCGAAAGAAGGGGGCGGCACACGGTGTAGCGGGGTGGGGCAGGGCGACAGCAGTCACCTGGAAGAGGAAGAGCGATTCCTGCAGCAGTGAGAAGAAGAGCTCTGTGCGAGCAGCGCTGTGCTTCCACGCCTTGAGAAGTGTCTCGCTGTCCACATGCCTCAGCACTGCCAGCACCGCCACCACAACCTGCCGCTTCTGCAGCACCCCCAGGCGCGTGAACACACGTGGCTCGTCCAGTAGCTGGGGACGAAGCAGAGGGGGAGAGAGTATGGGTGTGAGCGTGCAGGCACTGAGAGGGGGATAAGATAGCCATGCAGAATGACCATGGAAAATAACTGAATAAAGTACTGTGGGCATCAATCTAACTGACTTTGGAATCAATTACTCGACTGATCATGCCCTGGAAGGGAAGAGAGAATCTACCAAACTAGAGAGATATGGCCTACCTGGTTGGCTATGGGGAAGGAAATCGCAGGCTTTGAGATTTTCCAGAACCTTGAAGACGTGCCAAGAAGGTTGATTAGAAGCAGCACCTGGGTGACTATTGCGCACCTGGGTGACGAGTGCGCACCTGGGTGACGATGGGGAAGTAGAGCTGCGAGATGTAGAGCTTGAGGTCCGCCTGCTGGTAGCGCGCATCGTACTCGTGCTTGGCCAGCAGGAATGTCAGCATGCGCGATGCCTGTGAAAACAGCGAGGGGGGTGAGGATGGGAGAATTGTCAGTAAGAGGGGAATGCATGAGAATCTGAGAGTGCACAAGAGGTGGAAAGCATCGAACAATGCCACGGAATGTCACACAAAACGGCACGGCACGGCACGGCACGGCACGGCATAGCCTCACAGGCATCACACATGCTGACGTTCGGAAAAGGCAAGACAGCATGGCAGGAAACATCAGTCAGCAAGGCATGGCAGGCATAAGGCATGGCATGCATGGGCCATGGCGCGCACCGTGGCTCGCTGGTTGGGGTCGTCATGGTTCAAGCCTGTAAACAGGTCCTTCACCAGCACTGTCGACAGATAGTTCCTGAATGCGAAGCAGACAAGAGGGGGGACGGGAGAAGGTTAGGAAAAAGAGGAGAGAATGATTTTTGGCTTGCAATATATTTAAAGCCTGTGAGCAAGGCTCTTTACAGCTGGAAAGAACTAGGGAGTCATTCCCAGGCTTACTTTTCAGTGGGGCCACGGCTGGGTGTCTCAACAAAGAGGTCGTGGTCGCAGAGAATGCGGAGGAAGTGAAGTTTCAAGGAGTGCTGTTCTGCAGAACACGACTTTTGAGGCGCCTAACAAGGCATTCCAAGATAAACTTACTTTTCTGTGGGCCCTCGGCCGGGTGTCTCAACGAAGAGGTCGTGGTCGCAGAGGATGCGGAGGAAGTGCAGCTTGAGGGAGTGCTGGTTCGCTGGACACATGCCTGCTAGCTGCGACAGGAACAGCCCCACCTGGAAGGGGAGGGGGAGGACACAGGGTGGGAGAAGTTTGGTAGAGGGAGTGAAGTTAGTCACAAACATTCAACAGGTGCTGTGAACACGAGTTCAGTTAAATCAAAAAAGGGTTTTGAGAAGAGCTTACCAGCTCGAACACTTGAGGCGGGTCGACGACCGTAATGAGGTCGTAGCAGAAGAAGGCGAGGGAGTTGGTGAGGCGGCGCGCGAGGGGGTAGTCAGAGTCGGCCTTGTCCTGCACCTCGACCAGCAAGCACTCAAAGAGCTGCCGGATGCACAGAAACACCTCGTCCTCTAGCCTCAGCCGCGCTATCTCATCGCCTGGTGGAGTATTGTGCACGGCGGAAGATCAGGAGGAGAGAGGGTGATATTGAGTTCTGAGACGTCCCAAAACGTGATGTCAACACCTGGAGATGTTATGTGCAGGAGCTGGGTGTGGGTGGATAATGTTGAGCTGGCTAAAAAAACACTGGTATGACGATGTGCAGAGGATAGGAGAGGGGTGGGGGGGTTGAGGAGAGTTGAGGGAGGAAAGAGGGAAGGAGGGGAGTTAGAAGCATCCGAGGTGAGGATCTCTCAACAATGGATTCCTCAACAATGATCCCAGGACAATTGAACGTAAGCATCAGAGCAAGGACCATGCCTCTTTGTTCCATCTTGCTGCCTACCACGCAGTGGCACATCACGGAGGAAGGAATGCAGGCACAGCATGTCTCCAACCTAGCCTGCCCTGCACCACCCCTGCCAGCTCTAGCTGTGCGGCACTCTGCACATCTCAGCATATGCCACTCTCAGTGGCTCACCTTGTGGCACCTAGGCGAGCTCGAGGTCCATGGACTTGACGACCAGCTCCAGCACAACAAACCATGCCATGGACAGCGCCTGCATGACTTCGATGTAACCTCACCGTGCATGCGCCTCCCGTGCAGCTCTCACCTTGCGGCACCTGGGCGAGCTCGAGGTCCATGGACTTGACGACCAGCTCCAGCACAAACCATGCCATGGACAGCGCCTCGCTGTACACCGGACCTACTCGGAAGCCCCGGGACTGCAGGCTCGGGATGTGGAGGGAAGCCAGGACGGGGCGATTGGTAATTGAGATGGAAGTGGGCCATGTGGGCGGAATGGTGGTCGAGCAGTCACGCCGGTGAGAGAGCTTAAAAAGACGCACACATGATGCCCAATTATCAACCCTAACCTATGAGCAGCACCCCAACCCCATACAACACTAAGCCTAATCCCTGAGGCGGGATCACCTTGCTGCGGGCGAGGGAGCGCCAGACGTTGCTGAGGCCGGGGTAGACGGGGGGCTGCTGGCGGCCCAGGTCGTCAAACACAAAGTCCACAAAGTGCACCAGGAAGCGGTTGCGCGGCACGTTGGGTGACAGCTCTGCCTGCACCCTGAAGTGTGCGGGGGAGAGCGGGGCGGGGGGTGGGGAGAGGGCGTGTGTGGGTGGAAAGGAGGTGTGCTATTCGTGCACCTAAATATTGGAAGCGGTTGCGCGGCAGGTTGGGGGACAGCCCTGCCTACACTTCGGTGTTAGTGGGGGAGAGAGAGGGGACGAGTGCGTGTGGGGGGTTTGTGGCCGCTATGCATGCTCGCTTTCATCCAGCATAGATCAGAGTGTGGCACGTCTTTGGGAACAATTAAATGCAGCAAGAACAGCGGAACGGGATGATCCTAACCAGCATCCTCACGCCAGCCCACCCTCTCGTCTCCGGAAACCCCTCACGGCAACACAAAGTTAACGGTGCAGGCAAACTCCAAGTCTCCTCAGGCAAGTCCCAAGACCCATCACACTCTGCTCTCAACAAACCCCTCACACTCTGCTCTCAACAAACCCCTCACCTCGGCACAATGTTGACAGTGGCTCGAAACGCGGCCACCTGCAGCGTCTCAACCCCGTTCCCAATCATGCAGAGCAGCATGTTCAGCAGCGGGTACAGGAACTGCAGCAGCACCACCGTATCCACTCCTTTCAGCCCATTGATCGACTCCAGCAAATCCTCCCGCGGCAGAGGAGCCTCCAGCACGTGGCGGTCGTACTGGCGGAAGAAGTCGCGGAGGCAACTCTCTCTAACCAACACCTTCACGCCAAACCCAAACCAAACCACCATCCCGCCTCCGCGAACCCCTCACTCACCTCGACACGATATTAACCGTCGCTCGAAACGCGGCCACCTGCAGCGTCTCAACCCCGTTCCCAATCATGCAAAGCAGCATGTTCAATAACGGGTACAGGAACTGCAGCAGCACCATCGTGTCCACGCCTTTCAGCCCATTGATCGACTCCAGCAGATCCTCCCGCGGCAGAGGGGCCTCGAGCACGTGGCGTTCGTACTAGCGGAAGAAGTCGAGGAGGCAACTCTCTGTAACCAACACCTTCACACCAAACAAAACCACCCTCTCGTATCTGCAAACCCCTCACTCACCTCGATACAATGTTAACAGTGGCTCGAAATGCCGCCACCTGCAGCGTCTCAACCCCGTTTCCAATCATGCAGAGCAGCATGTTCAGCAGCGGGTACAGGAACTGCAGCAGCACCACCGTATCCACCCCCTTCAGCCCATTGATTGACTCCAGCAGATCCTCCCGCGGCAGAGGGGCCTCCAGCACGTGGCGGTCGTACTGGCGGAAGAAGTCGCGGAGGCGGTCGGAGAGGGGGAGCAGCGAGGAGAAGAGGCGCGTGCGCAGGCGGAACACGGGCTTGCCCTCCTCCCAGTAGGTCAGCTTGGCTTTCGTGCTCTCGTGCAGGTACTTGGGTAGAAGTTCCTTGGACATGGGTAGGTTCATCTCGCCCTTGAATGACCTGGGGAGGGGAGGGGAGGGGGGAGAAAGGGGGGAGAAGGGGGGAAAATTGGCGTGTGATTCTCCTTGGTGCTCTCGTGCAGGTACTTGGGTAGAAGTTCCTTAAACATAGGCAGGTTCATCTCGCCCTTGAACGACCTGAGGAGGGGAGGGGAGTGAGGAGGGGTGGAGTGGAATGGAGTGGAGTGGAGTGTGATGCAGTGGTGAGCACCTAAAAAATGCTCCCTGGTGCATGTGAAATTGAGAACTTGTCAATGCATGGACATCTACTGGGCAAAGCAAAAACACAGTCAGACACTGAGGACCGGTTGGATCATTGACTCACTGTGTGACAGCTGACAGAGGCATGACAGAGTAGCCAACCACGACCTGCCACATCAGCAGCACAAACACACACCACGTCAGCATACATGCATCGTTTACAAGGATGGCAGGTTTGGGCTCATCTTGTACCTCTACCTTAGCTCACTCAGTACCCCTTAGCTCAACGGTTTGGGGTGGTCGGCCTTGACAGCAAGGTCGATGTGGAAGAAGGAGAAGAGGAGGTGATAAAAGACCATCAGCACAGCAGAAAGTAACTTTTCCAAGCTCACCCTGTAACCGTCATAAGCTCGCGCATTACTCCTCATAAGCACAATCTGTACCCCTCAAAAGCTCACTCCGTATCCCTTGGCTCACCGGTTTGGGGTGGTCGGCCTTGACAGCAAGGTTGATGTGGAAGAAGGAGAAGAGGAGGTGGTGGGAGGGGCGGAGCATGGGGAAAGGCACTTCATCCAAGCTCATCCTGTACTGTACCCCTCAGAAGCTCACTCTGTACCACTTATAAGTTCACCCTGCACCCCCCTCACAAGCTCACCGGTTTGGGGCGGTCGGCCTTGACGGCAAGGTCGATGTGGAAGAAGGAGAAGAGGAGGTGGTGGGAGGGGCGCAGCACGGCGGGCAGCTGGATCTTAAACTCGTCGTGGAAGAGCGACGGGCGCATGCCCATGGCCACCTGTGACGACGCCACTCGCTGCATCGCATGCTCCCGCTCCCAAGGGAAGATGGCCTGTCCGTGGTGGAAGGGATGCAAACAGATGAGGAAATGAGGATAAGAGGGAGGCTGCGTGATCTCGCTTCGAGGGGAAAATAGCCTGTCCGTGGTGGGAGGGAAGGTGGGGAGTTGCAGTGGAGTGGTCAGGTCTGGAGACGTTTCAATCCAACAATTGATGCCACACACTGCATTGCGTGGAATTTAAGTTGCCCGGCAAATCTGCTGAGGGGGGAAGGATTGGAAAGGTTCCCTGTTGCTGCTGTATATATGTACCTCGAGCTGTGGGCGGGAGGACTGGAGGTCGGTGTCGTCATCGCGCAGCTCGAGGCGCATGAAGAGGTTGAGCTTCTTGGGGAGAGTCACGCTGTGCGGGTACACAAACGCCAGGTGCTCCAGATGGGTGAACGGCTCTGCACGTGTCATGTCCGTGAAGTCCAACGCGTGGAACTGACAGGGTGGTGGGAAGGTGGGGAGTTGGGGATAGGGAAGTGCATGACGAATTTGAGATTCTACACAGACGCCAGGTGCTCCAAGTGGGTGAACGGCTCTGCACGTGTCATGTCCGTGAAGTCCAACGCGTGGAACTGAGGGGGTGGTGGGAGGGTTGGGAGTGGACCGTGGGAGTTGCATGAAGAGGCTGAGATTCTACACAAACGCCAGATGCTCCAGATGCGCAAACGGCTCTGCACGCGTCACGCCTGTGAAGTCCAATGCATGGAACTGATGGGGGGGCGGCGAGGGTTTAGGGAGAGGAAGGGAGAATATGAGGGGTTTTTTTGCGAGTTGGGAGTGGATGATGATGAGTGGGCAGAGAGGAGAAGTTGAAACGAAAAGCACTGCAGCACATTTTGCACATGCCTGCTCACTCACCCCGTTGAGCAGGCGGGAGATGGAGAAGGTGCGGCTGAGCCCGCCCACTTCGTCCGCTTCTGACCCCATTGACTCCATTGACCGCGTGTGACCCATTGCCTGGCTGTACGGGGTGCTGGTCCCTGCAGGGCCCCCTTGGGCGGAGTGGGAGAGAGCAGTGCTGCCTGGCAGCCGCTCCACCTCCACCTGCATGGACATGCGCACTGGCTTGTGCACCTTGCGCTTGGGGTCCTGGTGGAGGGTGTGGCGGTGGGGGAGGGAATGGGGGGAGCCAGGGGAAAATGCAGGAGAAATGGTGGGCAGGAGTTGAGGGTGTGAATGAAATATGCAACAGGTGGCAAAAGGGACATGGTAGCCGTAGGTGGACTAGGCAGCAAAAGCCATATGAACCCCCATAACGGCCCACATCCCAAGCCAAGCCCCCACGCCACGTGATACGCACAAATAGTTGGTCTTCCGTGTAGCACTCCTTCACGCGCTGCAGACACGGGATATCCACCAGCAGAGGCCCCCCCAGCTCATACCGCGGCGCAGACCCCCCCCCCTTCCCCCAGTGCCCCACTGCTAGACCCCGGCGTCCCAGGCCCCCCTGCGCCCTCCCCTGCCCCTCCCCCTGCTGCCCCGCCCAGCACCCCCGGTGTGCCGCCCCCTGTGCTGCTGCTCCCGAAGCCAGCAGTGCCTGCTGAGTCGAAGAGAGGGATGGTGGCGAACGCAAAGGCCTCGCGGAATGGCATGCTCTGTGAGGGTTGTGTGGGGAGAAGGGGAGAAGGTAGGTAGTGGAGGGAGTGGAGGGGGGTGAAATGGGGTGAAAGCGTGATGAGCGGGTTGAGTGATGGACGCGAAAGTCTTGGGGGTTGGCATGGCGTGTGCAGAGCAGAAAGAGGTTGAGGGGAAGAAACTCTTCGGATCAAGCGGACTGACAGTAGATAGACTGACTGACCTGTGCCCATTCTGAGAGTCGCGATGCCTCCCTCTCTGTCAAAACGGGCTGCATGCACGCACGGAAAGAAGATCCCAGTGAGCAAGGAGGGAAGCAAGCAGGTGCATGTTAATGAGCAACGAGCAGTGATGTGATGAGTACAACAGCACCGGTGACAGCAGTAGCAAAGAAAGAAGAAAGAGACGGATGTGCAAAAGAGGTGTGGCAGGGCAGGAACAGCAACAGCAGTGAGGGGACTCACCGGGTCCTGGTAACCAGCCAATTATGTCACAGTCACTGGGGGCTTGATTCCAAGAATTTTCAATAGCCGATCAGGAGCTGATTGCACTCACAGGGTCCTTGCGCGTGTACACGGATCCCTTGACACCATTAATGCTCTCCTCTGTGACGGCTCGCTCCACCTGCACCAGCAGGCACAGCGCTGCTGCCTCCCTCTCCACCGTGAATATCGCCCTCAGCTCGGGGGACGTGCTCTCCTGACCCCCAAACACACACACGCACAGTGAGGAAACGGAAGATGCTAAGACGTGTTACAGGACGCGTGAGCACGTCATTACTCACACTTCACACTGGAAAACTCCATTTAGAAGGAAGCAGGAGAGGGAAACGAGAGAGAGGACAGAGGCATATGACTAACAGGCCATGCGGACCTCACGTGATGACTATGCATGCTTGCTCGTTTCCCCAACCAACTGTGCTTCTCCCAGAGTTTGACTTTAAGGCACTCACCCCGTCCCAGGAGAGAGGCAGGTACTGGAAATGGAAGTCCTCTGAAACCTTCTCCTTCTTCTCCGTGTGATACAAACAGATGGTGCCATAAAAGGGCTCCACAAGGCCCGCTGGTACGTTGAATGATAGTATTCGCACAGAGAAGCGTGTGCCTCTGGGGGGTTGGGGGAACAGCGGCAGTACAGGCCGGGGGAGGGGAGGGGCGGGCAGACGTGCATGGATCATGGTCTGGTCGATCATGGAGGGTCTGACAGCAACCACATGGATGCTGGAAGGGGGACACTCATATGGTGGAGGCATGACTCTATGAGTTCCCAGAAGTGTGAGTGGGAGGGGGGACAAAAGGAAGGATGCATACAGTGGCGTGGTGTGTGAGAGTTCAAAAGGAAGGAAAGAATAACTGGGGATTGTGAGGAAAGTAAGGAGGGTAGGCGCGCGGCGGGCATACACTGTGCTGCTGACAATGGGCTTGATGGGCATGCGCTGGCCGATCACAGCAGCTCTGTCCGTCTCCCAGCTGAACAGAGGCTCGTACGCCATGATGGGTGGGCCCCCATAGTGCTGCGAGGTGGGACACAGGGAGAGGGAAGGCAGACAGGGAGAGAGATGGCACTCCACCCCCACACGCACACACACACTCCACCCCCCCACCCCACCCCACACACACCTTCACCCAGGCCCTCCCACCTCGTCGTCCGGGTCCCTGATCTCCAGGTATGGCTCCACGTAGGCGTGTAAGGCCATCTCACCAACGCACGCACGCGCGCATCCAACCCCACAAATCCCCCTTTGCACACACAGCTTCCACCCACCCCCCATCCCACCCCTTGTTCGGGTCTCCAGGTACGGCTCCACGTCCGTGTTCTCCAGGCACTCGCACACTTCCCTCCCCCACACCACCTCCCACTCCCCCCCACCCACCTCATTGTCCGGGTCTCTGTTATCCAGGTACGGCTCCACATCCGCATGTTAAGACGACTCACCACACGCACATATGCACGCGTTCAGCCCCACAAACCACCCCTTTCCCCCTCTCCACACACACCCCCCCTCTCCTTGCCCTCCCACCTCGTCGTCGGGGTCCCTGTTCTCCAGGTACGGCTCCACGTCCGTGTGCGAGGCCTCACCACACATACGCATGCTCGCACGAAATGAAGCCCTCATATCCCCTTTCCCTACACACACACGCTACCCCCCCCCCCCCCTCCTCCCCCACCTCGTCGTCGGGGTCCCTGTTCTCCAGGTACGGCTCCACGTCCGCATCATCGTCCTCCCCATCGCGCCCTGCGCCCGGCCGCCCAGGCCCCGCGGCCGAGCGGTCGGAAAGGGGCGAGGAGAAGAGCTGCGGGCGGAAGGCGAGGTGCGGCTGGGAGAGGAAGGCGCCGTACTTGTTCTCCACGTGCACCAGGTCCGCGTTCACGCACAGCTCCACCTCCCTCAGGTGTGGCAGGTCCTCCGCCTCGCTCAGCACCTGGGATGGGGGGGAGGCTGAGAAGGCGGGTGATCAGGTGAAACCCAAGCAATGCTGGTGCTTGTACGTAGCCTCTGCTTTATCGTAGCCTGTAAGGTGATCCCATTTCTTTCTACAAAAGGCCTGGCGTTAAGGAGGCACGAAGAACTAATTCAAGCTATTGAGTTGACTGCCTTTCTTTTCAGCGCTTGCCTACCGGTGCCTCATTGAGGTAGCGCGGCCGGAAGAAGCTGTCCCGTGACGTCAGCGCGTGCGATGCTGACAGGGCCATGCCGCGCCACCACAGGCGACCTTTGAGTTGACTCACGCGTCACCTTGTGCCATCCGCAGCCTCCCCGTCTGTCACACCTGGCTCTCTGACAGTTATCAATGTGAGGCGCCTCAAAAGTCCTCCCCGTCGGTCACTCCTGGCTCTCTGACAGCTCTCACTGTGTTCTGCCGCTTCGTGTCTAGGCACCACCGAGACCCATCAAGCGGAACTACCAGAAGTCAGCAGTTTTATCTCCGATCGAACTCAAGTAAACGCATGGTCAATGTGAGAAGTATTACGACTTTGCTTAATAGACGACGACCTAGTAAGGGACTCCTTGGGTGATACAGTCGCGTGATCTCGGACCGTGACAGCTGTGTTGAGTTGGCTCCGGTCTTTAAAGGCAATGAGGTCGCAGTGTTGCATGACAACGTTCAGCGTCTTCCAATGCGGACACTTGAAACTATGGCCGTAAAATGCGCAGAGACGGAGGCAACGACGACGACGACGACATTGTATCAAAGTACGGAATTGGGCTATGGAGGAAACTATGAATGGGCTACGAGAGTTATCACGCGATCAGTGAACGCCGCGGTATCCTTCGAGGAAACAATTTGTGTGATCGTAGCTCAAGGCGAGAGAACGCGGGTGGTATGGACGTCTCTGAAATGACACAAGGCAAGAGAAATGCAAGAGCTTCAGGGCTAAGACTACTGCTTCCGATATGCTTCGCGCAAGTACATGGAGGACCTAAAATCCGTGAAATCGTGAAATTAGGTCGTCGTCGTGATCACCGACGAAATTCGTGGCTGGAAACTGCACATGGCTTATTATGATGTCAGAAGGCCTACTGCGGAAACAAATGAAGCAGGCCGATTTCTGTCTGATTCAACAAATAAACTTCTGTACACAACACTGTCAAAGGCTGCAGTCAAAAATCTGACTGGATGGATGGCTCGCAGCAGCAGGCTTTCGGGATTGCCGAAGGAAAACAAGCGACCAGCGGACCGACCACAGGGATGGCCGCGCGGATTATTACAGGCTTGCGGAGTCAAGGGGAGTCACCGGCGGAAAGGCGCAAGCTCGAGCAGGCGGAAAGTGGTTGGTTATCGCAGATTGCTACATAGATTTCTCTACAATCTACACTGCTGTAGGTTAGTATAATAAAGGTGATTGGTGGTGTTAATACATTACCAGAAAACGTTATCGAGTCCCACGTTTTTAGCCACACGCACAAAAGCTACACTCCTATTATTCTAGAGTCGAAATCCACATATGGTGCCTATTGATGTTCGTTCATCGAATAGTTGGCCCACCTACTCTTGGCATGCGACTGCATTATCTGACAAATGCAGCCCCTTCAACACTAAAGATACGTGCTAGTTTTGCACTGTGAGATGCGCGGTTGGGAGAGACCTTTCAGCAGCTGTTGGTGCCGGTGACTTAGGCTTGCAAAGAGGAGGACGTTTGCTATGCAGGTCTGGACCAACGTTTCCTCCCCATATGCCTAAGGGGTGTTGGCATCCGATCGCATGGAGGAGCGCATTGCCCCTGTCAAATTTGCGTGCTCCTGGATACAGTAAGCGCCCATTCTTTGGTTTCTCCGGGTGTGTGGCAAGTCTTTCTGTCAGAGCTTCGAATCGGATGCGACCGACTATATCGATCGGTCTCTACGGTACTAGAGGGCATTCCCACTTATTCCTTTGGCCCTCTTGTGTTGGAATAACCGAGAGGTTATAAAGGCATTCCCGAAGTTGTACCACTGTACCAGTACCGCATTAGCTCATATAGAGCACGCGGAATCTCGAGGGTCACCCGAAGGTCAACCGTCTGAGAAAGTCAACGGTCGTGACCCTTGACGATCCAGTAACCGCGCGACAGTTAACAGACTGCAACACGGTAACTGTCGAGAATAGCAATAATCGTTGTTACTGTAGCTATGTAATACAGTTAATAAGGGAATGTACCCCTCAGAGTACATGGCTAGATAGTTTGCTATTTAATTTCTTGTACTCCTACCTTCTAATTATCTTGTTCTCTTCCAATTATTATTCAACAAGGTCACTACAGAGACTTCACTGTCTCCTTTCAGGCTTAACACATTCTATCCTATCCACTGATCCTTTGGTTGTATCAGCATCTTGTAACGCTGCTACCCCGATTCCTTATTATATGAGTGAGCCGCATCTTGGAGGCGCGAGCCTTGGAGAGGTGTGTGATCATCACACTGATCCTCTGCACCTTGTCCGTTAGGCATCTCTTTCTGTGTGCAGGTACAGGCATTCACTAGATATCCGTGGTTGGGTGCGGCACCATACGCGGACTCCATGCGTATATTAGAGGTGTAGTGGCAAGTGGTGTCAACCTTCCATCTCAGTCTCCTATCCCCCAGCTAGCCCTCGCAAGTCGATGCACTTGCGGACATACGATCGACGACATGACAATACCTCATCCATGACACCACACTTATCCCACATCGGGAGGCAGGTCGAGCACGACTCATGAACTTCTGGAGGTGGGAAGGTAGACACAGGCTCGGGGGCCGTCGGGGCCGGTAGGTGGCGAGGGACAGTCGGGAAGAGGGGTGCCGTAAGGATAGCAGCATCAGCAGGGTCAGCTCGAGCCAGGGGCTGGCGGGCATAGGGGACAGCAGGAGGGACAGGCCAGTAGGGGAGACGAGAGGGTGTAGCTAGGCCAGCAACAAGGGGATGAGCTGGGGCAGGAGGGGCTCCAGGCCTAGCGGGAACCACATTTGGGTCTGGGCTTGGTTGTAGGGAGGGGGCGAAGGTAGGTGACAGGGGAAACGATAACATGACGAGCAGAGGGATTGGGAGGGAAGGGTTTGGAGGTGAGGAAAGTAATGGGGCCTAGGGTGAGGGTGTTGGGGGATTTGGGGGAGAGAGATGAGGACAGGGGAGGAGGCAAGTGGGTGGGGGAGAGGATAGAGGGGCAGAGGCGACGAGGGAGGAGGCACAAAGGGACCAAACACAGCAGCAGCCAGTGCAGCAGCAGAGTCAGGCTGGACGCACAGATTTGTTACCCCCATACAGATAGGTTTGGCAACAGCTAGACAAGTACAAGACAAGCTACAAGACTACGTTTGGAGGGGTTGCAACCCCCTCCATTTTCTATGGCGGAGACTTTTGGGTTGCTCAACGAGCCCATGCGCCAGTTTTTTGGGGCTTCGTGTGCAGCGGATAACATAACGGCGGTGAGATTTGGGGGGGGGGGGGGAAGAGGGGATGACGGATTCGCACTGGTTTTTGTTACTGGACTCACTACATGTATTTCCGACGACTGGTGGAAGCCTGCGGGTGTCCCATTTGGTGCACGGCAGGGCAGTTGACATCACATCACAAGCTGTTTTGAGGGGCAGACATGTACTGCATGTATGAGTAGGCAATCAGTGGCTATGTTTGAATCGTTATGCCCGCGTTGTTATGCGGGTTGCTATTGGTCGCTTTCTTCTTCTTTCTCTCTTCAACCTCCCCTTTCCATTTTCTTCCTCGACCCTTCTCTTCTCTTTATATCACCCTCTTTTTTTTCTCACAACTTCTACGTTTCTTATTTCCCTACTTTCACTCCTTTTTCACCCTTTCTCCATCACTTCCAGAAATTTGTATCATACATAATCCATTAATAAACCACAGTCATTGTGAAAGCTGCTCTGGTGGTACCAGTTTGATTTGGTGGACAAATGAGGAAATGAGTAGTAGTATTTCCCAGGACAGGCATTAGATGAATAATTTGATTTCTGTAAATTCAAACTGAGGTATCGACTACCGCGTACAATTGTGTCCGCAAGAACAAGAAGGCGCTACCACGAGCAGAAATAGACAGCGCGTATTTCCCCAAGTCTGTGTCCTTAGGAACGCCACTACCTCCATGTCGACTTACAAGCAACCCATAGGGCAGAAGCGCCTGACGAATATTGCGGTCGTCAGGCTTAAAAAGTGCGGGATGAGGTTCGAGATTGCGTGCTACAAGAACAAGGTGGTCTCCTGGAGGACGCGCGTGTAAGCTCCTCTTTTTCCGCAACTTTCTGCGTTATCATTGACTGTAGTCCCAACCGGCTCTTGACTGACACACACTGGCCAAATTCTAGTTTAATGGAGTTTGATATTCGCTGCGTCCCAGATTCCCATGTGCGCGATCTGATCGCCACCGTCCTTGTCCATCATGGTACCCTCGACATCTCCGCGGCGCTTTCCGTCCCCTTTATCTTATTCTGGTCGTCGAATATAGACGAGAGGGATTTAGACGAGGTGCTGCAAAGCCAGACGGCGTTCTCCAGACAGCCTCGCGAGATTTGATGCGTCTCAAAACTTTACCGTCCCCTCCCTTTCTTTCTGATCGTCGGATTTTGGTGTGGTGACATGACAGCGAGAAGGATTTGGACGAGGTGCTGCAGAGCCAGACGGTGTTCTCCAATGTCGGGAAAGGCACGCTCGCCAAATCCAAGGACCTCGTCGCGGCGTTTGGCACGGACGACCAGGAGAAGGTGTGCCTTGAGGTGAGTCTATGCCGTCTTTGCGAAAGCCGCTTGTAGCTTTGTGCATGCTATGCCTTCTCCTAATAAAACTGATTGGAAATATGTAACTTAAAACCCTGAACCAGAATCCTTGACCCAGAATATCAAACCCTAATTGCAAATACTCCGCAAATTTTCCACAAATGCATTTACTCTCTGAGAATTTTTGTCACGTACATTTGGGATTCCACGTACATTGCACTACTGCAGATTCTGGAGAAGGGGGAGTACCAGGTGTCGGACAAGGAGCGGGAGATGCAGGCAACCGCGTTATTGAGGGACATAACGTGCCTTGTAACGGAGCGAACAGTGAACCCTGAGACGCACCGGCCGTATCCGGTGGGCATTGTGGAGAAGTTTATCCGCGACATCCACTTCTCAGTCGACCCCAATCGATCCTCCAAGCAGCAGGCGAGTGCATAGCATGGATAAAGAGGTGCCGGGAGATATTCATCTGACTCATCGATTCCTCCCAATCGTTGCGCTTTTATCATTTCCATCTCAAAATGCCAGCAGCAGCTCGTCCGACTCCCATTGTCTCCCCCTCCCCCCCTTAACTGCCATGGCTTGCAAATCCCACCAACGCACAATCCCACCAGGCCCTGGATCTGATCCGCCAGCTGTCGCAGCGCTTCCCCATCACGCGGGCGCGCATGGAGCTGCGCCTCGTGCTGCCGTCCACGGCGCTGCCGTCGGTGCAGGCGGAGCTGCAGCAGATGGGCGCTCTCATGCGCTCGCAGGCTCAGCCAGTGGACTCCGCCCAAAACGCACCCGCGCAGGTCTCCATGGTGAGTTGGGCCTCACAGGGTTGTGAGACATCTCAGAGCAGCCCCACTGCCCCACAGCCTCTACATTCCTTTTGAGCCGACATTGAAAAAAATTACCTTCGCAGTTCTCTCTGGTGGTTCGTGTGTGAGAGTTGTGATACATGTTAACAGCCACGCAGCATCTCCATGCCATCTCCTTAATCTGGGGGTCTTTCCAACTTGTCGCCTGCCTTTTGTTGCAACACCGATTTTCACATTCTTCTTGTGTGTGTACTATTCTGGACGCTGTCCACACGTGTTTCTCAAATATGCTAATTTATACCTGGTGAATGTGAAGTCATTCTAAACCCGGTGCATCTTGTTTCTTTGTGTCGCCTGCCTGCCCTCCTTGCCTGGCCTGCCCATGTGCTACCAGGTGTGTCAGATCGAGCCGGGCAGGTTCCGAGAAGTAGACTCGCTCATGCAACGAGTGAGGGGGCGGCTGGAGGTGCGGGCGGCAGCAGTGCAGCAAGAAGGCGATCTGTCCTTTGACTCTCTCGACGAATCCGAAGCTACTGTTGCCGGCACTGCCATGACGGCACATGGGAGGGGGGCAGCAGCAGGAGCAGGAGCGGCGGAGGATAGGGGAGCCCAGGCAGGAAGAGAACAGGTGCAGAGCGGTATAGAGGCTGGGGGGAGAGGAGGTGCGAGGGCAGGTGGTGGCGGTGGTGCTGGAAGAGATGCTGAGTTGATGGTAGATGCAGCTACTAGAGCACTGGGGGGCGTTGCTGTTGCAGATGGGGTTACAGGAGGTGGTGGTGCAGCAGGTGGTTCTAGTGCGGGAGGTAAAGCGGGTGGACGGCAGCAGCGGTGCAGCACATGCGGGGATAAAGCGACGTTTGATGATACAAAGTTGTTTCGGGAGCATATGAAGTCGGACTGGCATAAGCATAACATGAGGCGCAAGGTGAGGGGCATGCCCCCTGTGTCTGCTGATGAATGGGAGGCGGATACGAGCCTATTGGCAGATGAAGCACATGATTTGCACGAGTATGAGAAGTAGATAGGGGATTTTGCTAGTTGACATTGCAGCCAGCCTTGTTGAGGTGTAGCTTTGAATATTCATAGTTTACTTTGTGAGTGTTGTAGACGCTGTGCAGTGGGATGAAAATGGCTATTGAACATTCAGCAGATTTTTGCAGACGAATGCGTCACTTGTGCTCCTTGGCGGGACTCTCTCTTCGCATCATTCCCCCAGCTGTCATTTGCGTCGTCCAATTGCCTTTGGAGTTTTCTGCGACATGGGTGCAGCATTTTCAGACCACGCGGACCGCCTTCACGTAAGCACCGGGTTTGCTGACGGCACGTTTTGTTGGCGTCGGTGTGTTGTTGTGTGCTGTACAGCACGCTTTCCTTGCCCGCGCCCGCAGGAAATCAAACTGTACAGACAGTGTCCTGACAAAGCAAGGGTGTTGGGTTGGGTTCGGACCAAAGTTGGGGGGGAACAGACAGATGTGGGTGAATGTGGTGAGGTTCTGCTAGGTTGGAGATGAGGTGCACAAAGGGAAAAGTAGGGCAACGAGGTCAGACGAGTTTGTTGGGTCGGTCTCCTCCCAGCGTCCTCCCCCCTCACAATCAAATCCAAAGCTCGCTGCAAATCCATGGAATCGTGGAGTCGGTGAACGGAACACATTCCCTTGCGGAACCAGAGCCAGAAGTTTCTCAAAGCACAGTGTACACCACTTATGACTCAATCTTACTATTATGATTATTCAATTCTATAATAAAGTACAGCTCGTAATTTACGAAACATCAAAACGCGGTTTCCTGCCCCGCCCCGGCCTCTCGTCCTTGCCCATCTCCTTCTGCTCTTCCGCTCCCTCCATTCCTGGCCGTGCACAGAACTCAAAAGACAGCAACTTGTGCTCGAGTCCTCCTCACCTCATGCACTTGTGCTTGCTTGGATAGGCCAAGATTGCTTGCCTAGGATTCGTGTTTACACCAGATATGAGTTAGTCGCTCCCTTTCACATGAACGAGATCTTGCAGGTTTCCGTAACAGTACTTGACGTCCCTTTTGCTCCCAATTCTGAACCGACGCTGTGCCCCTGAAAAGAGTCGTGAAATTTGTGGGGCAACTTGGGACTATACGTCGCTTTCCCAGCCAAAGTGCAGTTCTCGTCGGCCTGTAAAGTTTGGGCCGTTTTCCGACCTGCTCAAACAAAACCTATCCCGAGCAATCAGATGGTCCTGTTCAGGCTGGCCGTTTCGCGAGCGTCAAGTGTACTACGTCAGTGTCCCATGGCAAGCCAAGCTCACAGACCAGTGCGACATTTCTCCCCAATGTTTCCTCATACAATTGACCCTTCCCTTTTCGCAAGGTACACGTAGACTGCGAAACAAGACAGTGGCTCATAGTGGGTGTATGAGAGCACCCCCTCCCACTGTCTGCCCAACCGCATAGGACATTCACAATTCTAGGCGCACTGGAGCAATTCTGATCGAAACCTCCCTTTCTCCAAACCAAAACCATCCTGCTTGCAAAAACAGCTGATAGCGGGCTCACGAGGGAATGAGTGACGGACGGCTCAGGGTTCATGACGGCTTTGCAGTAACTTTACTCCCACCACTTGCATGGGCCGATGATACAGCATGTGCGGAAGTGCAGTTCTATTAGTAACGGCAGGCATGATGCACCCATCCGACGCTGACGGCACATTTCGGAATGGCAGCAACGCCGGATGAGTGTTAATTACAACCCGATGCGAAGCCGCAGCCCCTACTATGGAAGTGTCGCGCCGGAGTACTAACGACCCGACGTTGCGCGCAATAACCATGATGCGACCGTCGCGCGACGGATTCGTGCGACAAAACTCGGGCGCCGACGGGCTCGTGCGACGAGCCCAAGGGATGAACCTCGGCCCTCGCGGGTCGCCCCGCAACGCCATAGACGTCGTCCCGTCCGTCGATTGGTCGTCCCGCGAAAGCACACCTCAGTCCAGGCCGCCTCCGGCCTCTGGCGCCGCCGGTGGCTCGCATTTGTTACCGCAGGCTTCTAGTGTCCCTTGGGATGATCGTAGTAACAGCGACAATGCGGCCTTACAGTATCGTCGTAGCAGCACCACGACTAACGCTACTAGTAGTAGTAACGCGAAGGGAACCGCTGCTCGCAGCGGTAGCGGCGCTATCATTGGCGCGTTCGGTTCGCTCCTGCGCGGCGCTGTTGATACGAGAGCTGCCTCCTCCTCCGGCGCCGCCGCCGCCGCCACCGCCGTTGGCAACTCACCAGCGGGTTGGCTGCTGCCGATGGCGGAGGCTGACGTGGCACTGTCAGGCGACAGCGGCGGCGGCGGCGGCGGCGGCGGCGGATACGACGGTTTTGATGCTCGTCAGAGCCCCAGGTTTGACGGAGAGTCGATTCTGTCGCCCGCAGCGTCTTCCAGGGAAGACGACAGCAGCGTTGTCATGGCTCTCCCCGCGCTGCCGCACCGCGCGATGTCGCACCATGGCGGCGCGCTGCCGCCGAACCGTGGCGGTGCTGATAACGGGGCTTCGTTTATCGGGGAATACAGTACTGGTAGCGGCGGTTACCCTGGGGGCGGCCCCGTGTGGACTCCGAGCGACACGACCTCAGATTCCTCCGCGCTTCGGTGGCAGAGCTTCGCTACTAGCAACACTAGTCCTAGCAGCGCTATAACGAGTACGCCGTCAGTTGTGACCGGCAATGCCAACAATGTAACAGGCATTCGTAAAGCTGTTGCCGGCAGCAGTCCTGGTAACGCTAGTATGGTTACCACCTCCGCTGCTGCTGTTACCCGCGGGCCCAACGCGCAAAACGCGCAAACTCCGCGCAGATGGGTGCAGGAAGCTCCGCCGCTGCCGGCGGGCTGGGAAGAGGCAGGAGCCGCCCCTGCGCCGCCACTGGAGGAAGTCTACAGCGCGGCGCAAAAGACGCGGAACGGGGAGAGGAAGGGGAAAATCAACGCGGGAAGCAGCGGTAGCGGAAGCGGAGGCGGAAGCGGGGAGGGAGGCAGCTGGGGAGGGGCCAGGGGCGCCGGAGTCGGTGTTGCGACCGGCGTTGCTGCTACGGACGCTGCCGGCAGAGGCATTGCCGGCAGCAGCAGCAACAGTAGTAGTGGTCCCGGTGGTGGTAGTGTGCGACGTTTACGACATTCGCATAGTTACAACACCGAACGGAGTCCCAGTGCGGATCCTCCCGAGCTACAGACCCTGTCGCGGCTACAGTCGCTCTCGCGGTTACAATCGCTGTCGCGCCAGCAGTCGCAGCAGCAGCCTGCGCTACAGCCGCTACAGCCGCTACAGCCGTCACAGTCGTTACAGCAGCAGCGGCAGTCGCTGCTGCAGTCTCGACCGCTACAGCCGCCGTCTCGCATGCAGTCGCTGCCGTCGCGGTGGTTCGGTAAGATAGACGAGAGCGGGGAGATGTTTGAGGAGTGGGATAGCGCGGAGGAGGAGGAGGGGGAGGCGGAGCAGGGAGAGGGGAGCGGGTCGGTGGATGGAATGGATTTCTATAGAAGCAGTAGTGAACAGACGAATAGGGTAACCAGTGTTATCAAGGTCGCGAAAAGCAGTTCGGTGCAGGTTTCGAGCAGGCAGGACGGGTGGAGTGGGGAAGGGCAAGTCTCGGGACGGCAGCAGCAGCGGCAGCAGCAACCGCACCAGCAGGTGCGGCGGCGGCGGCAGACGCATGGGCAGGTTCGGTTCTCAGGGGCAGATCAGGAAGATTCTAACGGGTTGCGCCAAGACGAGGATGCTCATAACGGGTATAGCTTTGGTGGGAGCACGAGAGGCTCGTCTGGGAGGTTTCACCGGTCGCGCAGCAGCGGAAGCCTGGCGGACACAGGGTCCGCGGAAGGGAGCTGGGGGAGGAAGGGGAAGGGGAAGGGGGAAGGGGCGGTGGGATTAGAAAGGGAGATGGGGCTAGCGTGGAGACGGGAGGGGGGTGGGCGCGAAAAGGGACTGGAGGAAAGGGGAGACGAGGAAAGGGACAAAAATGAGATGGAGAGAGAAGAGGAAACGCAGGGAGACGAGGTGGGGGAGGGAGAGGGAGAGGAGGAGGAGGAGGAGGAGGAGGGGAGTGAGGAAGAGGAGGGGCTGGAGAATTCGGAGGAGGACGAGGACGAAGAGGGGGAGAGCGAGGGAGAGGAGGGGCAGCGAGTGCTGTTCTTTAATGACACGGACAGTAGCGTGGATGGCGGTGACAGCCATAGCTCTGGTCATGCGGACGGGGACAGTATCAAGTATGGCCATGGGGTTGGTTATGTGGGTAGGCACGGCAGTGTTGGTAGCCTTGGCGGGGGGAGTGGCGGGGGGAAGAGGCACACGAGGATGCGCAGGGGCGGTGGCGGGAGAGGGGAGAGCGGGAGCAGGAGCAGCAGTCGAAGTGGGGAGGGAATGGGGGGAAGCATGGGGGGGAGCATGGGGGGAAGCAGCGCTGGAGGAAGCTTCAGGGGGAGCATTGGGGAAAGCATTAGTGGCAGTTTCGGTGGAGGAAGCATAGGGGGAGGCATGGGCGGTAGCATGGGCGGAGGAGGTAGAGGGGGAAGCATGGGCGGAAGCGTGGGGGGAAGCGTGGGCAGAAGTAGAAGCGTGGAGGAGGAGGTGGAGGGCTCTTTAGATTACCCCCTGTCGCCCCGCTCCCTCTCTGGAAGGTTCCTGGGTATAGTGGTGGAGGAGGATGCTGAGGGGGAGGGGGAGGGCGAAGGCGAGGGGGAGGTGCAAGGAGAGGGAGAAGAGGAGGAACAAATAGGAGTAGAGGGGAGGGAAATTGCGGCAGGAAGACACCCCGATAGCCTCATGCAGCATCAACAGCAGGCGCAGCAGCAACAAGAGCAGCAGGGGGTGTCGAGTCGGCCGCGCACGGGTGGGTCGATGGGCAGTGAGAGGCGCAGCTTCGACCGGTTCCAAGAAGAGCTCTTCCAGTCACAACGCTCCCTCGCCACCCCCTCCCTGCTCTCACACCCCTCCGAGGGTACCCTCTCACAGCGCTCTGAAGGCACGCTGTCGGAACGGTCTGATGGGGAGGCCGCCGCTGCTGCTGCTGCTGCTGCTGCTCGGCCGTGGGCAGAGGGGCCTTACTCTGGTCCTTCGCATGCCGAGAGAATGGAGATCACGGAGGGCGTGGAGGGAGAGGAGGGAGAGGAGGGAGAGGAGGGAATGGGGAGAATGGAGGGAGAGGTGTTCTCACAGGAGAGAGAAGTGTTTGCTCGGGAGACAGAGGACAGGGTGAGGCTGAGGCGGCCCTGGGCCAGCAGCGAGGAGCACTATTGCGGGGATGGGAGGGACGGGGATGGGAACGGGAGGGATGGGAGGGGCGGGGTACGGCGCTATAGCGAGGGGAGCAGCATGGCGGTAGGAGGGGAGAGGGGGTGGAAGGATGGGCGATGGAGTGAGGGCAGTCCGGAGGTAGAGGCAGGGGGGCTTGGGCTTGGGTGTGTGAATGCTGCAGGTGGGTATCTGAGCCCGGGTGGTGGTGGTCCGGGGGGGACAAGTCTTGAAGATGAGTATCTGCCGCTCAAGAAAGGGCCTGGTTGGTCGCCGCTTCAGCAGCAGAAGCGTCATCAGTACGACCATGGGCAGCAGCAGCTTCAGCAGCAGCAGCGTCATGGTGAGGGCGGTGAGATGCTGGGGGACAGAGAGGAGCAGCAGAGAGCGCATGGGCAGAGTATGGTGCTGGGAAGTGAAGGGCGGGGGGAGCAGTGGGGCCGGGGCAGCGGAGACGAGCAACGGGTGTACAGGCTGGGAGGAGAAGGAGCGGATGAAGGAGAGGATGCAGATGGGATTGAAGATGGGACTGAAGGTGGTTCCCTTGCGGTGGAGCCTTACGAGTGCACTAGCGGACGCTCCTTGCCAGCCGATGCGCCGTGTGTGCCGCCCGACGTGTCGTGCGATGCAGTGCAGGTTCCCAACGAGATGCGCATTGGCGATGAGCTGGCCATCCGCTTCACCCTCACCAACAACTCCCCCCTCCCGTACGTGCTCCTCCCCACCTCTTTCATACCTCCCTCTGTCCTGGTCTCTCCTGCTGCCTGTCCTAATCTTCCCGAGCTTCCCTATCCTCTCTTCCTGCGCTGCCCTCTCTTCCCCCATTCCAGGCTGCAAGGCGAGGTAGAGGTGGTGGCAGCAGTGGAGTGGGCGAGTGAGAGCGACAGCGAGAGGGACAGCACGCGGGGGGCTCTCACGCCCGGCTCGCTCAAGCGGGGGGGCGAGAGGTCAGCAGGCAGGCGGCAGCGGCGGGAGAAGCGCGAGTTCCTACCACCCCTCGCTGCCCACGAGAGCGTGACCATCGACGTCCAGCTGGCGCTTGACGATTCGTCGCTGCCGGCGCCCTTCTCCCTCGCGTCCGTGTCGACTGAGCTCGTGGCGAACGGCCAGCGCTCCCACAAGCGGTGAGGGGGGGGTGTGGGGTCAGTCAGCACATGGGGGCGAGTGTGGGGGCAGCATCTATGGGGGCTTGGCACCTACACTACATACACCCGAATCTCGCATGACACTCGTTGGTGGCGTGGTGCCTTAAGCCCTTCTCCCTCGCGTCCGTGTCGACTGAGCTCGTGGCATACGGCCAGCGCTCCCACAAGCGGTGAGTTGGGGACTGGGCTAAACAAGTGGTGAGTTAGGGACTGGGCTAAACAAGTGGTGAGTTGGGGACTGGGCTAAACAAGCGGTGAGTTGGGCAGAATGAATGTTTGAGTCGACTCAAAACCCGCTTGACGACTCATGCCATTCTCCTCACCATCCCCCCGCCTTCCTCCCTTTCTCCCCCCCGTTCTCAGGCACAAGCAGGTGCGGCTGGTGGCGGGATATGTGCCATGCACAGCTGGTGCACCTGTGCCCTCCTCTCATCTACTCCACTCATGCCCAACCCCAACCCCATGCCACAACCCAACCCAACAACCCACCCCCTCCCCCCCTCGCAGGCGCAAGCAGGTGCGGCTGGTGCCGGGATATGTGCCGACCACAGCTAGCGCAAGCAGTCCCACGGGGCAGTGGGTAATGGGCGCAGGGGGGGCGGCGGGGCAGCAGCAGTGGGCGGAGGTGCTGCTGCTGACAGATGAGCGCTTCACGTCCACGCAGTATGGTGCCTGGCGTTCCATCTGCTGCCTGCTCGGGTGAGTGTTTAGCCGTGGGGTGGGTTTTCAGACGCATCAGCAGTCTTGAGGTGAGATGACTCAAAAGAGGTGCTACTGCTTCTGCTGCTGCTGCAGAGAGACGAGCGCTTCACGTCCACGCAGTACGGCGCGTGGCGCTCCATCTGCTGCCTGTTGGGGTGAGTGCCTGCCTGTGCGTCTGGATGGTTCTCTGCCCATCTGTAGAAAAGAAACCGTCAGAATGCGAGGCAGATAGAGAGGTGCTGTCGCTGACGAATGTGCGCTTCACGTGCACGCAATGTGGCGCATGGTGCTCCATCTGCTGCCTGCTCGGGTGAGTCACCTACCGTGAGTGCTGACAGAAATAAAAATAGCAACAACAAAGATATCATTCAGTATTTCAGCAACTATTTTGTCAATATTTCATTCGAAGAAGCGCCCCTTTCTGTTGCACTTCTTTCCCCTTTTTGCACAACCAATGGAGCGACCCACATCCCTCCCCATTTCCCAGTTCTCTCGCCTATCGTTGCAACCACTGCTCCCTCCACCAGGCTACAACATGCGGTGTGGGACATACGGCTGCAGAAGGGACTGCTTGCACCCGTTTTGAGGCGCCTCAAAACTAGTCTTCCCGAATCCCTCACCCATCGTTTCATTTCAATCCACTACTCCCCCCACCAGGCTGCAGCATGCGGTGTGGGACATACGGCTGCAGAAGGGGCTTCTCGCACCCGACGCCGCAACACCCACCGCAGCAGCATCTACATCAGCAGCAACAGGAGCACGCGGGACCAGCCCCAACGCGCCCAGCACAGCCAACCCTAAATCACCCCACTCTACTGCCACCGGCACCGGCACAGGCAATGACAACGACCCTCCCGGGTGGCTATCTCGCCACGCCCTGGTCGTGCTCCCCCACGCGCCCCCCACCTCCAAGCTCCCCCCGCTGCTGCTGCGCGTGCTGCCCCAGATGGTCGCGACCAGGGGAGGCGTATATGGCGCCGAGACCGTGGGTGTGCTTATAGGGGGGGTGTCTGCCGCCCAGCTGGCCAATCACATGCTGGACCTCGCACAGACGGTCAGGACGCTGGAGGTTCCGCTGAATCTGAGTGTGAAACACCTGAAGCACCTGAAGCACCTGAGGCAGCACCTGAAGGAGTTGACCCCAGGCGGTGGGGGTGGGGGGGTGGCGGGTGCGGGAGTGATGTCGTGCTTCCTGCCGTTTGGACAGAGGAGTCCGAGAGGAGGGGGCGGGAGTGGCGTCGGCAGTGGGAGTGGCGGCAGTGGGAGTGGTGTGGCTCTGGCTGCCACAGCGCAGGCACAGAAGCTCAGGGTAAGTCTCCTTTCCTCTCCTCATTTTGTGATGTCGTGCTTCCTGCCGTTTGGGCAGAGGAGTCCGAGAGGAGGGGGTGGTGGGAGTGGCGGCAGTGGGAGTGGCGGCAGTGGGAGTGGTGTGGCTCTGGCTGCCACAGCGCAGGCACAGAAGCTCAGGGTAAGCATCCCTTCCTGCTCCACCAATCACTCCTCCTCCCCCCTTCTGGCCTTCCTCCCATACCCTCTTTCCCCCCTTTCTTGTTTCCTTTCCTTTCTTCTTGCCCGATGCATTGTAAGTTTGGTGCTCACGCCTCAGTAGTAACTTCTTAAAGTGCCCTCTCTCCCTTCTTGTGCTGGAACACACACCCTCCCTCCCATGGCACTCACTTCCCTCCCTCCCATGGCACTCACTTCCCTCCCTCCTCTCCCACCTTCTCCCACCCTCTTCTCTCCTGTCCCAGGCTGATTTACGAAGCGAATTTCCCGAGTATCGGCACTTTGTGGAAATCCACCTGCCCCCGGACCAGCAGCAGCAGCAGCAGCAGCAGACGCAGACTCAAAAGAAACAACAGAAGCAGCAGCGGAAGAAGCACCAGAAGGAGCAGCAGGGGCAAGAAGAGGGTGGCAGCATGGCTCGAGTGCGGGTCGCCCGGGGCCACCTGCCTTCCCTCTTCCGCCTGCACGCCCTCCCCCTCGCTGCTGACATCACTCTGCCGCCCACTTCCGACACCCTCGCCGCCCTCTTGCCGACCACTGCCCAGCCCATCACCTCCCACTCCCTCCCCTCCTTTCCCTCCTCGTCCCCTCCTAGCCTCACCCAGCTTCCCCGATTCTCTGTGTCTTCCGAGCCTCCGGAACTCAGCCTGGTTCGGCAGAGGTCCGGCGGGAGGCCCGGGGTGGGTGGGGATTATTTAATGGACGAGGAGGAAGAGCAGGAGGAGATAGAGTATGGGGTGTTGAGCTCTTATAACAACGGCGGCTTAGTATCACCTTCAGCACAAACATCAGTTGCAGCATCAGCAGCAGCTGCAGCAGCTGCAGCAGCAGCAGCAGCACCAGCAGCACCAGCAGCAGCAGCATTGGTAAGTCCAAGAGGCGTTGCCATCCCCCCCAACTGTTACCGATCCTGGATTCAAGGCCAGGAACTGGGCCAGGGGCAGGGGTTAGGCTTGGGACTGGGCTTTGAGCAGGGGCCGGATCAAGGGCAGGAGCAGGCGCTGATGCAGCAGCAGGGGGAGGGGGTCGTTGGGGGGAAGGGGAGGGTGAGGCAGGGTAACCGGCTGTTTTACTCGATGCCGTTTGGCCCGGCTAAAAGGAAGGGGGCAGGGAGCGGAACAGGAGCAGCGGGGGCAGGTGTAGGGGTAGGAGCAGGGGCAGGGGCTGCGGTAGGGGCAGGGGTAAGTAGAACGTTGAGCATTGCTAGTAGAACGCTGAGCATGAACAGAGGCATGGGGTTGAATGTGCCCAAGTCGTGGTCTGACATGCCCAAGAGCCAGAGGGCGGGAGCTGCAGGGGGAGAGGGGATGGCGGGAGTGGGTGGGATGCTGGGCAGGAAGGCGTTAACTGATGTGTCGGATAGGCTGCGCCTGGGGAAGGGCGATCTGGGGCGACTGGGTGGACAGAGCGGGGAGGGGCAGCTGACGCAGCAGGAGCAGATGCAGCTGCGGCAGGCGGGGATTCAGCTGCAGCAGCAACAGATGATGCAGCAACAGCAGCAGATGCAGCAGCAACAAATGGTGCCGCAGCAGCGGAAGCAGCAGAAGCAGCAGGCAGGTCTGCCCCCACGCTCCCCTCGCACCTCACTCACCCTTCCACACCCAAATGCACACCCTCACGCACTCTCACACCCATGGCAGCAGCAGCAGCAGCAGCAGCAGCAGCAGCAGCAGCAGCAGCAGCAGCAGCAGCAGCAGGTACCAACGGGGACACAGCAAGCAGGCGCCGTGTTTAATCAGGAGCAATCCACTGGCCCTCGGTTGTCCTCTGACTCCTCCTCCTGTGCTTCAGGCCCCGTGTTTCCACACTCGCAGCCCTGGCAGAATGAACCAGAGCTGCAGCAGCAGTATCAGCAGCAGAATCAACAGATGCCGCAGCAACAGTACCAGTACCAGCAGCAGCAGGTGCCACAACAGCAGATGCACCCTCAGCAGCAGTCGCAGTATCAACAGCAGCACATGCAATCTGCAGGCGCACCCTCCCACCCATCCGCGTCCACTGTGTGGGTCCCGGGCAGCTTTGATGAATCAGAGGCCTCCGACTCCCAGTACCAGCTCCGCACCACCCACTCTCTCCCGCACCACCCGCGTGCCTGGCCTGCCGAGCCTGGGCACTCTGGTTCGGGCGGCAGCAGCGGGGACAGCTTCTGGGGCAGCGGAGGCAGGGGGCTCGATGCTGCTGCTGCTGACGCCGCTCCTGCTGCTGGTGCTGTTGCTGGTTATGGTGGTGAGGGTGGAAGGGGCGGAGGGGGTGGAGGGGGCGGAGAGGGGGGGCAGAGTGGGCAGGCAAGAGGGCGGTCCAGTGCGAAGGGCAAGAAGGTGCTGAGTGGGCCGCTGCTATCACGGGGTAGGAGGCACGGCAACAGACGCGCATGGATGGGGCGGGTCAGTGGGATGGGAGCAGATTGTGGGGGGGCGGGAGGTGGAGGAGGAGGGGAGGACAAGTGTGCGGCGAAGAGGGAGTGGAAGAAAGGGGAGAAGGGTGTGGATATGGTGGTGGCTCCGGTGTGGCCCCACCATATCCAGATGCAGCCGGGGGGATGGCTGGCGGCATGCACAGCAGCCCCCATATGAACAGCAACCCTCAGATGAACAGTAACGCATACATGAACAGTAGCCCGCACATGAACAGTACCACTCCGGAGATGATGAGCAGTAACCCCCACATGAGCAGTAACCCCCACATGCAGAAGATGATGTCTATGAGCCTCCCCGGCTCGCTGCTGCAAGCTTTCGGGCACGGTCGGCCGGGCTCTGGGGGCAACGCACAACCTACCATCGCTGGCACCCACACCGACACGTCTAGACGTTCCCACCAGACACGGCACCACCTCCACCCAGTCCAGTGCCAGCAGCAGCAAGCCCAATGGCAATCGCAGCAACAACAATCTCAGCAGCAGCAGAGATCGCCACAGCAGCTATCCATTCCGGCTCCAACAGCCCTGAGCCCGAACCAGACAAGCAGGCTCGGAAGCAGCTTCGGCAAGGTCCCAAGGCTGATTCCGCTGGGCGGCGAAGACTCGGTGTACGGCGCGAGTGTGATGGGGGTGCTGGCAGCTCTGCCAATGCAGGTGAAGGTGGATGTGGTGTTCAGAGTGGTGCAGTGGGGTTCCAGCCACTTTGACCTGCCTTCCTTTGAAGGCTTTGTGGGGACGAAACCCAAGCGCCTTCCCCTGCTGCTGCTGGTCTCCTTGGCTATTTATGAAGATTTGATTCTGGATTGCCACAGCGGGTGGCGGGATATGCCGCACTGCGCCGCACTGCTGCAGGTGATAGAGAGGAGGGAGCGGGCGGCGGCGCCTGTATGGGACTGGCCGCCCACTCAGCCATGCGTGGATGCTCTGATGGCACCTCTCATGCTGCTGCACACCAATCAGATGCTGCCACGTGTCGCCAGCTCCTCCTCGTCTTCTTCCTCCTCCCTTCTCTCCTCCACCTCCTCCTCTACTTCATCTACCACACTCACACCCGAGCAGCAAACAGCAGTCTCACAGTACGTCGCACGGGCGGCAAAGCTGTTCGGCGCTGACGTGGCACCTGCTGACGTGGTGATGCCGGACGGCCGCCAGCTGGCGGGAATACGGCAGCAGCTGGAGGAGGCGCGGGCGGTGCTGCAGCCCCATTGGTGGGAGGAGCACTGGGCGGCGGAGGAGGAGGTGGGGGTTGTGGTGGTGGATGGGGAGGAAGAGGAGGGGTGATGTGAGGAGGGGGGAAATGGTGTGTGTGTGGTGCTAGGAAAGAGGGAGAGGAGTGGTGGAGATGAGTGGTGTGGTGATGATTGCATAGATACTGCGTGCCTGCCAGCTTTTTTGTTAAGAAGATGATGCATGAATCACGGGTGGCTGGCTGTGCCGATGTGATCCGTACATGATTATATTCATTCATACGGCACGTTTTCTCGACTACTAACATACCGAATTAGACTTTGCTGCTTTTCTTTAGCCACCAACCAGTGAACTGCAGTCTCCCTTGACTGTGTAGCGGTATTGGTTTTGTATGGTATGATGTGTGTTGGTGAAGCTATGTGGTGCCCCAATCACCTGAAAGTTGAAACGGCTCAGTGGCTGGCGAAAGCCTACCCTATTATGATTGGGTGGCCGGTGGATACCATACCGTAATTGGGTAGGCTTGCGCACTGTAAGTTGCCGGTGGCCCCTGTTTCGAGGGCTGCGGCTGCTGGCTGGGTTCATTGCTGATGATTTTGCTTGAAGCATCGATGGGAATCCACTATCAGATTGCTAAATGATTGGGATGTGTAGAATGCTATGGTACATTAACGAGATGGGTCGGCTCAGCTTGGTTGCTTGCAATGCATGACATGACAAGCAACACTGTCATACACCTTTTAACATTGTACCCTACCAAACAATACATCACAGGCGTTCAGTAAGAGAGTTTGATACCGTAAGACACCGCGTCACCACCCATCAACCCGCTAACAAAAGCTGCGCCCCATGCCCTTCCCTTCCAGTCGATAATTTGAGTCCCAGCCCACCTCATCCCACCACCAGGTTGAGAATGCGGCCCTTGACAAAGATGGTCTTGCGCACACTCTTCCCCTCCACCAGGCGGGCCACGTTGGGGTGGGCCAGTGCTGCTGCCACTGCCTCCTCCTGCCCCACCCCCACCGCCACCTGCAGTGTGGCGCGCACCTTGCCGTTCACCTGCACTGGCAGGGCTATCGTGTCCTCCACCAGGTACTGCGGCAGGGCCTGGTGGACAGGGGAGAAGGGAGAGGAGGGGAAAGGTAGAAAAAGGGGGATTGAGCAACCATGGCACCTGCAGTGTGGCGCGCACCTTGCCGTTCACCTGCACTCGCAGAGCTATCGTGTCCTCCACCAGGTACTGCGGCAGGGCCTGGGGGAGAGGGGAGAGGAAAGGAAGGGAGAGGGAGGGACAAAGGCAGGGCGTGTGGTTAGTGCACCCAGACGATGGAAGGAACGCACCTCATCTCAAGGCCAGACGTGCCCTTGCAATGGCTTTATACTGTCCGTTGAGACACCATTGCAGACACCATTGCAGGTGTTAGTGCAGACTGCCCTTTCCAACACCTGCAGCAACCCACCTGCGGCCACGGCTCATAGGCAAGGGACGAGCCCCCCCC